TCCTTCTCGAGTTCCCTTCTAATTAAGTTTTACAGAGAATATATTTTTAAGGTTTGTTTCGATTGTGGTGCGCGTAATCCAACATGGTCATCTGTTACCTATGGTGTCTTTATCTGTATTGATTGTTCATCTGTGCATCGCAATTTGGGTGTACATCTTTCTTTTGTTCGTTCGACTAATTTGGATACAAATTGGTTTATTTTTCATTTTTAATTTTTTGTTAATTTTGATTTTAGGTCTTGGGTACAACTTAGAGCAATGCAAGTTGGAGGAAATGCTAATGCTGTATTTTTTAAAATAATTAATTAAAGCTTTGTTCAATTTTTTTTAATTTTGATTGGAAAAGAAGAGAAAAATTAATTTAATCTTTTTCTTAAATCAAAATTTTATTTTAGATTCAGTTCTTCAAGCAACATGGCTGTGAATCAAGTGATGCCCAAATAAAATATAATAGCCGTGCTGCTTCTCTCTATAAGGTTTTTTAATTTTATACATTTTGCAAGTTTTATCGTGTAAATTAATTTGGCGGTGTTTTTCTAGTTAAATGTTTTTCTCTAACGTTTTCTGTGACTTGTACATATTTTTGATTCTAAAAATGGTTTTTGTTATTTATTGGAGGCCAAAATTTAAATTTGAGGACAAAACTTGTTTAAAACAAATAAAATAATTTTCATTTAGCATCGAATTACCGATTTGGCAACAAAAGCACAACAGCAGGCTAACAATAATTTATTTTTTGACGAGCACCAAAGAGCCCCATTACTCAAAAGTGAGTCTTCGGAGGAACGAGATTTCTTTGGACAACCAACTAGTGAAGATAATAATCAAAAAAGGGACGAATTATTTAAAGAAGCATCCCTTTCTGGTTTTTAAAAATAATTTTTATTTTGTTTCTTTTTTAATTTTCAGAAATTCCACATGCACCGATGGTGCAGAAGAAGAAAATAACTGTAAGTATTTCTTTACTCGATTTTTGACCTAAAATTAATTTCTCTGTGGGATGCTACTTTTTTATGTAACTCTAATGTATAGGATTCGAATCCCATTCAAGAGAATCCACAAAAATCCCACTTATTGTTAGCTTGGCCAGAAAAACGTAGTCGAGATATTTTTTGGAGTTATGTATTTAGAAATTAAAGCTAAATAAACTTTCTTTGGCATATAAAGAAGACTGAACTGACGCTATGTGCTAAATGATAAATAATCCTTAAATAATTTTATTTTTTAGCTTGGCCAAAAAAAGGGCGGCGGTTTAGGTGCTCAACGAATAAGAATGGTAAATAAATTTATTTTTTTTTATAAAATTTAATTTTATTTTTCTAGAATTTTACCGATGTTGAACAAAAAGCTAATGAATTTGACAAAGCACAATTTGATCGTCTGCAAATGCAACAGACACAACAGACAAAAGATGATATTAAATCTAGCGGAGATGATAACCTTCATTCGCTTTCTTCTAAATTTATTATGCAAAGTATTTCTGACAAAAAGAAGGTTTGATTTAATAAATTAAAAACATAGAAATTTTAAAAAATCTAACAATATTTTTTGATTTTATCTGTTTATTATTGGTTATTTCTTATTGTTAGGTTAAAGTTTTAGTCGATTACAATTACTCTTAAAATTCTTTAAAAATCTGGCATTTTTATTTTTACATTATCCTTCCGATTTCCAAATCCAGAGGAAATTAAATTTTAATTTTTTCGACCGCTTACAAACCTAGAATTTATTTTTGTTTAATCTCAGGAAGCAATTGCTGATCCAAAGAAGGCTGAACAAGCCGAACGTTTAGGACTTTGCGGTCGAAGTATGGGCAGTGGAAACATTAGTCACTCTATTACTGGTGGAATACGTACTATTCAACAAGAAGATGTTTTTGGTTCAAAATCCAGAAAAGGTTTGTTTTAAAAATTTCGTCGATGAACGCGGAGTTTTATTTTTCTATAATTGAATGTGTCGCTTTTAATCATTTAATAACTAAATTTTAGGTCGTGATATGTCTTACACTGGAAGCGGCAAAATTTCTGATGAATGGGAAGTTATTGAAAGCAAAGGAAATAAATTTGGTACAAAAACAGCTTTAAGTTCAGGCTTTGAAGATGATGAAGGAAATGAAGAATTTTTTGATGCTTGGGACAAAACGTCATCACAGAAGAATGATGGGGCGAGTGATTTATTCCAACAAAAGTCGAAAAGAAAATCGCCATCTCCTGTACCCCTTGTAGTAACCAAATCTTCAGCGAATACTCGCAATGTTGGGAATAATAATGGCGGTGGGGGTGATGAAGCTGTAAAGAAGTTTAATAAAGCAAAAGCCATTAGTTCTGATCAATTTTTTGGTCGAACAGGAGAAATGGATGTAAGTTGGAATTTCTTTTTTTGGGCTTATTCTGGCCAAAAAAAATTTTCTCGACTATTTTCTTTTCGATTAAATTTTTTTATTCTAAATAGATGGATACACGTGCAAATTTAAGTCGTTTTGAAGGGCAAAATTCAATTGGGAGTGCTGATCTTTTTGGTAATTCTAAAGGGGGTCAACAACAAACTACACGTGGATGGTCTACTTATTCTGAACAAATACCTGAAATGTCTGATATAAAAGATTCTGTAGTTCAGGTTAATTTTTAAATATAAAAGAAAGCTAGGGATATTCCTGCAATTTTTTTTTGTGATTTTCTGGTCGGATTATTCCTATGTTAGTTAAAATAAAATTTTTGTTCAAAATTTAATAAACTGGTAGCAAAAAATCTTTCAATTTTATTTTTAAGGGTATGAGCAAAATGACAGAAAAATTATCAGGGTTAAGCAGTTCAGTTAGTTCTTATCTTTCGGTCAGTTTTTGAAATTTATTAAATATATATTTGGCGGTATTTCTCTTCTCCTTTTTTTATAAAAATCTTTGGGTCTCAATTGTTTAAACAATTTTCTAAAATATTTTTCATTAATTTATTTTCTCAAAATCTTAAATATTTTTATTTTCCACAAATTAATTAAACAAGAAAATATTGCTTTTAGAAAACCCCAACAAAGGGCTGATCAAAAGGCAAGTATGTCACTGATTATTTTTTTGAATTTAATTTCTTTTCTCTATTTTCTTTTATCCTTTCGATTCTTTGTTTTTTTTTGTTTTTTTCCATTTCTTTTTCAATTTATGTTTTTAAATTTTTGGTCATAACAAAAATATTTTTTTACATTAATATTTATTTGTTCTTGTTCCTACTAAATTTCGTCCTTTGGAATTTAATTTAAAAAATTTGTTTTTATTATAAAGCTCAATATTTTTTGTTATGACTTGTTAATTTTAATATCGGCAATTGAATTTAATTTTCATTTAAATTTGGTTTAACATCTAGAAAATTAGAATTTCATTCTATTGCCGTTATATATTGTTGATTTAAAAAAATTTTTTTATTTAAAAATTTTTTATTTAAAGGAACGATATTGAAAATGTGGATTGCTTCAATTAATGGATTTGTGAGTGATTGAAAATTAAGAAAAGAAATTTCAGAAAGAATTTGTCTCTCGCCGTTCCTAAATTTTTCCCTACGTAATATTTTTTGAATTTTAATTTAAAAAATTTTCCCTTTCAAACGTTAGAATTAAAGTTTTGTCCACATAATGCAAAAAATTCAAATGTCTTCCTTCGAAATTATTTTTAGTTAAATCTTGTCTGCCTATTTAATTCTAACATTATACTATGTATTCCTTTCTATAATTCTAAAATGATATATACTTTCTAGTAATTTACCTGTAAATGTTGAAATGATTCCTTTTTTCTATTAAAATAATTTTTAGATTGTTGAGTGTTTATTGAAAGATCAAAAACGCTTGACAATTTAAACATAATTTGACAAGGATTTTTATTCTTTCTAGTATGTTGTGGTTAAAATATTTAGAAAAAAAATCCATTTTTATCTCAAAGTAGACTAGTTTAATATTTCCTGAATATTCATCAAAAATTATTTTTAGCTACAACATATAAAGGAATTTAAAATAAAAATGTTGTATTGAGACAAATTGTGATATTTCCACAATGTTATGATTGATAAACTTTCGAGAATGTAATCTAGCGATTTTTATAACAAATTAAATTAATAATTTATTTAAGATGGCACAAAATACAATAAAATAATGAGGAAATAAATGTTTTAGAAAGAAAACAAAAAGCTAAAAAATTAATTCCTTTAATTCCCTTCACTGCTCAAGCAATTTAATAAGGAAAAGATTCAGGACCAGGGGTGTCCGCAAAAGAAAATATTTTTACGCGGCCGCAATCCGCAATTTTTATTTTATAATCCGCAAGTCGAAAAAATACGCAATTCCAGCAATCCGCAATTACGTACATCCCTGTTCAGAATTGTCGTCCCTTCTGTTTTACATAAACCTCTTTTAATCAAGCACTTATATCCTACTAAAAATATTATTCTTTTCAGAGGTTTATGCAAAATACATTTTCCAAAATAATTATCTTTCATTTATCCTTTTTTCTAAACTATTCTTCTCATCCAATGACTCCCTCATTCCTTCATCATTTGGAGATTCAAGAGACTTTGAATTTTGATAAGTTTTCTTCACATTTTCTGGCGAGAGTCCAATCTATTTATTTTAAATGTTAATTAATTTCTATTTTAGAAATTACTGCAATTTTGATGGGCAAAATTTTGTTTTGTGAAGATGATTGAAGTATCGTTTCTCCATTATTACCAATCTTTTTAAAAGCATCTTTGAAACAAATTTTTTGTTGGGTATTTGCTGATTTTATGCTTTCTATTTAAATTAAAAAGTAAATTATCCAAATAATTTGGAATTACATTAAGGATTTTACTAAATGACTTTAAATTTCTCAAATAAATTCGCCCAAAATTCGACTTTTTTTAAATTCATATTCATACAGCAGTTTGACTTTTTAAATGGGAAATTTAGAGGATATTCGGTATATTAAATTTAAAAATAATTTCTGATAACTTTCAAGCCCCGAAAAATTTTACCCAAAAGGGTCACTAAATATTTTTCTTCATTTTTCGATTACCTGTTCTACTAGTATTTGTTGACAATATTTTTCTTTCACTATTATTTTTTGTCACTGAAGATAAATAAGAAGAATTCGCAATCTGACATTTTTTGGATTTTTTAAAAGGAATTGCAGCGTAAACAATTGGAAGGACAACAAGTCCATGAAATAATCCAAGTGAAATTACGAGAACAATTACTTTGACAAATACCTAGAAAAAATTTGGAATTTTTAAAAAATTCCTCTTCTATCCATTTACCTGTACCATATAAGCATGTACAAGTACAGGGTGCGGCAAATTAAGCGCGCGTTTGTTTTTTGCCATAACTTTCTTCAATTTTAATGAAAATTGATAATTCTTTTTTTGTTTTATTCCCAACACTTTAGGAAACTTGCTGATACCAAATATTAAAAATTTGGTTCACTATTGGCAAAGATAATCGAGTTCGATCGTCTGGAAAATTTAAAAACATTTTCTATGCCAAAGTTTAATTGATCATAACTTCGTTCAAAATAGTTCAATACCAATGATTTTGGTACTAAACGACTCAGCTCGTTCAGGAGCATCGAAATAGCTTATGATCTCATTTTTGAAAATTTTACACAAAAATTTTATTTTTATCAAAATTATTTTAATTTATCATTCAGAGGACCATATCTCATTCGATTTTTGTCGTAGCCCCATGATTTTTATGTCATTCGAATCAGAATGAAGAGCTGATTCGAATGATATAAACATTTCCAATATTAAAATCTCAGCCTTGAATCTAGGCCAATTTTTATCCAAAAAATTCTGCTCAAACTGTGAGGGAAGTTTACTCAGAGTAAACTTAAAATTAAAAAGCAATTTTGGTATCAGCAAGTTTCCTAAAGTGTTGGGAATAAAACAAAAAAAGAATTATCAATTTTCATTAAAATTGAAGAAAGTTATGGTAAAAAATAAACGCGCGCTTAATTTGCCGCACCCTGTACTAAAACGAGTAAACTAAGTACTGTAGATAATGCTGCTTGAAGCATAGGCCAAGCAATTGAACGTAATGCGTGCACCAAACGTTCTCTACAGTCTTCAATTTCCCCTTTGTAGTAATGAAAGCTTATATGGGCAACAAAATCTACTGAAAGACCTATTGCCATTAAACTGAAAATTAAAAGAATTTTAAAATTTGCATTCGGTTAATGTTGAATTTTATGTAAATAATTTTTGCATCCGAGAACGATGTAGGTGGCTCAGTCGGTAGTGTGTTAGACTATATAGTGGTGAGACCGTGGTTCGAATCTTATTGGCGGTTATTATTTTTTGAATATAATTTATAACAAATAATTACGTTGTTGTCATCGAAATTGGGTCCAAATCAATACTCCAATAAAATAAAAGACCAAAAACCCCAATATTAATTGATAGGACGGCAGCGGTTCCCGGCAATATTGTACTCAATGAAGGAGTAAATAATATAAGGACAATAGTCATACATAGAAGTGCAAAGCCAACTTTTTAGAAAATTATAATTTTTAAAATTAAAATTAAAACCTGTCTGCATAGTTACTGGAGGAATACTTAACAATTGATCTGCATACATACTTTAAATTAAATTTATTTTAGTTGAAAAATCTAATAAATTTAAGTATTGTTTATTTGTGAATTTCTGGCTTATTTTTTAAAAAGTAACAAAAATATTCTGTGTAAGGTTTAGAAATCTTTAATTCTCTAAATATAAAATTAGGTATATAACAATTCTGAAAATTTCAGATTTTTTGTTAATTTTTATCAGAAAATAACGTCTATGGTCCAGTTAGGAGTTGCACATTCCAAGGGATTAGGTAGTGGGTTTGAATCTACCCGAGGCGAGTATTTTCAAAGTGTTGACTAAATATTTAATATTTTTTGTTTAAAAAACCTAAAATCTTCGTAAACAGTTAAATTTAAATGAGAATAATCATCTGCCAATTTCCTCCAATTTTGAAGTAAATCTAATCTGTCCTTCCATTCTACAGCATTTCTAAAGCCAGTGGAAAAAAAGAATTTATGGACACAAGAAGGACGTTCATTTAAACATTCTCTATTTTTAAAGAATTAAAAAAGAAAATAATTTCAAAGAAAATACTCTTTAGTTCCAAGACTAACAAAATGACTCCAACGATGATATTCAGTAATTGCAAAAAAGTCGTAGAGGTATTTGTATCGAAAATCAACTGATCCTCTATTCTAAAATATTGTTTGAAGAATTAAAGAGGTAAAAAACAAAAGCTAATGAAATTATAGTTAACATATTTTCTAAAATAATTACCCAGGGTAATTATTTCTCCGATCTCTGACTGTAGGGGGTAATTAACAGGGTGGGATAATTATTTGAGAGAGGGACATTATTTAAGCATTTATGGTATATAAAAACTTTCATTTCAGAAGTGGATTTTGGATTAAATTTATTCACTATTCGGATAAAAATTAATTTAAACCTCGATTCCTTTCCCGGAAAAAATAAAAAAGCCTTTTTTACTAGAAAATTGAGTTGTGGTATACAATAAATAAGCAGAATTCTATTCCTCTCTCCAAATAGAGAAATAATAAAAAATATGAGAGAGTAAATATTTTATTATTATCCCTCAAAATTCAAAAAAATATTTTGTAAATATTTACTTGTAACCCAATAAAAGGCAAATAAGTATTTAGCCACATTTGTGTACTTGAAGCTCCAACACTTCCATAAGCGTGCTCAAATCTTTCTAAAATTTTCATAATTTCGGGTACAGCCTCGGGATGTCGAAGATCCCCAGGATTGTTAATAAATACGGACATCTTAAATAAATATTTTTAATTAATTTAAATTATTTAAACACCTGTCCTCCTTCTTTAAATATAACATTTGTTTGTAATCTAACCTAAATTAAATTTAAATTAAAAAAATTTATTTTTAAAAATCAACATCTACCAATTCTAGCAAAGGGGAATCATCCAAAAATAATTTTTCCGAAGTTAAGCCAACTCGGATTTGAGAAACTGAAAATAAATTTTTGGAGTTTGTGTACTTCAAAAAATTTTAAGGAGAACCTCCATAAGCAGAAAAACTCCAATAAATAACCATAACAAATAAAAGTAAAATTCTCGCTGTCCAACTCATCACAAAATCAACATAAATATTAATTAAATTAGATGAACAACGAATTAATATTTTTGTAAATTTGTTATTTTTATTAATTCCTGAATTTTTGTTTAAATTGTTGCCGTTAATTATATGCTGAAAAATAATTTTTAAAAAATTTTATAAAAATTAAATTTTACTTTAAATTTTTTGGATTTAAAAAATAAAAAATAAGCATTTCTTCCAGACATTTCTCTACGCCCCCCAATTGTCATAATTGCCGTATAAAAAAATAATTGGTAAATATAGGCAGAAAAGACAGCCGTTGAAATAAATATACAAAATGTCTGAAAAAAAGTATTTTTTTGTTAATTTTTAGATTAGTCGAAAAATTGGGTAATTTATGAATAAATTAATGCACTATACCGTATATGGTCAATTAATTACCTAGGCATTTAGTATTTCAACCTTTCACTAGAGGGAGAGTAATTAATATTTGAGAGAGGGGGTAGAATAAGGATTTACTATTAAAGGATCATTAAAAGTTTGATTACTCTTAACAACTTTCTAATCCCTTTTCTAATAACTAAGGACAACACTTTATCATAATTTATGGAAAAAATTATGAAATAATTTTTGAACGAAAGGGAAAGCTATGGAGACCACTTAAGAGGACTTTGGAAAATCTAAATTCTGTTCAAAGTGTTTCTTAAAAATTTTTTTTCTAAGAGATTGAAAAAATTAAAACAATTTTCAAAAAATACCCGAATAGCAGGTGTCGGTGTAGCTATTCCAATTGTAAAACTTAGCCAATTAGTTAAAGAAGTAATTGTAATTGACGGCCCAGCACTTCCCAACATATCGGCAATTCTTTCTCTTAAAGCTTTATGAGGGTCAGTATTTTCCCAACAATGAAGAAAAATAAAAACATCGTCAACTCCAATAGCCAAAACAAGGAAGGGAACAACAACAACAATTGGTAAAAATTCAAAATTGAGCTTAAAAAAGAATATTTTTTATAAAAATATTTTTAAAAATATGTACCCAAAATAAAATTCCAAAAGAAGCGAAAATTGAAAGAATTGGACAGAAAACACCAAAAAGTGATTCCCATGGTTTACTTTTAATTTGATCACTTTTTAATGAAGTAATGACCTAAAAAATATTTAAAATTGTTAGTAAATAAATTTATAATATAAATTCCAAATTTTTGGTTAATTCCTTAAATTATTACAATTGGATCGAAATTGTTGGTTAATAATAGAAAATTTTGTTTCATTAAAAAATTTTTATTTATTAAGAATTATAAATCAATTAAAAAAATAATCGTTTTCTGCCTAATCAAAAGCCCTTAGGTCTTTCAAAAAAATTTTTTTTCAAATTTTATAAACCCCTCTTCCAAAAAAATTAAAACAAAAAAAATATCCAAACCACCATAAAAATCATAATCACAAGTAGACTAATAGGCATTAAAGGCAACACTTCAATTCCAGTCCTTCTAACTTCTTCAGACACCAAACCTTCGGAAGTAACAAATAATCTAATTAAAGGATCATTTAAAGTTTCAAAAGCATAATTAGAAACTGCATGTTCCCATTTCTTCATAACTCTTTCCATCGTTGAATTTGGATATATTGCATGGAAATTAATTGCTATTAAATTAGCACCTTCAACGAGGCGAGATCTTTTTTTAAAAAAATTTAAAGTTTAATTTGGAATTAAAACTAATTAATTTTAAAAATTTGGATATTAACATTTTATTTTTATAATAAGTCAAAGTGTGTAACAATTGTCTTCGAAAGTAATAATTGTCCCGAGAAAACTCCTTTATCAAGTCTTAGACTAGGTATTGTTTTGATAGTCAGATTTTATTTTTATATCATAAAAACTTCGTGCTATTAATATTTTTTATAGAAATCAAAATTTAAAACCAAAAACTCAATATTTTAACTGATATCAATTTTCAAACTAAATTTCCTTCAAAATATTTATTTAAAAACCCCTTTTCCCCTCTTCCTCCTCCTTCTTACCTATTATTTAATTGTACTTGAAATATATTATTAGCCAAATAAATTCTATGTCCAAAAACATCAATTGTTGGGAAAGTTAATTTAATATTATTTCCCTTTCCTCGATGCTTTACATCTCTATAAACTGTCAGGAAAATATTTACAGCATCAGAAGTTTCACATTGAGCACCACAAAAATCACTATAAGAATAATATTTGCCTTCATCTTCTACCTTTAAATTTAATTAGGTATATTAAAAGTGTTCCCTAAAAAAGAGTTTTAAATTTAAACTTTTACACAAAATTTAAAAAATGTTTGGCAAAATGTAAATACCGTATTTATTCTAATAGTACTACAGTGGTTCTATTTTTCAACCCTTCGATTTTTGTGGTTATATTAGAGACTGTGGTTCAAATAGAGACTGTGGCTTTATTTTTCAATCTTTTTTTTTGAAAAATAGGAAAAATATTGAGAATTTTTCTTGTCATATTCTCCAAAAATAATTATAATTTTTAATCAATTTGGTGGTTTCTCGACTTCAAAATTCTCTAGATTTTCGACTGCGGCGCCAGATTTAACAAGAATGTCGATTTTCTATAATAAGATCTAACCCTCAACTCGGTTTCCTAGTAAGAGAACCTAAGAAATTTACTAAGAACTCCTACCTCGTTGTTATATTAAAGTTTTGGAATGGAGGCATTTATAAGGGAACAATTAGAGTTGATACACTGGTATAGCAAGAGAATTGGATTCCTATTAATTCTGGAAAAATTGACAACCTCTTAATTCATCTTAATCATTCTCAATCCCCCAAATCCTCGTATAGATCAAATTCTCCTCATCTTCTTAGTCCTCCCAAATCTTTCTATATTTCCTCATAATCCACTTTATCTCATTTTCCTCATAATCCCCCGACACTTTAGCTCTCATAAATTCTCCTACTGAATATGCCATGGGCTTTCCTGGATTTGTTAAGGTTAACGAGAATTATAGTACTTATTTAAGAGTATGAGAGATATGTGGTTATATTAGAGACTGTGGTTGTATTTTTCAACTCCTCCATTTGATGTGGTTATATTAGAGACCGTGGTTCAAATAGAGACGTAGTACTATTAGAATAAATACGGTATTTTTTAATTTCCCTCAAAAGTAAAATTTTAAAATTTTAAATTAATTTCCCCTTTTTCTACCAAAAAATCTCCAAATTTTTTTTAATTTTTAATTCACACCTTTAATTTATATTGTAAAAAATCCTCTATTTCCAAAGCTTTGTCTATATATCTAAAATTAGATTTAAATAAATTTATTAAATTTATTTTTACTTTGGCCTTAATAAACTCTCAAAATCAACTGCTTGTATTGCAACAACTACATGAAATAAACCTCCCAATTCTTTAAAAAATTCCCGTGCAACTAAAAATTCATAACGACTAGGTGAATTATCTGCACTTAAAATTATAAGAAAATAATTTTTTCTTTAATTTTTAGGCAAAATTTACCTAAAATGATCTCTAACATTATTTACTTCTTTAAAATTAACAGCTCCAGAACCAAGCAATATAGCTAACAAAATACTGAAAAAATATTAATTTAAAAATTAATTTAAGCTTTTAAAGTTTAAGGGTGGGGGACGACTCAAAAATTTTTATAAATGATTCGATAGGTTTTGAGGTGCTACATCTTCTTCATAATTGGCTTGATCTGTTCTGATAATTCTACAAAAAGTTATTATGGATAAACGATGTCACAGACAGAAAAATCAGTTATCCGTCTGTAACTTTTTTTGTGTTAATCAGATCAGTTTGGGCCAATAATGAAAAGGATTCTTAATCTTGAGACTTTTCGAATGAAATGAGAATTATTCGAATTGGTTTTGCATTTTGCTAAGACGTTTTAAAAATTTTGTGTAAAAATTTAGTTTGAAATAAAGATAAATATGTATTTTCTACAAAGGTCAGTTTCAAAAATTGTCCTTTCATTTAAAAAATAAATCCCAGTTCTATACTAAAACATTTTATTCTCTCCCTTAAAAAGTAGTAAGTTTTAATTATAAATAAATTTTAAACCACTTTATGGATCAAAATGATCTTGATAGTTTATAACCAAATAGAAACTTAGTTTTACCCAGAAAAATTTTAAAAATTTACGAAATAAAAATAACAGTCCAGGGACAATAAGAGACAGAATATCCAAGTTGTCTAAATCCATATTCAATTTTCTTTTCTGCTTTTTCAGTTAAATTATTACAAAATAAAGTTATTGTTGACATTCTTCTAATTACTATAAAATCAAAAATAAACGTTAAAATATTTTCAATATTTTCTTGGATATTTTAGCTTCTTTTAGTTGGATTAAAGAGAGAATATAGAGAAAAAAGAAAACCGGTCATTTAAAAATAGACGTCGATTAGTGACGACGCAAATAATTTTCTTTCTTTTCTTTCAAGAAGCGGAACAACAACCAAAAAAGAAAGAATTAATTTTTTTTAAAAATATTTTTTGACCATTTATTTAACAATTTCTTAAATTTGAAATTTTCTTGGAAAATATTGTGGACATTAAATTTGGGGAAAATTTACAAGAGAAAAATCATTTTTTAAATAAGGCTAGCAATAATTAATAAAAAATAAAATAATCATTAAAAATTAGTTAAAGATAACTACTGTTTTTGTGTTAATCTTTTATTGTTACATATTCGCTTCATCCATTAAATTACTCTGATCAATTAATTACCGATTAAATTTAAAATAAAATAAACGGAGCAGAAAACAATAAATTAATTAAAATTTGTTATTAAATGATTAAAAAATTATGAAGATATACAAAAATTTATTAGGAAATCTTTTTATTTAATGGACAATAATAATCAAAAACTCCAAAAAAATTAATCTTTTAATTTTAAAAATTATGTACCTACTTGATTAATTTAAATAATTAAAAAATTCTTTTGACTCATTTAATCCTATATCATTTAAAATATTTATTAATGAGGTTTTTTTCAAGTCAAGAAAAAAAAAGAAAAAAATTTGGGTCAACGATTTTCCTTCATTTAACAATTTAAAAGTGTTTGTACGATTAGTTTGTTGCTCTTTCTCTCTTTTTCAGGTCAAGAATGGAGGAGAAAAAGGCTTAAACAAATTGCTAACATTTTTTAATTTAAAATTAAAAAACGAAATTTTTGAATTGAAAAAATTAAATTAATAAAAATAATAAAATTAATTATTAGAAAAATTAAAAAACCTCAAAAAAACTTTATAGAAAAGCAAAAGATTAGGTAATTGAAATTGAGCACATAACGGGAAATATACGGTATATCAATTCCTTGGTTCTATTATTGCCACATATTAACTTGTCCAAAAATCCGATACTTCTGAAATTAACATCCTTCAACCAGCTTGACGAGCCTAGTAGAATAAGCTAATATTTGAATATTTTGACACAAAAAGTTTTTTTTAATAACGAAATTAATTATTTTAGTTTACTTTCAGTTTTTGTTTAAAATTTTTCTGTATTTTTTCAGAAATTAAAAAAAATTTTCAATTTCTTCAGCTCTCCTTCTTTTCTTCAATACATTCCAGTATTGACTAATCAAAAATATTTTTTCTTCTTTATCTTCAAAAAGAAAGCACATAGGGAATAAAAATATAGAAAAAAGGCTTTCAAGCAAGAAAGCACAGCTGCTAAAGATTTTTATGTCCTTATTTTTTAAGAAGACTTTCTCCAAGGCATTGATCAAGTTGATCAGACAAGGAAAAATAAAAAAATAAATGAAGGAAAAAGCCTTTAAAAGAGAAAAAATCTTTTTTTCAGTCTTGCCAACAATAATAAATTGGAAGTTAAAGAAAAGAGAAGGAGGGGAGGATGCACTTGGTTTTACTTGTTTTGTTGTCAAAAACACAAGTTTTTAAGGACTTTTTTGTTGGAGAGAAATGCTCGCCCCCGTATAAAAATATATTTTCATCTGTTCGGCGTTCATCATCGACTTTTATTTTTTTACATTTTTTAGTTGAAAATCTAAAAAAGCTAAACGAGATAAGCGATAAGCATTTTACACTCTTTTTTACTCTTGCAAGCATTCCAAACCTCCGCAATTTTATATTTTTTAATTTAAAAAATTTTTCTTTTCCTGATTTGGCAAAAATTTTAATTAATCAATAAATTTAAAATAATTTTTTCTTAGTTTTTTTTGTTCTGAATTTTATAATTTAAACAAAATAAATATCAAAAATAAAATAACAACAATAACAATCCTTGTTGGAATAAATTAAAAATAAATTTCAGAAAGTAATTTTCAGAATCAGAACATATAGAATTAAAAATTAGATTTTTTTATATTTTTTTTAAAAGAAAAAGAAATTATTAGTGTTTTATTAATTATCAGCTTTATTTATTATTTATAATTAATTATCATTATTACAATCATTATTACATATATCTCGATATTCTAACTATGGTTTCCGTTTTCGAGTCGGGCCTGTACGAGTCACTTTCGTGCCAAACACCTAGGCCCGACTCGATCTTTCGGTCCGAGTCGGTCAATTTGACAACCCTAATTTTAACTAAACATTTTATTTCAAATTTTTATTTAATAAATTAATTTAAATAGTATATTTGTTAGAGGCAAAGATGGCGGATGGTGGAAGTGAGTTCGACGATGAGGAATACGAATATGAATATGTGGATGAAGAAGAACAAGAGGAAGAGCCGGTAATGAAGAAATATTTTTATAAAAATTATATCTAAAATTTTTAATTTTTAATCTTTTGTTGACCATAAATTTCCTAAAATAGTCCCACTCTCTAAAACCAAAAAGTCCATCCCCCTTCTAAAAATTATTATATTTTAAGCCAAAAGCAGCTCCTCCAACAAAAGATTCGTCTCCCCCAAAATCGCCAAAAAAAGAAAAAGAGCCATCACCTCCAAAATCACCAAAAAAGGAGAAAGAAGCCTCTCCACCAAAATCACCAAAGAAAGATGTTAGTCCTGATAAATCTCCTGTTGGCAAACGAAAAGTAAATTTTATTCAAGAATTATTTTTTAGTTAATTGATAATTGTCTGGGGGGGGGGGGGGGGAGATTATCTAAATAATTATTTATTTATTTATTTATTTAGGTCCGTACTCCTCGACAATCAATGGAAGAAAAACCAAAAGTAGAAAAACCCAAAAAATTAGAAGAGCCAACAGTTAATGAAGAAAAAGAAAATAGTTTGGCTGTTGATAATAATAATTTTGTTGAACCAAAAAGTCCATCAGCAGCTTCAGTGACTGCAGAACCTGGAAAATCCTTTCAAGAAAGGAACATTTCTGTTTCTGCTCTCAAAAAGCAGCAAATGTATTCTGGGGGAAAACCTAGCCGTCACGATAAAGCGTAAAAATTATTTTTTAAAATTTTGAATTAATTTTAAAAGATAGAAATTAGCAAAAATATTTAATTAAGTAAGAGTCTTGTAAAGTTAAATTACTCAGAGAATGTTTAGATTTGGAAAAATTAATTGAACATAAATGAAAACGGACTGGTCACAGAACCTTATTTTCCAAAACCATTAGTCTAGAAATCAGGATTTTTTGGGCCGACTGAAACTTCTGGATTGAAGCTTATGTATGTAAGTCTGGTGAAATAGAACAAACGGACATTGTTACATCTTATGTCAATATTTTGGAAGTATATCCACGATAGAACCTTTTTTCAGAAGTTTGGGTTTTATTGGATAATATTTTGTTAAGAAGTATTATTAGGGAGTTTTAAAGAAATAATAAATACAAATTAATTTTGAATGTATTTTTTAATAAAAATAATATGTATAATTAAAATTAAAGTAAAAAACCCTTAAAAATTTTCTTTAATTTTTAAGAAAGCTTATGCGTTCTGAGGGAATTATACCAATCCAAGCAGGAACAAATAAATATGCATCCCAAAAGGGAATGACTGGCTAGTAGAATTTTTATCTACTTTAAAAGAATTTTTCTTTTAAAGGTTTTGGTGCTCCACGTGACGTTGTTAAAGAATCAAAAGTAAAATCTGAAAATTTGGCAGAAATAACGGATGAAGCAAAAATAGCTTCGTTAAAAGGGTCAATTTGGTTACAATCTGGTACTAATAAATTTGCTTCACAAAAAGGAATGACTGGAATGGGGACACCCAGAGATGTTAATTATCGACCTATGGGGACTGGAGGAGCTGGAGATGTTCCTGAAGAGAAGGCTAGATTGACTGATGGTAAGGGAGCGAGGAAATTAATTAAAGAGCTAATAAAAATTTTAAAAATTATTTTATGGAAAATTTTAAGAATTTTGAGGAAATAATTAAAAATAATTAATTACAAAATTATTTTAATTCTTTGGAATTTAATGTTTTATAAATTAAAGGAATTGTACCTTTACAATCTGGAACAAATAAATTAGCATCACAAGCTGGAATGACTGGAATTGGAATGCCTAGAATTATTGATGGTTATCAATAAAATATTTATTTTATAAAATAACTATTTATTTGTTAAGTTCGTAAAACTGTTGATCAAGATAGAGAAAGTCAAGGATTTATACATTTACAAATGGGAACAAATAAATTTGCTAATCAATCTGGAATGACTGGTACATAATTATTAATTTGTGGATTTACTAAAATATCAGAAAAGTTCCAGTCCAAAAATTATTTTCTAATCCAATAAAAATCTTAAATTCTCTATTAGAATTATTTAATTTTATAAAATTAATAATTATTTTCTAAATAATTTTTATTTAAACACTAATATATTTTAATAAATCTCTATAAAGGTTTTGGTATGCCTCGACGTGAAATAACAAAGTATAAAGATGAAATTCGTGGTGAAATGCCTCATGATGAATCTACAATTTCACGCCAAACATCTGGATGGAAAGATGGTTAGTGTGGAAAATATTGAGGAATAAAAATAAAAATAATTTCTTGTAGAATATTCAAATTAAAATTAAATTTAAGGTGCTAGCCAGCAAGGAATGACTGGATTTGGGGCTTTCCGAAATAATACTGTAAAAATATAATTTTAAAATTAATTTCTAAAATTATTTCTTTTAGTTAAATCAATTACAAAATCAAGACCAAAGATCGCAAGGAATGATTCCATACCAAATGGTTAATTAAATTATTTTATTTAAATTTTATTTTAATTAAAAATTAGGGTGTCAATTTCCTGGACTCCCAAGCAGGCAAAACTGCTTTTGGAATGCCTCGCCGAACATATACACCGTTGGGAATATTTTAATTAAAAATTGTTTTAAAAAATTCTTTTAAAGTTATGTTGATGATTCACACGAGGATTTGCCTGCTGATATTTCTAGAAGGCCTGAAGTGCCTTTTTGGTCGGGACAAGAAACCGATTTTGCAAATCAGGTAAATAAAAAATATTAATTAGAATTTGGTTATAATAATAACTCAAAATGATAACCTTTAAAATAAATAGTACATAATTCTAATGAAGAATAGGTTTAAAAAGTACATAAGTTAACACAAAGTCGAAAAATTGCCTTTTTGAAACGATTTTGAATAACAAAATTATTTAATAATTTCTACTTTGTATAAGTCAAAAACTTTACTTTCACCTTTTTTCAGCAAGGAATGCTTGCTTTTGGAACTCCCCGAGATGTTCGTGGAGAATATGTTAGACGTATGTGGTGATTTATTGAAAATAGAATAAATATATTCTGAAAGGAAAAGTGCCAAAAAAAAAGAAAATATTTTTAAATTTTTTTCCTGCCAATTGTGTCAATTTGTCGTTGCCTTTTTTAATTTTTGAAAAATTCAAATATTTTTATCGTCATTTGCCTCTCATTAATTACATTTATATTTAATGAAAAATTTTGTATTGAATAAATGAGGAGAATTTTAAATTAAATATGTATGTATTTGAATAATTAATTAAATCAAGAAAGAATTTCCAAATCAAGGTTTCTTCTAATCAGAGAAATTGGAGGGATTAAGTGGATTTAGAGAGATAACGAGGTTACGGAGTGGGATTTGGAGAAATATTTTGAGGGATATAATCAAAATATCCAATAATTCCTGGAGGGCCGAGAAATTTATTAAGTCATTAAACTTTTTGGGGTATTTTTTTTAAATGAAGTATATAACACGAATAATATGTAGAAGAATAACTGAATCCCGAACTATCTATGGCAAATTAATGGGCTTTCAGATATGCTTAAAAGAAAATTTTATTTTTTCTTTAACCGGAGTAAATTATTTTTTGAAGTACATACATACTATTCCCCCATTTACTGTTGATTTTTAATAGAGCCCGGACGGAGGGCTCGGTCGATATTTTTTCGATAAATATCGAAAAATACCGAATATCTAAAAATATCGAAAAAACCAAAATTTTCTCGGTCGATATTTTTTCGATAAATATCGAAAAATATCGAAACCGAAAAATATCGAAAAAAATGTCTCGATATTTTTCGATTTTTCAAAAATTTTTCTATAACTAATGAATAACGGAATAGACTTAATAGTTTAATGAAATTAAGACTGATTAGATGGGATATTGGTGGATTTGGACGTATTAAATGTAATATCAATGGACTTGTATTTGATATCGAGGGATCAAGTGTGATATAATTGGATTTTAACTAGGAATAATGGATTTTAATCTTTGGATATCCCATCAAATTACTCTTAGCCCACTAAAATCTCTCTAAATATACCGAAATCCTTCTTAATTCATATGTGTTATGTAGGGATATCGAAGGAATATTGTAAGGGTCAAGAGTAAGGGTCAAGTTGGGCAAACCACATTAGAAATACCATAAACTGGGGGTCCCACCTCTATTATATGATGGATTAATGGGACAAGAAAGGATATTCTACAATCTTATAAGAATCTCGGAAGGTCAAGTTACATAATTTATGCGCCGCAGGCGAAAATTTTTTGAATTTCTAATGGGCAAGAAACAAAAATGCATCCTTTTTGGCGCCAAAAATCCAAATTTTTGTCAAAAATGACGTTCGATATTTTTTTCGATTTTTTATAATTTGGTCGGTCGATTGTTTCGATTTTTAAATTTTTTCGGTCGATATTTTTCCGATAAATATCGAAAAATATCGAAAAACTCAAAATTTTCTCGGTCGATATTTTTCGATAAATATCGAAAAATATATATCGAAAAATATCGAAAAAATATCGTATCGAGCCGGGCTCTAATTTTTAATATCTCGTTTAAAAAAACTTTGATAAAATTTTTTTCAGATATTTTTATAGAATTTAGTCGAACAAAGACGTATTTTTTGAAATTTGAGAATAATTAATTAAATTAAAAAATAAATATTTAAATAATGCTGAGATAATGTCCCTCTCTCAAAAAATTACCTATTAGCTACACCTTACAGCCAAAGATCAAAAAAATTACTTTGGGTAATTATTTTAGCAAATACCGTAATTAATTTTATATTAAAAATATTTTTTTTATTCAGATATTAAATAAATTCAATATATTTAAATTTGTTTATTTTACCAAGAAAAACTTGTAAACAAGTTAATAAATTGTCTAGACATTTAATTGCTTTAAAGTTAAGATCAAGTAAGACCATAAAAGTTATTTTCTGTCTGGATCGAAGTAATGAAGATCTTTCTTTTTTAGACCAAAAGTAATAATTTAACAAAAAAAAAGTTTTAATTTTATATATTTTTTGGACAAATTTTTATTTTTATTTATTTAGTTTTTGCAACATTTTATTTTTAAGTGTGACAGATTTTTTGCAAAGAAAAATAAAAATATTTAAATTTTAACTCTTTTTATTTTATAAAAACAAAATTTCTTTTTAAATAAAGAAAACGATCAAATACTAAATAAATAAAAAAATATTTTTAAAGATTTTTTGGTAAATATTTAAATGCCTAAAATTTGGTAAAAATATTCAGACAAAAAGTTTTTAGGACTTTTTTCCTAAATTTTCGCTTACGGCTAAAAAACTGTGGACTTTACTCAAAATCTATGCTTAGATCTGAAAATAATATTTTTAACAGTCCAACACTTATTTTTACTTGCCTGAATGGGCCTAAGAAAAAGTCCCATGAATGTCAGTATATTTTACAGCAAAAATAACATCGTTATACCATATCAGGAAAATTTTTTCGATTGATAATTCTTTAATTTTTAAATCTCAAAAGTTTCCACATAATTCCCCTTGCATAATTCCTTCCATTAAAAACTTTAAATAGTTGAGAAAATTTAAAATATTAATTTAAAGATCTTAATATCCTCGAGGGCTATTTTATTAAAATTAAAAAAAAAACAAAATTATTCAATTTTGTTTTTTAAACTTTTTATTTCAATAAATTTTTAGATTTATTTAAGATTATTTTTTAAAAATGGAATATTCTTTATTATTTATAATTTTAATTATTTTTTCAATAATAATTACAATAAATGGAAAAGGATGTGGTTGGCCTTGTAGTCCTGTTACTTGTCCTAATGGATGTGGCTAAATTTTAAATTTATATTGTAAATATTTAATTTAAAATAATTATTTTATTTATTTTTTATTTTAAAGGGAATTATTTGGAAATTAACAAAAATACATAAAAAGAAGATAAATGAATTAGAATATTTTAGCTTGCACGTTTTAATTAATTTTGATAGTATAATTTAATAAAAATATTTTTGTCATTTTGTTTGTTATAAAGAAATACTTCACAATTCAGAATATTTTTCTTTTTTGATTCCGACTTTTAGTCATTTTTAGAGCATTCCTTTAATCAAATCGGGCCTTAGAGTTTTTACGAGTTCTTGATCTTACGGACTGAGTTGGCCATTTTGGCAATCCCACGTAAAATCCTTGCTGGCTTTTATTGTAATTAGTAACAACAAAATTATAAAAGTTGGTGGCTAAAATATAGTTGCATTCAAGGTCAGAATTCGTTATAACTCTCCAGAATGACTCGATCTAGTAAACAGATTTTCCAATCATTTAGATTGTCATCATACTATAGATATACAGTTTATAATCAAATAATTGCCATATGTAATTATTGTTTTACCCTCTCCCTGAATTGGGTAATTAATCAAATAGGGACAATTATTTTGGAGAGAGGGTAATTTCGAGAATGTACGGTCCTTCTACATATTATCGACTCTTTATTGATATGGCAATGGAAATCTAATCAACAAAACTTTTCTCTTGATTATAAAATTAATTCACAAAATGTTTCATTCTTAGTTTTAAAAACCAGACATTTACTTGTTTTTATTTGTTGGAATATTGAGCGAGAAGAAGGATTGTTGTTGTTGGTTGATGTTCAATGTTATCCACGTTAATATCTAATATTTCTCTTTTTAAAATAAAAATCTTGAATTGTTTTTAATTTTCCAGTTTATTTGTTAATTACTTATTTCGTTATATTAATTACCTAAAATATTCTCATTGATTTTTAAAAATATATTTTTAATTGAAAATTTCAATTTTTTAAAATTTTTCTAAAATTTTTGAAAAATATATTTGACAATTAATAAAAACTGTGAATATTTATTTATTACTGGCAAAAATATTATTACTGGCAAAAATATTATTACTGGCAAAAATATATAAATTATAAGTAATTTTATATTCTATAGCCTTTAAAAAAACTTTTTTTCAGATAATTTTAAAATGCCTCGTAGATTAAACAGATATTTACAAATTTTAATTAAACAATTTATTCGTTCTGATATTTTTAAAATAATTATTTATATTTTATTTTTAATTTATTTATTACCATTTAATGGAAAAATTAGAAAATTACTTCAACTTTTTACTGGAAAAATGTGTATTCAAATGGGGATTTTTGTTTTGATACATTTTTGTATGTTTTTTTTAATTAAATTTTTTGAATAATAATCTTTTAATAAAACCGTCACATCTATCGGCCTGTACTGATTAAATTGTGAGAACTACAATATAAAAATAGTGTTATATTTAGGGCTAGAATTTTTAGACAAATGTCCGTTTTTTCTTTGATAAGTCTGATGCTGAAGTATCAACAACTACAAGCGTTCTCAAATTTAAAAAAGTCACAGGCCTAGATACACCATTTTTCCTTGGCCTATAACATTATCCTTGGCCTACACATAATAACACTATTTTTGGCCTATAACACTATTCTTATATACATCGGGTGATAAATACCCTCTCATTCTCACCTGTTTTTTATCAATCTTGATTTTTGAAAAACCTCGACCTTCTTTGGTTAGCTTTTAGAGAGTAGTAGATTATTTATATAACACTAAAACAAACATTTTAAAAGCATTGTATTTAATTAAAAAAGAAAAAATTTAATTTATTATTTTTATTTAATTTAATTTAAAAAATTTCTTTAAATTTATTTTCAGCACGTTTCTCTCTCCGGCATTTTTCTCGTCAATTTCTTTATAATCATTGGGAATTATTGCCTAATTTAGACTCTCCAAAACACAATTTTCGGCAATCTTTTAAGCCAATTTTGGCAAAAATTCCAAATTGTGGAAGAGAAATAAATAAAATAAATAATTATTTAATTTTAAAAGAAAAAGAAGAAGAAGGAGAGGAGGAAGAAAGAGAAGATTTTGATGATAATAAACAAAAGAAAATTCCAAAATTATTTAAATTTATTAATTATAATAATAGAAGAAAATTTAGATATGCTTAATGAAAAAATGTTTTTTGTTTGAAAATATTATTTAAATATACAGTGCGCGTCAACATATCGTCCACTTAAATTTTGGATTTTATCTATATGTCCATGTTAAATCGTGATAAAATTAATTAAAATATATTAAATAAGGGCAAATCAATCTTATTCTAACTATAATAATTTAACTAAATATTTATTCAATAAAAAGTGATTTTTAAACATTTGTGCCAAAACTTACGCGTCATAACTATACGTCAACTTCAAAAATAAATCTTTTTGTTTCTATTTTCGACATTAAACGTGGTCCGAAAAATCTACAAAAATTCCTATAAAACATATTTATTAATATGAATATAAAAATACCTAATAGATATTTCTTTAAATATTTTAATTTTTATTAATTTTCTTCCATTAAATTTTTATTTAATTTTCAAAGAAAGTAATAAAAAATTATTTTTAATAAAAATTAATTCCTCCTTTCCTTTTTTATTTTTAAAAATAATTAATTAAAATATTACCAATATTTTTTAATCAAATTTTAATAGGTAAATAATATAAATTAAAAAATATTTTATTACTTAATAATTACCTGTTTTTATATATTTTTTAACAACCTTTTCAAAAGTAACCTTAGAAACAAAAAGATTTATTATTTTATATATTTTATTATCAAAAGCTTATTATTAAACTAAAAGTAATAAATTTAATTTTAAAAATCTTTGGTTAATCTTGCAACATTCCTTTTATCACTTTTGGTTTAAATTTGCCCTCAATTTCTCATTTTTCTCTCATACATAATTTTATTTTTTATTTAATTTTTATTTTTTCCAAAAAATTTAATTTTGTTTCTATTAAATAAAAAAATTTCAAAAATGTGTTGTCGCACCTAAATTTTCTTAAAAATTTCTTAGAAAGGTTAAAGACTAATAAAATATCAAAGAAGATAAATATATAATTAAATAAATTTAATTTTTAAATAAAACTCAACAATTTAAGTAAATATTCTGTTAAAATTTAATTTTTATTTTTTTTAAAATAATTGTTTTAAATTTTGATATAAAATTGTTTTAAATTAAATAAATTTTGAGACAAAATTAATTTAGAATTTCTCAAAAAAAATTTTTTTAATTTCATTCTTTGCTTTAATATTTAAGAAAAATTATTTTTAATTTTCAATAAATTTTTAAATAAATATTTTAAAAAATATTCGAAAATACTCAAAAAATATAACGAATGAATTTGTTCTTAAAAAATGACTGGGATTGTTGATATTCTTTTTTGGGAATTTTCTTTAAATTCCATGCCGAGTTTAATTTATTTTTAAATTAAATTATTTATCAATAACAAAATATTTAGTTTATTATTATTTAATTATTAACTAAAATATTGTTCACCATTTCTTGTCCACTCATTTAAAAAAACAATTCTAAATTAAGTAAGAAAATAGTTGCTTTTACTTTCTATTTTAATACATCTTAAACCCCCGCCTAATAAACTTTTTAATTGTTAACCAGCTGAAGGATCTCCCTCCTTTCCTATAATTAATTTTATTTAATTAAATTAAAAATATTTTCAGAAATTTATACTTATTTTAATTATTATCTAAAATATTGTTTCCTTTTAAATATAAATTTATTAAATATAAAATTTTATTTAATTGAATCTATTTATACTATTTCAATTTCATTTTAAATTTGGATAATTACAAATTTAGATTTTTAAAAAATATTCCCTTTAATATTAAATCAAAAAAATACTTTTCTTATTTAAAAGAATTTAATTCCTTGAAAGAATTTTAAAATTAAAAAAAATGAATTCAACAACAAATTCAACAACAACAATTTTAGATAATTTAGTTATTGTAAGTAATTCTATAGAATTACTTCCAGCTTTTTTTGCTTTATTTGTTGCATTATTAAATGTTTGGTTATTATTCAAAAGCTATATTTTGCATTTAAATTTAAAAATTATTTTAATTATTCAAAGCTTTATTATTTTTATTTTTGTTTTTATTCGAATATTAGAGTAAGTTTTTATTTTTTTTAAATATTTTTTTGTAATTAGAATTGTCGTAAAACTAAAGAATCTATTATTTTTCTTTACGATTTAGTTCCGGATATACTAAGATTTTCTATGAACCGTCTCTTTCCCAAAATAAAAAAAACCATTTTCTAAATAATTAACTAGAGAATCTGAGATTTCTTCAAATAAATTCCTACTTTAAAAAATTATTTCTAACCGAACTAAAATGACAATCTCTATTTATAAATAATATTAAGACTGGTATAATTATATGATTTTTCGGTAAATCTCGAAACAAATTTCATAAATTTTTTTACTGAGATGAATCAACATTAATGAATATTTTTATTTATTAAAATAAAAAATAAGTAAATTTTAGAAAAATTAATAAATTAACACTAAGTTCTTTTTTAAAGAAATTAATTAAAATACATATAATTTTTAAATTAAAAATTAAATATTATTTTCAGTATTTTCTCGAATTTTTTATATCACACAAGTATTTATTATGAATATAACTTTATCGACAATATCGGCTGTTGTGTGTTAATATTTGGTAATATGATGGGACATATTATAATTGTAGAAAGAACAATAGCTACTTTAGATAGTGTTAAATATGAAAAACAAAAAGGACCTTGGTTTAGCATTCTTTGGATTTCAATTATGGTAATTCTGATAATAAATAAAAAAAAGATTAGATATTCAATAATGAAAAGTACATTATCCCCTAAAGTTTTTTTTATTATTAAATGATATTAATTTAATCATAAATATTATTTATTTTATTATAGGTAATTATAGATAATTATAATTATTACAATCATAAATATGATATCATATTTAATTAGAATGACTAATTAATTATATATATATATATAGTACATAACTCGGAAATGCTTTTCCTTATGAATTTTTCATTAGACTATTTCCACTTATATAACACAATTTTTAAATCTTTTCTTTCGATTTTTAATTTCGACCTTTTGGTGTTATTTTCGAGTTCCGATTTTCGACGATTTTTTTGTTTCAAACCAGCTCTGATAGCGAGACGCAATATCCATTTATAATCTAATAGAGATTATTTAATGTAACAAAATTAAATAAAAATTTTTAATACATTGGAAATTATTCAAATATTTAAATTTAAAAAAAATTATTTTTTGTTAGGTTATTTTAATAATTATTGGACAAACAACACCAACTATAATTGTTGAAAGAAAATTCAACTTTTATGTATTAATAACTCATATAGCTTTGGGTATTAGCATTGTAGAGTTAATTGTTTGTTTTAAATAATTAATTTTAAAATTTAAAATTATTTTTAAGGTTTTTTCTATTTTACATTTAAATAATCAAAAACGTTTTGAACAATTTAATGATATTAAAGCTAATTATACACACAAATACAAATTGAGCGAGAGATATCAAGTAATTTTTTTTATTTTTTTAAATAAATGGGTATTTGAAAAGTAGATTTTTAAGGGTTTTAATTTTTTTAAAACTGAATTTTTGTTTTTTCGATCTGACTAAGTTATATAAAGTTTCCCCTGTTACAAATAAGAATGTTTTTAAGTCTGAAAAGGAAATTCTTAAATATGAAATTCTTATGATAATCAATGGCTTTTAACTTGAAGATTTAATAGACAAAAAACTAGAAAGCCACAGTCTGATTTCAGTTTGAAAACCCCAAAAAATAGGGAGTGCGTATAATTAGTTAACAGAGTGTACTATGTATCAAGCAAAAATCGGAAATTTAGAGTGGTTATAATTACCTACGTTGTTTAACAAAGCTTAAATAATGAAATGTTTGTTATCCATTAATATTTCATTTAATAAAATTGCCAAAAAGATTGTGATTATAATACAAATAAATTCCGAAATTTTTTATTTTTCCAAATTTTTAGTTACAAGAAAATATTTATTCTGGCAAACAACTTACCCCAACATTTATTTTTCATTTAATTAATATTTTATGTTCAAATATTGTGGTTATACTTAATTCTTATACTAATCTAGATCAATATTTACTTAATTCTTTAATAAGTTTTATATTTTTAATACACACTGTATGCAAATTGGGAATTGAAATTACTGTTATAACGTTTGTTTTGATTGAAGAGGATTTTAATTTAAAAAAATCTTTTTCTTTTTTCCTTTCCAGTTTTCATCCATTATTAAACAAAAAATTAAAGAATATATTCACAAAGTTCAAAAAATTATTATGTGGCAAATTTACCTCAAAAATAGATGTTAGAACAACAATCGAAATGGGGGATAGAGGAACAACACAATTTAATGAGAACGAACAAGATAAACATTTTAAGGCTTTAGAAAAGTATTGGAATTAAATTTGCTTATTTTATTCTATTTATTTGTAAATACCAGTGGATATCCGAAAATAAATTTAAAATTTTCTTAAATTAAAAGTCTAAAAATAAGAAAATTATTTAATGACTCATTAATTTAAAAACAAAAATAGTACTTTTGATTTATCAATTTTCAATTAATTCGCCAAATGGAAATCAAAATCAATTTAATTGTTTAAGATATTTCCTTTTTTGTTTTTTATTTTATTAATTCTGTTTATTTAGTATGTTAAAATATAAAAATTAAATAAATATTCTATATTTTAAATAAAATTTAATCTAAATTCCCAATACATGTATTTAATTGTTATAAAAATTAATTTAAATGTTAATTCTCTATGTAAATATAGTACACAACAAATCTTGCTTTCAAGCTTTAAGTTATTATTTTCCGGTTATTCCCCTAACTATTTTTTCCATTAAACATCCAAAAATAATGTAGAATAGCTCAGTCGTTATTCGATTAATATTAAAAAAATTTCGAGTTTTGTCATGTCGATGATGGCAGTAAATATTGTTTTTATAATTGTTTTTATTTTTTATAAAATTAAGCATTTTATTAAAAATGTATTTTTCTGTTTTATATATTTTTATTTTAACCCTAATTATTTCGTTAATAAATCAAAGTCATTGTCTTGGCACTAAACAATCAGCAGCCGTTAGAGGAAATTTAATTTGTAATGGAAAGCCGAGTGTAAACACAAAAGTTAAATTATACGATCAAGACAGTTGAGTTGTTTTTATTTTTGAATAGATAGACTTTTTTTGTTTTAGTGCTAAAGTATTGAATTTTAGGGTTTAACCTTATTAATGTAAAATTCAGTCATTATTTTAGGTTAAAGTTTTAATTAAAGAATAAACGGAAATCACAACATTTTTGATGTGATTATTTGCCAAATATCCAAATATGCATAATAACTTTTCATATTAATTCGTAACTAAATCGAGGCAAATATTTTTTGTTTAGGGGGAAACTTACATAATCTACTAATTCCTTAAATAATACACTCATTAAAATTTAAATTTTAATTTAATAATTTCTAATAGCTTTTGACCCTGATGATTTAATGGATGAGGGTGTAACCGACGAAGAAGGACATTTTGAATTAAGTGGAAGTGAAACAGAAGTTACTGATATTGAGCCGAAAGTTAATATTTATCATGTAAGCACTTTGTTGAAATTTTTTGCTAATTTTTTTAATTTTTAAAGAATTGTAATGATGAATTAACTCCTTGTTTGTTAAAAATATCAATTGAAGTAAGTTTTCAAAATAATGTCAGATAATATTAAAAGATAAAAGAGTTAAATGACTAACAAATGGTGTAATGGATAACACATCAGTCCGATCTACTGAAGATGCTGGTTCGTTCCCAGCCGCCAAATAACCTTTTGCACTAGCTATACATATGTAGGAGAGAAATGAATAGCTATAACCCAGCTGCTTTACTATAGTTGCGATTAAAATTTAAATATTATAAAACCAAAAATTCTCAACTCCATATAAAAGCAAATACAATTTTTAGATTCCTGATGATTATATAACAGAAGGATCTAAACCAAAAAAGACTTTTAATATTGGAACATTAAATTTAGAAGGAAAATTTTCTGGACAAACACGTGATTGTTTTAATAAATAAAAAAGAATTTATTTTTCTTTTGAAAATAAAATAACAATTTAATAATTATTTACAATTAAAAGTATTTTGATTAGAAATTGTGGGTAAGCTTAAAAAATCTTCGATTTTCTGATATTGTATAAATTATTTTCCAAATATTTAATCCAAATATTTTGGCCAATAAAATTGATAAACAATCCAACAAACTCCACATAATAGCCAATACATTAAAAAGAAATAAAGGACCATCCAAATTAAATAAGACCAACTTTTAGTGAAAATTATTTTAAATTAAACTTTCAAAAACTCTCTATTTAATACCTCGTTGTCATTCTTGTTAAAACAATAATTATTTGTTCTTTTATTGAATCAAAATAATTATGAGGAGGGGAATTTTGATTAGAATTTATATTGTTTGTATTTAAATTATTTAATTCATTTTTATTGTTAATTTGTGAATTAATATTAGTAGGTTGTTTTTGTCCAGTCCACCAAAACCAACTCCAACAAATAAATCCCCAAAAACTTATAGAAGTACGCCATATCTACATAATTAAATTAATTATTAAATTTAATTAAATGCGCGTGAATTCTATTTTTCAATCATCTCTCAGAGGGGCATTCTATTAGAGGAGTACGGTAATTGTTTACTTTCTTTTGTTATTTTGTTTTTTATAATTATTTTGCTATTATGTATATGTATTTTAAAATTAAAAAATTAATTTACAAATTTAGCACTGTGCCAATATCTTTTCACAGTATAATAGGGCACCAAAATAGGTGCAAGTATTGTATATTGAAGTAATTTAAAAAATAAAAATTGTGTAATCCGTAAAATTAAATTTTTAACTTTAAAAAAATTTAAATTAATTTAATTCATTTTTCTTACTTTTATTGGCAATCCAATAAAAAATTATTTGTGAAGAATAGTAAATATTAAATCCGGCTAAAATTACTTGTTCCCTTTAATTTAAATTTTTTAAATTTAAATAAATTTATGACTCATACATTTTTATTTATTTTGCAACACAGCTGGCAATTAAAAAAATAAAATTTATTTAAAAAATAATTTAAATTTTAATCAATAAGAGAAAGAAAATATTAATTAAATTTTAAATTCTGACAGGGGAACATTTAGGAATTTATAAAATGTTTTTTATGTTTTCAAATAAAATTGATAAAAGATAAAGTTATTGTCCTTTAACATTCTGTAGGGAAATTGAAATATTTTTGTTTAGTTGACATTTTGAAATAAATACGGTATTTTAAAAGAATGTTGAAGGAATTTTTAAAGAATTTTTTTTATAATTTTTTAATTTTTTTAGTTAACAAAAAATGCCAAATAGCAGTATTCTCTCTGTTGAATCTGATTTAATTGATGAAACAACAAAAAAGAAAATGGTTGATGATAACCAGTCAATGGATGAATTTCCAATGTTTTCTTCAAAAGTTTGGAAATATTTTTTGAAAGTTTTTTTTTCAATTTTTTTAGGTCCGTGCATTAATGGCTCAAGTAGACGATTCAGAATTAATTCGTCCAGATTTTGATTTAACTGTTTATATTAATAAATTATTTCCAACAGAACAATCTTTGGCACAATTGGATGTTTTTATGAAAAAATTTGATGAAGAAATTGTTTCTAATTTTAGTCTAATTTTGAAAAGAAATGTTTTTAGGAGCAATGTGAACAAGATTTATCTAAAGCTGTTGCTGAACATGGACGTTGTGCTGTGGATGCTAATAATACTCTTTTACAAGTTTTTTAATCAGAGAAAGGTTTTTAATTTTGTTTTTAGGCCAAATCAATGATTGGAGAACTTGACCAAAAAATAAAAGAAATGAGGGGAAAAACTCGTTGTTCAGAAGATTCAGTATTTGAACTTACAAAAGATATTAGACAATTGGATGTAGCAAAACGGAATTTGACTGAATCTATTACTACTTTACATCATTTACACCTTTTATTGAATGGCGTGAATTCTTTAAGTAAATTTTTTTTTCTTGGTTTGTTTTCTTGACTTGTATGAGCAAAAACGCAATTTAAAAAAAATGTCTACACTGCCCAAAAATCTCTACAAAATGGGGTACTTGTGTAGTTTACACCCCATAAGCCCCGCCCCTTTTCTTTCATAAAATGATCAAACGGGTCAATGTTTTCAGTTTTATTGTGGACACTTTTTAAGGAAAAGGAAGAAAGGATAAAGGAACGGAGCTTATGGGGTGTAAACTACACAAGTACAAGAATTTGTCATTGTTTTCGATGCTAACCATAACATATTAAAATTCGTAAAATTTCAATATTTTTTCAGTCCAATGGGTTTCCAATCGGCAATACCGTGATATTGCAATAGAACTTCCAGCTGTCCTTAACGTCCTCATTCTTTTTGAGGACTATCAACATATCGAACATATCAAAAACCTTATGGAAAAATTACAAAAAATACGCGAACAATTAAGTGTGCAATTAATTGGGGATTTGAAATCTGCTTTTACTGTAAGAAAAAAATTTTTTAATTAAAAAAATTAAATTTTCAGTCAGGTCAAATTGGTTCTCAAACTAGCGATATGTGCAGAGTAATGGTAGTTTTTTAATTAATTTTTTTAAAGAAATTTTTTTAAAGGCCGTTCTCGGTGGGCAATTACAAGATAACTTTATTGAATGGTTCATCTCTCAGCAATTGGGAATTTATGGAGTTTTGTATGCTGATTCAGAAGATGTTGCTTGGCTTGATAAAATTGAAGAAAGGTTTACTAAACAAATTTTTTTGATAGAAGGGTTTTCTGCGAATTATGGAAACGCCTCAATTTTCATTTAAAAATAAAATTTGGTCTTTAATTCATTTCATATTTAGATATCGTTGGTTTGTAAACAAATTGGCTGAATATGAGCGAACTGGGTTAACAAGAATTTTTCCACAACAATGGGAAATGGGTAGAAGGCTTGCCAAAGAATTTTGTAGTATGACAAGGTTACTCTTTAAAACGTTAATTTTATTTGGGCGCGTTAACGAATAAATGGTCTGTCAAAGATCCAAATAAAATTAGGCATAACCGATTTTAATTTTATTATTTCTTCAATATTTTCTTAAAAGGAACTCATTGGGACGAATGATGATTCGTCGAAAGAGTGAAATTGATTGGAAATTACTTGTGCATGCTATAAACCATACACAAATGTTTGAGCAATTGTTGACTAAAAGATTTCCAGCAAAAGAGGAGTATGACTTTGAAAAGGTTTTTGTAGTTAAATTTATCTTCTTCGAAACTCAATTCGAACTTATAATTTTATTTCCTAAAACGATTGAGGATATTTTTGAACTTATATTTTTTGTTTTAGCCACTTTATTTTCTTTTTTAGATAATTTGGTCAGTATTTGATGAACATGTTGATATATTTTTGAATGAACAGCAAAATAAAATTTCTCATTTTCTCAATGAATGTGCGGCAAAAATTCGAAGCGGTGAAGAACGTCCAAAAAAGGAAATTCATTCTTCAGCCATTCCTCTACCCTCCGGTTTTTTAATGATTAAAATCTTACAAAAATTAAATTTAGCTACAAATATGTTTTTGTTAATAAAGAAAATAATTACTGAATCGACGAAATTATTTGCAGATGCGAATAATGTTTTGAGGTTTACACTTTAAATAGCTAATCTTTAATTCTGAGACATTATAAAATTTTTATAGAAATTCTCTAGATTCTTTATGTGAGTATTTTGACAAAATGTTAATTCATTTAAAGAAAAATATAAAGATTTTCTCTTTCAGGAAAGGAGAATCTGACAAATATTTAAATAGAAAGATTAGTGAGATTCCCTAAAATTTGAACAATCAAATACTTTCATGTTTATTTTCTAGCAAATTAATCGAAATATTCCGTCAATGTTTGCGTCAATACGCACATGGCTGTCTTTCAGCTTTTCTTCCTCAAACATTTTCGCAGACTTCTTCTACTCTATCAGGCGTTGGATTAATTGGAACTTCCTCAATTTTACAGAATTTAATACGAGACGAGACATCTCCGTCTGCTCGTCTGACACAAGACCAAATCTATTTTACTTGTTGTATATTAGCCACAGCTGATTGGAGTGCTGAAACAACTGTTCAATTACAAGAAAAATTGAAACAAAAAATATCGGTAATTTTTAAATTATTTATTTAATTTTGATTTTTTTTAGCCTGCAGATTTAAGCCAAGAATCAGAGCTATTTTACAGCATTTCAAATAATTCTCTTAGTATTCTTGTACAAGATGCAGAAATGCTCTGTGAGCCAAGTTTGCAAGCTATGACTAAAATAAAGTAAATTTTTAAGAATTTTAAAATTAAAGCTTTAATTTTTAGTTGGTCAAATATTGAACAAGTTGGAGATGAATCCCCTTATGTTTCTACAATCAGAAAGAATTTACGTCCAACAGTTCCATTAATTAGAGATTATTTTAGTGAAAGGTTATTTTAAAGAGAATTTTTATTTTATTATTCCCTAAATTTTTTTTCGGATTTTAGAGGAAATTTTTAATTTATTCAGACTTGTTTTTCATTATTTTTTTCAAATTTTTAGAAGAAAATATTTTGCCCATTTCTGTATGAAACTTGCAACTAATTTGGTCAACAAATTTCTTGGTGCAATATTTAAATGCCGACCAATATCTATAGCCGGTGCAGAACAATTATTGTTGGATACACATTCTTTGAAGACTTTTTTACTTAATTTGTAAGATTAGAAGAGTAAAATCTTAAAATTATTATTTGTAATTTTAGACCCTCAATTGAAAGTTCAATTGTAGTAAAACCTCTGCAAATGTATACAAATACTTTGAATAAAGGAATGGCGAGGGCAGAAATGATTTTGAAGGTTATTAAAGTTTTTATTTTTTAGTGAGGGATTGGGTTAAGGCAGGGGTTGAAAGTAAGTGAGGAGAAATAATTTAACATTTTCTAGGCTGTGATGGCAGATACTTCAGACCCAAATGAATTTGTGACTCATTACATGAGAATCTTACCGGATTCTGATGTTAGTGAATTACAACGAATTTTGGAGATGAGGTCAATGCGAAAAGCGGACCAACAACAACTTGTACAATTATATAAAACAAAATTGGAAAGTGGTAAAGGTAAATTTTTTTAATTAAAAATCTCCAAAATAAAGTAGATTCTTGGAAGATTTTTATTTTTTATGGCAAAATTCCGTGCTTTAAAGATTAATATTTTAATATAGGTGATAATCAAACAGTAACTAATACAAAAACAATGTCAACATTTGAGACATTAGCTGGATCTGCGGGCATTCCCTCATCTTTGGCTAGTTTTGGTGACTCGAGTATGCGAAAATTAGAAAAATTTGTTAGAAAGATGTAAATGTTAATGCAGGATGTCCTTTCCATAGCACTACAGTGTGTTACGAAATTTCTGGATTTCTAGGTTAATTTACTACTGCAAATTAAAATAAAATTGAAATATCCTTATCAATCATTGTACTAATTTTGTATATTTTGTTGCGCATTATTTTGTAGCAGTATCATTTGTGAAAATCGATTAACTTTACTAAAAAAATTGGAAAATAAATTATTTTTCTCTGATTTTCTTTTTTCGCTATAGCATTTTTCCATCTTGTAACTTAAGTCTAAATTACTCATTAAAGTTAATTTTAACCTAATATGACTCAGTAGTCCAAAACCAGAGCAAACGAGAGAAAATTTTTTGTAAAATATGTATTATTATAGAGAAGTAAAGGATTCAGCCATTTGGTCTCGTGTCTTAACAAAATGGTACTCGACAAAATGGTGCTTTGGCTAAAAAATGACAAAATGATACTCAATGGAGTGGCAAGGAAATGGAAAATGTCTTGTAAACTGGAGTAATCTTTGAAAAGTTGAAGAAGTAACAAGTTGGCAGATTTTAGTGATAAGGAAATGGAAACTGAAATTTAGTATTTTTGTCATATTTTTTATAAATCTGTACCGTTTTGTTATTATATCATTTTGTCGGTACCATTTTGTAGTGGTGCTTTTGGTCATTACACAGTTATTTTATTTAGTTTGTCCCCGTTAAACCACAAAATATCTTTTAATGTCTAATTCTTTTTCATTCTTTTGAGATCAACCCGCACCTAATTAAATATTTTTTTGCTTTTTAGCACTGATAAGAAAATTTCTCTAACATTTGTATTAGGCAATATACACAATATTTCTTTCATTTAAATCTTCAATCAATTATGCTATTTTTCCCGGTCATTTTTCCTTTAAATGCACGAAAACATTGATACCTTTTTGCATACAAACAGCCGCCATATTTTTCCTTATCATTTCCTTTTTAATTCAAAAACCATTCTTTGCCTCGTTACTCTACCCTCTTTTTCCTTTTGAACTTGACTATGTTTGCGTCTTTTCTTTCTATTTATAAATTTTTAATCTGAATTGACAAATTTAGATCAATTTTTGCATGGGAAAATATTTAAATTTCATGAATAAATTTAAAAACAACTGGAAAATTAGAACACTGAATTAATAAAAATTTATTATCAAGTATTTGACAACTTTTAAACTATGGCAATGGCTCTGAGAGGCGAAGCTTCTCCCCAAGCCCACAGATTGCATCAGCAGGTATTTTTATTTTTTTATAAATTTTTGTTAAAAAATCCATATGATTTTTGTACCGAAAGTTTAAGTCTTTTGATATGTCTAGTTTAGTTTGCCGAAATTACTAATTTGAATAGGAGAGTGCTTTGATTTAAAAACTTGCCTTTGGACGGAAGGTAGAGTCGGTAATCTCTTGCAAGGGCATGCCCCTTATTTAATTCTCTCTCATCTTAATATTTGGTTATTTTAGAAAATTCTTTCTTCTGTTAAAAATACTTATTGAGGTCACGAATTTACTTTCCGCCTTGACATCATAGTTTCATTTTTTCTGTCACTTTAAAAATTTGACTTACATTTTTGTAAATATTTTAATTTCAAAATATTTTTTTCTAATTTTTAAGCCAACAACATCTTCAGCTTCTCAATCTTCTCAAAAATTGCCTTCATCCCTACCAACACAAATGTCTTTAGAAGAGCAATCATATCAACATCATTCAATTCTCCAATATCAGCAGCAGCATCCCCAATCTCTCCCACCTTCAGCTACTTTTGGTCAACAACAACGCACATTTTTTCCAAAGAAACACCCAAAAAATTTTTATTCTGGTTGTACTACAACAACTTCTACAATGGCAACAGATTATAGAATGGCAGCATCTGAACATAATAAACAAGTGGAGACACAATTTACAGGAGAAAATTATGATAATCCAAATGAAGAGGTTTGGTTTGTTGAAATTTTAATGACTTTGTACAAATATTTTCCTCATTTCTCAATAGATAGGGTCTAACAATAAGTAAGAAACATTCTAAATATTGTTTAGAATTATAAGATACATGTCAAAAGTTTTGCATCAAACCATTGTGATTATTTTTTGATATTTGGTTTTAATTTTCGAATAATATTAGTAAACTACATATAACTGACAATATCTCTAAGATCCCCTCTCCGTATTTTTTACCTTCAATACCAATATTAAACACAATGTTCATATATTTAATTTTGCGTTTATTTCGCCTTCTTAAGCTAACAAGACAGATAGATCCTTCTCCACGTGATGAACATTTTACGCAAAGTATTCAGAATTATCCAGTTCAACAATCTTCACAATTAGATTTGTCATCTACTAATAGCAATGCAAATCAAAGTACTTTTTTTGTTTAATTATTTCTTGTTTTTTAATTTATTTTGTTATTCAGTTTGTTTAGTAACTTCGTCTGAAACATTAAATGTAAGCCAAATACAGAGAAATCAAGGTGAAAGCGATGCTTTTCTTAATTTATCTGGAGGAGTTCTGAGCGATGTATTTTTTAGAAGAAATCACAAAATCTTTATTTCATATTTTTAGACTAATCTTTATATTCGTGGTCTTCAGGAGGATTGTACTGATGAAAAGCTTTATGAAATGTGTGCTCCTTATGGAAAGGTTGCCCTTTTTTATAACGTTAAGGAATTTTTAAAAATTGATTTTTAGATTGTTTCTACAAAAGCAATTTTGGATAAATTGACGAGAAAATGTCGTGGGTATGGTTTTGTTGATTTTGACAGTCGTGAGTCTGCATTAGCTGCAATTTCTGGCCTTCCCGAATGGGATAATCGAATACATGCACAGATGGCAAAGGTTTAATTTTATGATAATTTTCATTTAAAATAATTTTTAGCAACAAGAGCAAGATCCAACCAATCTTTATATTGCGAATCTCCCTTCTCATTTTGATGAGGAAAAATTATCTGAAATGCTTCAAGTCCATGGACCAGTGATTAGTTCACGGATTCTTAGGTTACCTTTTAAAATACAAATTGTATTTCATCTCAATTGATGATGTAGTTAATTTTCGAAGTTTTTTGCGTCTAATAAGTTTTTTTTAGTTCTTTCTTTTCCATCTTATTCGTCTTTAGAATTTTAATTACTACAGATTAAATATTTAATTTAGAAATCTTGACGGTTCGAGTCGAGGTGTTGGTTTTTGCCGTATGACTACATCAGAGTCTTGTGCTTCAATTATTGATGCTTTTCATGGGAAACGTTTGGCTCAAGGATTGCAACCTTTAATTGTGAAGCTGGCTGATAGTACTAGTCGAAAATTAAAACGTTCAACTCCTTCGCTTCATTCATTCTACAATGATGATGGACGATTTTACAAGGCAAAACTACCAGCTACACCTTTACTATCAGCTACTACACCTTTAATGGATCCGGTTATTTTGATTTGTAAAATATAGTTAATATAATTGATTTTTAGATAATATTCCCAGCAATGTCAAATTCGGCTCTAGCAGCTTTCAGTCCAGTTCTTGCAAATTGTGGACGCCTGTCTGCTTCACAATATACACCACAGCATTATGGACCTATTGCTGGTTTTTAAATATTCGAATTTTATATTCTTTTTGATTCTTATGAAATTTTATTAATCAAATTATTTATAAAAGATCTCAACGCCCAATTCAATCAGCTAAGAATTGCTAATGGTCCATCCAGCATTGTCGGTACAAGTGATTCAACCGTAACACCTGGCCAAACTCCTCGACCTTTGCCATCTCTGACCTCGACCGATTTGCCTTTACAACATCTACAACAACAGCAAACCCAACAAATGTTTCAGCCTTCACAGCAGCAACAGGCTGCACAACTTGTCTATCCGCCTTATTATGGTGTGCAGTATTATATGCCAGCTGCATTTGGTGCTGCAGCTAGTAACTATCAACAGCCTTTTATTGTATATAACCCGGTAATATATTTATAGCTAAGGGTTTTTGTTTCTGGTCTCCTAAACATGTCAAATGATTTTCATATATTACCATTTGTGTTACTATAAACGTTTCCGTTTAGACCCGAAAAATTCCCATCTAGCGATCACAGCATAAATACAAAACATTTTTATTTTAAAGGCAGATTACTATTCTCTAGCTTCTCAACAGCAACAATTAGCTGTAGCTTCATCTAACCAATTTGCTAATGTTGGTGGTCAGGTTCAACAAAATCAACCAATTGCAAGTCTTTTCCCATCTATCAGTCAACAACAAACAACGCCAGTTAGTAATCCTCAATATGGCAATACATACACAAATCCGCCTTTAAATATTGGGCATCATATTGGTGAACAACAACAACTCCAACCGCCACCGTTACCACAGGTGCCTTAAAATTTTCTTTTTTGTTAGAACACCTTGAATTTCACGTTTTGAATTTTTAGGTACAAAGTACTGGAGGTAACAATTTTAACCGACCACAGCAACAGCCATTGCTAACACCTGTACATACAAATTCCGCCCCTTATCTAAAACAACAACAGCGATATGGCCATCATATGCAACAACCACATTGGGTTCCCGAGCAACCTCACTCACATTCGATGCCTCCTACTAATGTCACCACATGTACAAAGCCATAAATAACTAAAGAATATCACCTTAAATAAGTTCTGAGAATTTGTATTTTTGTGTTCTTTTCTTTAAATGTTTGTACTTAAAATCGTAAAAACAAACACCGAACTAAAAATAGGTTATGTTTTTAAAGCATACATATTAATTATGTTTTTTTGGAGAATTAAGGATTTTTGTCTACTTGTGTTTGTTTTTTATATTCTATTACATCTTTATTGCTTTTATGTACCTGGATTTATTTTAACTATTTTGTGTATAAGGCTGAGGGGTTGGTTCAATTTTTCTAATATTTCTGGGTGCATTCTTTCTTAAACCTAATTTTATCATTCATATTTTAAGTTTAATTTGTTAAATTTAAATCAAAAATTGGCACAACTAGGAGGAAGTAGGTATATACAGCAAAGACTCAATTTTTAAAAATTTTATGGACTAATTCCTCAAAGCATCCACTCCTTCGTTGTGCTTTTAAATTGTGTAAATAAAATTTTCTAATTTTGCTCATTAAAGAACAATTTCCTTTTGTAAATAATTTTTTCTGTCTGTCTCAGCTCATTTTTTAAGTTTTTCCATTCTCGCCAGATCAGAATCCTTTTCAAATGTTGCCTTCCTTTTAAGTCTTTTGAACGTGTACATTATATATTATTTTTTAAAATCAAAAAAAGTTTCTTTTGCCACTTTCACCTTTAATTCTGATTTTCCTTTCTACATTTTTTACATCTGCTGCTTTTAATTGGTTTGTCGTGTAAATAAATTTTATAAAAGAGTTGCTAAATTTAGTCTAATTTCTTAGTATTTAAAATAGAGCCCGGCTGAGGAGGGGGGTGGTCGATTTTTGCTTTAATTAGAAATCGGGAAAAATTGTCTGGGAGAACCATGTACTGTTAGATTTGCCAAGTTTCGTGGCGGCATGCATATGCCATGGCTTATTTTGTCAAATTGCCAATCTTAGTTTGCTAAGGGCATTGAGCCAAGCAAGCATTTCTTGTCTTAAAATTAATTATAGAAAAAGAATATTTCTTTAAACCTAAGCATTTAATTTGCAAATAAAGTTTCCTTGGTATTTAAAATTCTTAAATAATAAGTATATTAAATTGCCCATTAAATTCTTTTATTTATAATGGGTGCAAGAAAAACTAATTACAGACTTATAAAAAGAGATCTGAAAAGTAAAATATTAACAGGTGAATTTAGTTACTTGAAAGGAATAAATGTTCTGTTTTATTTTTATTCAATATATTGAATAGAAAAAGTTTGGCAAAAACTAGTTTTATTGTTTAAAATAGTTAATATTTAGTTTTATATTAATTCTATGAAATAAACATTTTCGGTTTTTATTCAGTTTATATTTGTTTAATCAACCTTTACATCGAATTAAAAGTTTGCCATATTTTCTGTTATATTAATTTTCTAAATATAATTTAAAAAAATTTAGCCTTATAATTGTACTTAAAACATTTTTAAAAAGTTTATTTATGAAAGGGGCTGGCACGAAACTGAACATTAATATGCACGCATTTAAAATAAAGACATGTATGTATGACAAATTAAAGATTAAAAAAATCATTTTTAATTCTCAAAGAATTTAAGAATTTTTTTATTAATATTTTATGAAAAATTGAAATTAAAATTTTAAATTAAATTATTACTTTTATTTAAATTAAATACTTTTAAGTTAATTTATTCAATTTTTTTTCATTTTTTTCAAAAAGTTAAACTTTATACAAAATCTCTTTAAGTTCATTAATAAATACAAAATTAAATATTCTCTTTTTTTATTTTAAATTATTTTTTGTTAAAATATTTTTTACTTAAAATGTAAAAAAGCAAATTTTTAAGTTAATTTAGTGAAATTTTAAAGTAATTTTTTAGCTTTAAGTTTTTTAATATTCAAATTAAAAATTAATTTTAATCAAAAAATTTAAATTTTAAGAAAATAATTACAGTTTACCAAATTAACTTTAACAATTGTTCTCCACAAGGATATATTTATTTATTTTAGTTTTATTTCTTAAACTTTTCTTGTCTTGCGTGATTTTATCTAAACTTTAAAAAATCTAAAAAATTATAAATAAACTTTAAATTAAAAAATATAAATGATGGAATATTTAAATATATAAATATTCAAAAATAAAATATTTTTTAATAAAAAAGGCAAAATAATTTCCAAGAAACTTCAATGCTCTAACATTATAAAATAATAATTACAGTTGAATCTCAATTTTCCTATACCCACAATTAAATAAAATTTGCAATTCTTATGTTGGTTGCCCATTAGTGGAGGAAAGCTTATAAGCTTACCATAAATAACTTAATTGTATCATCATTATATTTTTATTATCATTATAAGCGCTAATGCGCTAGTGGTTTTCTCAAATAAATAAATTTAAAATAAATTTTTTCAGCCATAAATTTAAATAAGTATTTAATTACTGTAGTTTTTAATTTATTCAGACAATTTTAATTTAGAAAATATAAATTATTTAAATAAATTTTATTAAATTTTTTTTTCAGTCATTCTTAAAAATTAAAAATTAATTAATTATTTATTTAATTCTAAAAATATAATTTTTTTGTTTAATTAACAATTAAAACATTAAAATGCTTGTGTCAAACAAGTTTATTTTTAAGCTTTCTATTTAATTAATTTTTAATAAATAAATAAATAAATCTATTTTTGAAATATAAATTTTTGAATTATTTATTTAAAAATAAAACCTTTTATTTTTTAAATACGGAAATTAGTTATATATTTTTAATTTAAATTGTTTATGTTAATTTTAAAAAATTAAAAAAGTTTAGATATTTAAAATTTGTAACAAAAATCTATGTCTTTTTAAAAGGGTTCTTTTTGGATTTTTTTTATTCTTAAAAAATTTTCTTAAATAAAGTAAAATTTCCCTCATTCAGCCAAAAAATTTTTTATTAAATAATTGTTTTTTTTTCGAGTTTTCTAAAAAATTATGATTAATATTTTTTATTAAATAAATAATTTTTAAATTAAATTTAAAAATTATTTGCGTATTTATTTATAATTATATTTATTTTTACATAAAACGTTTATTGTTATTTTATTTAATTATAATGATTAACTTTAAATATGTAATTATTTTCACACACACAAAATTTAGAAATAAAATAAAAATAGATTCATCTACAAAATTTTCTCTTAAATTATTTTTATTTTTTAATTAATATTCCCAAATAACAATTTTTTATTTTTAAAATTAAAAAAATTATTTTTAGAAAAAAAATTAATTTTTTAACTTCAATTTTAAAATAATGAACGGATCAGAATATTCTTGTCTATTAATTTTAAATATAACAGAATTAATTATCCATTTATTGGCTACTTGCCCAATTTCTACTTTTAATTTTATTTTAATTTTAAAAACTTCTTTAATTCACAAAAATTTAAAATTTATTTTGTTATGTCAAAGTTTTTGTATTTTTTGTAGAAGTTTTGGTAAATTTAGAAATAATTTTAAAAAATAATTTTTTTAATTAATTAAAGGCCGAATTCTTGTTTTGTCTTCTAAATTAATTAGTGGAGATATTCTTTGGGGAGGCCCTGAAGAATTTGTTTTAATTTTTGGATTTGCTGCTTTTTTCAGAAATTTTGTAGCGCATGTACTGGTTATTGAAAGGGCTTTAGCTACTTATTTTGTTAAGAATTATGAAAATTGGAAGAAGCCATATTTTAATTTTATTTGGTTTCCAATTGTTGTAAGTGTTGTTTTTAATTTAAATTAATTGGAATTAATTAATATATGGAGGGCTTTTAATATTTTAATATGTAGTAACACAGCAACATAACCTGCAACTTAGAGCCGTTTCAGTGGCACTGAAATAAATGAAAAATTTTCTCTTTTTCTATATCGCTCTATTTTTTTCGCATGCTATTTCTCTAAAGATTTGATGTATAATTTCGAGAAGCTTTATCTCGAAAAAAAACTTTGAGAAAAAAATTTCAACTTAGCCAAATCGTTAAACAAAGTCTTATCTTTGTTTTAAAACCAAATTTATTGATTTTTAATATGTTTAAAAAAAGTTACATATGGTTTTATAAGTAAATTTAGAAAATGAAAAATAAAGGAAAGATTGATTTGAAAAAATTTATTTTAATTTAAAATGACATTAAATGTTAATTAGAAAAGATATTATTAGGATTTCCTTATTATATAATTCATTTTCACTGAAAGGATTCGAACCTTGTGCATTTTTCGCTGTCACTAACCAACTAAACCATACTCCCGCACTGAAAGGCTGGTTGCACCCTCTGCCTGTTTTATGTTGCTGTGAGTAAGTGGACGGTAATAGAAAGAGAAGATAAACGGAAAGAAAACTTAACCTAGCCCTGATATGAAGAAGATTAGGAACAAAAATTTTAAATTAATTATTTAATTAATATTTTTTAGTTTATTCTTGCATTATTAAATTCCCTCAATTCTGTCAGCAGCATAATTCTTAACTTGGCAACGTGGAGTTTAGTACTTATTTTTGCAATATTAGAGATTGTAATATTTACTTGGATGTGGCATTATAACGATAAAATATTTCAAAATCAATTATTTTTTAAACATAGTCTTACTGAGAGATATCAGGTTAACAGAAAAAATAAAAAAATATTATCAAATGAAATAAAGAAAACCCCTTCAAGTACAAAAGATATACAGTATAATCTGTATTAATTGCCTTTCCTTACCCCCTCCAGCGATAGAATTTTAAACCTCATATAATTACCCTCATTATTCCCCCAGCGGAAGGTCGAAACAATAATTGCCCAGGGTAATTATTATAAAATAGTTTATTAAACTGATAGCTAGTAGATAAATTTTTTAAAAGATTATACATATTTTAATTTATATTTATTTAGTTAGTAGAAAATATCCGAACAGCAAAACAATTAACTCCAACATTATTAATTCATTTTTTTAATATTTTAATTGGGGCATTAATTAATTGGGCTTTTTATCTGCAAATTTTTGGAACTAAAGCAACATCTCCATCAGCAACATTTTATTATGGATTGTTGGATGCTTTGTTTTATTGTACAATTGCTTGTACTAATTTTGCTATTGAATTAACTATGATATTGTTAGTTGAGAATATTTTTTTAAAAATCCGGAATTTTATTTTTGGGTTTAGGAAAATATAACGAGAAAAGAAATTTTAGTTTTCAAACCCTTTTTTATCCAAAAATTTTGCGATTTTTCGTTAAAAATAAATTGATTTCTGTCAAATTAAAAGTAAAAACCGAAAATTAAAAAAAATCATTTCTTTCCCCTATCCGATTTGGAAAATTTAACACAGAATGGGGAAATTTTCTGTCTTTACCAACCCTAGTTAGAATTAGGGAAATTATTCTTCTTATACATTTAACGGTTTACAAATTGAATTAAAAAATATTCTTTCATATAACATCTCAGAATCATAAAATTATATTCCATTCCACCCCTCTCCCTCAACAAATTTTCTTACTTTTTAGAAGAATATCCAAACAATTTTTAAAATTAATTTTATTTTATTTAAACAGAAATCATCCATATCTTCGTCGCAACTTTTTTTCATTTTTATTCAAATCAAAATCATTAATATTTAAAATAAAGTCCCCAACAAATACAAGAATTGGCCCCTCTACATCGCCACCAATTAATGCGTATTTTTATAATGGATTTTCTTTACAAAATGAAGCAAAAATAAAATTGGGTGGAAATGAAGCTGAAAAACATTTTGAACAATTAAAAAGAACTTGGGAAATTACTGATAACAGAAGAATAAAAAAATGAAATTTTTTAAACTGTATTTTTGTAGTATACTTATATTTTGAAAATTCTCCCCCTTTTTTTACTTAAAATTGAACTTTTTGTACTTACACAACATTTTTTTACGTTTGGAGCCCTCAAATTTATTATTAATAAAAAATAGAAAGGTAAATTTTTGTATAAGAAAGGAAAGTTATAAGATTTAAAAATTATAAGATTTAAAAGGTATTTTTAAAAATACTTGAATGGTTTTTAATTTAAATTTTAAAGACAATAATTTTACAAAAAATTCAAGGACAACACCAATTTTTTAAAAATTCTGTCTAGGGTTTTTTTCACTTTTTAAAGACATTTAGTTTATTTAAAATATTTTATATTCAATCACCTGACATTGATTACCAACTTTTTTTTAATCGCCAAGCGGGGAACATTAACATTACCACTAACGTCGTCTCACTTTAATGCAGCAGCAATTTATTTTAATTGCGGGGGAAATACTCTCTCTCTCTCCAATTTAAAATTGAAGGGAATCACCATTTACTTTACTTAATTTTTCTAAAAAATATTTTTTGGTAAACCAGTTAATTTACGAGGAAAGTTTTTAATTAATTAATATATTGGGAATTCCCAATTATTAAATCATTTATTACTTGTAATATTAAAATCAAATGTACATATTCGCCCATTTTGATCACTCCAAAGTTTTGTTATATTTAAATAATTTTGAAAACAAAATTTTCTTTCATTTAATTTTTAATTTTAATTTTTGTTTGTTAATAGAGATTGAATATTTTTAATTTCTAACTAACATTTTGTCGAATATTTTTATCTAAGTTAATTAAATCCTTTTCTAAAATATTTTATATTTTTCAGATTTAAAATTAATTAATTAAATGAATTTATCTTCAATTATTAAAAATAAAATAAAAAATATTTTATAAAAAGTCCTTTTAATAATCAAATGCTAATTGGCCAAAATAAGGAAAAGTTGGAAATAAATAAAACAATTTATTCCTTCCAATCAAAACTGCCGGAATTTGCACAACTAGAAAAGAGTGCTTTTGGATTTTTTGACACAATTGAGCCGATTCTTTCCCTAAACGATTGGACTTCTCTTTCTGTGATTTGTTTTGGTAGGAGAATAATTTTTTGAAAAGCTGGGAAAAGATTAGCTAAAAGTTATTTTAAAATACATTAAGATGGTAAGGCTGGATGATTCACCTAGAGCATTTAAAACGCTTAGTTGCGTGTTAAACGATCTATAAGGATAAAATAGAAAGCATTAGTCGATGCCCCTGTAGCTCACATCGGTGGTAAAGCTCCTTATGTGGTGAGCGAAAGTGCCTAACAATAACTAAGAGGAGGTCGCATGTTCGAATCCTGCCCGGTGGCCAAACTTTTGCCTAAACTCTTTTAGTATTTTTAAATAGAAAGCTATAAAATAGAAGAATATCAAAACTTTCCTTTAAAATAAATATTTTGTTTAGGAGTCTGTGAATTACAACTTCGTTGCCGTTACTCTGAACACATTCAGTAAATAATTTAAAAAAGGGAAAAACAAATTCGGGTAAATATTTACAATTATTTTTAATTTAAAAAATTATTTATTTCAGCCAAGGAAAACAAAAATATTCTCTTTTCTCCTCAAAAATGTCCATAATACCTCCATTATGTAATCCTGTCCATGCTAGCCTTGTAGGTAGCCAATTGGATAAAAACAATATTTCTTCAACAGGAAATGCCAAAATAAATGTTGGCACTCCCACAATTCTTCAAGAATCGGAAAAAGCCGCAGCTATGTTTATTCCCAAAACTTTGGGACAAACTAACTTTGAGGTGCGTGTGACTAAATATTTTAGAATAGATGTCTTTTAAAAAATACTTTTTTGGAAATTTTGTTACAAATTAATTTCTAGTTTCATTCAGAAGTTGCTTAAAGACAAGTGTTTCTCTTCGATGAATATTTCTGCAAAAACTGCTGCTGGATTTTTTTCGAATTTTGAGCCTCCAAAAATCATGAACTTTTCTAATATGCATAATCATTAATAAATAGTATTTTGCAAATAATGATTGATTGATGGGGGAATTTTTTAAATAAAAAATATATTATACGATTAAAATATGTAGTTTACCTTAAACTCAAATAAATTTATTGGTTCAGAATTTTATTGTTTTAAGAAAGTTAAGCAAAAATTATCATTTAATAGTGTACTTATATTATTGTAATTAACAAATCAAATTTTGGATATACTAACGGAAGGGGGGAGGGTAGGGGTTGTTTATTGTTTTTTTAAATTCTAAATTCCTTATTTTTTTAAACTTTAAAAACAAAAATAATTATTTAACGTGAAAAACATGTTTATTTTTATTTTTCATAAAAATAAAGAGCCAATTTTTTGATTTATTATCAAATAACGAAAATAAAATTAAATGAACAATCTGAAGAATAAAAATGAATAAATTCTAGTTTACGTTTTAAAATAGAAAAAAATGGGTAGGTATATTTAGGGGTATTTCAGAAAATTTAGGTAATTAGAGATTAATTTTTAAAATTTTTTTGAAATTTATTTTAGATTATAATTAACATTCTCCACTATTTATCACGAGAAAAATGAAATTTAGAGTAAATTTACTCATATTTGAACCGCAATTTTCCTTTAACCGTTTAATTAACCTAATCTTCCGATTTACCTTGGACATTTGATTTCTAGGGCAGTTCTTCAGGATGTTTATTTTTGAATTGACTTCACCAAAAATACCACGATTTAAATAAACAAACTAAGATTATTTTAAAAACTTAAAAAAACAAATTTATTTATTATCTAATTAATTTGGCATTAAATATAGAAAAACATGTACAATATGCATAAATATATAAAATTAATTAAGAGGCATTGAAAGAATTTATTTAATTAAATATTCACCAATTATTAATTTTGTTATTTAGCGCCATAAAATAAATTTGTGAAGAACTTCCCTTTGCTGAAGAAAAGAAAACTTTATCATTTCGTTCACACAAAAATTTTAATTTTTGTGCTTTTTTGTGCATAAAAACACCTAAAAAAGAGAAGAGAATTTAAATTTAATAATATTTATTACCATCCAAATGACCAGTTTCAACACTTCTAATTTCAATTGCTTTATTTCCCCAGCCCATGATTTGGTTGGTTGAAATATATGCTAAATAAATTGGGAAAATTTTAAATTTTTTTAATTTAAAATTTTTGGTTCCTTTTCGATATCCTAAATATTTTCCAACACTATTTGAATTAAAAAAATAATCTTTTCTTCTTGTCAATCAAAAAAAGCTTTTCCCCGTCCTTTAAAGTTGGGGGATTTGACTTTTTTTTGAATATTCCCCTCTCCTCTTTATCCCAAAAAATAATATTTTCTTTATTCAACTTACCAACAGAAGAAGGAATTTCACTCCATTGAAGTTGAACATTTTTTGTAATTTTTCCATAAGTATTAACATATACACCTTCATCTTTAATTAATTAATTAATTTTTTAAAAATATTTTTAAAAATATTTAACTATTATAGCAAAGAAGTAATTGCATTCCACAAGTATCAGGCAAAATAACAATACAATGAGGGGTTAATTCTTGATTGGCAATTGTTTGTGGAGGTGTATAAATGTCATAAATTGAGGCTAAAAAATATTTTTTTTTAATTTTTAACTTCGAAAAAAAATTTTTTCCAAAAAAAGACCAGAATCCAAGTCAATAGCATGAAATCCAGTACCACTTCCATAAAGTACTTTAAGCCTAACATCCTCCTCAATAGTTAAATCAACAACTAAAGGGGAATGAGTAAGTTGACCAAAACTCTTAAAATAAAAAATATTTTCTGAATAATTTTGTCTGTAACTTTAAATGCCATAAATTTGCTGTATGGACGAGGAGCCCAAGCATAAATTGATAAAGAATTTTCTATACCAACAACTAAAAATTTTATACGTTGATGCCGGACTGTAAAAAATAAGATAATGATTTATATTTAATTTTAAATTATTTATTACCAATTTTAAAATGGCTAGCTCCCTGTAAATTTCCAACATTCATCCAACCATTTCTTTTATCCGATTGTTGTAACTTAAAAAGAGAAGAAAAATTAAATATAAATTTAAGAATAAAAAGTAAAGGGTTTATTCCCAGCTCACAAATGTAAAAAAAATTATAGATTCCTCTTGTCGGGATTGAATTCTGTCAAGTTCACTACTTTGAACTTTAAGCCTAACATCTACACCCACAGTTAAAATCACCTACTGTCAAAAAAAACTAGTGACGAAATCCCCAGCCGAAATCAAGCAATATCGGGATTAAATACCATCATAACAAAATTAAATTAAATAATAACCCCTTCAGTTCGAAGTATCTTCTGTTTAAGCCAAGACAAATAGTAGACCCGTATTCGACGTTTTTTGCCACTAATAGTGACCAAAATATTTTGACCTTCAAGAACAGTCATTTGATCAAAACGCCTTCGAGTAACCAAATGATAAACTTAAAAATAATATTTAGAAATTATTTAATAATTTTGCCAAACCTTTTCCTTGTCCACTTCGGTCTAATAACATTAAACCAGTGTCCGTTCCTGTTTAATTTGAAAAGATTTTTTAAAATTTTTATTTAAAAACCAATAAGTAAATTAACGCCCCAAAGAGCAGCACAAAGAATTTCTCCATTAAATCTTTTTTTGTATTTTCGAATTTCAGGTGCGTCTGCATCTGTTGGAGTAGCACCATCAGGGTTGACATTTACGTGTATCTGTTTATGAATATTTTTTGAAAGTAATTTAAAAAATACCTGGTTAGGATTAATTATTCTCCCAGGACGATTAATTGTACCTACAGCTCCAAACATTAATCCTCCTCCTGCTGCTCCACCACTCCCTGCTGAGGCTGAACCAAAAATTGGAGGTGATCCATGGGAACCTCCACCTCCAAAAGCTGGAGGCATAACACCAGACGGATAATTACCAAAAAAGCCGATAAAAGATTTTTCCCGTTCCCTCTGCTGAAATTTATCTGCAGGAGAGAATGAGGCAGGGGATTCAATTAGTGAATGTTGTTGTTCCATAGAAGAAGTGAACATCTTCAAAAAATTAAATGTCTGATTAAAAATAATTTCACTTGTAAAATCCCCTCCCCTCCCTCTACACACTTGATGAGGTGGTCGACGAAGAGTTTGTATAGGGTCTTCAACCATTTCCTCTTCTTCATCCTCATCTTCCTGTTGATGTTGTTCTTCATCCTCATCTCTTCCATCATCATTTCCTTGTTTATCATAAGGATTACGATTAATGTAGATAGCAGGAGCAGGTTCATGATTTTGAAGACAAGTAATTGATTCACAAGCATTTTTTGGCTGTTAATGAAGAAAATGTAAATATTTATTTATTTACCTTTTCAACTTCTATACTAGTGACTTCAACTTCATCTTCTTCTGAGTCAGAAGAATCTTCATCTTGTTCATGTTCAAATGCTGAATGTTGGCACTTAAAATATAAAATGTGATACATGTATATAAATACATATCATTATGGTATCCCTAAAAAATTCAAACTTCAGGCGCTGAAGATTGTTTTCCAATATTGGCCAATTGTTGGTTAAGGCTTGTACGCGAACCAGAAAGTAATAATCTATCAGAACGGACATGCAAAAGATTTGAACTATTGCTACGTTGTCGTCTTTGCGGGGAAACTGAAGCATGTCGATGCACAACAAGTGTTCCTTTTTCCTCATCTTCTTCATTATTAGCACCACCAACAATATTTCCTCGTTTGGTTGGTGTAGGTGGAAGAGGTTTGTCATGTTGACGAGAGGCGTCAAGTGAACGTTGTTGGCGTTTCTCATTAAGCAAAACCTTCCGTTCAGAAAATGTTTCAACCATTGAAGAGTCTAAGATTTTTTTGAAAGTCCGATTAGAATTCTTCCATGGCGGTATTTTACCTCTAGGGGGAGGAGATGGAGGCTCGGAGTCAGAAGAAAGAAAGGGAAGAGGCTGTGTCATTTTGGAGCTACCGCTCGTTGTTATTTTTGCAGCAGAAATTTTAGGTACAGATGGATGTTTTGAATTAACCTTAGAGAGTTCACGCAGTTCATCAGCCAAAATATCCAAATCCTATAGAATTTAAATTTATTTAAATAATTTGAAATTAATATATTTGACGAAAGAAATCAGTATTTGTGTGTATGTAAATACATAATTTCACTCTTCTGAATTAAATTAAAATTATTTTCTCACTTCAGGTTGATGAGATTCCTTTCTCAATTGTTGCTGTAAACTTGTTCCAATTATCTGTTTTTGTCCAGAAACAATTGAACGTCTACTAACATCACTTTGTTGTTGTTGTGAAGAACGATTAGGAACTACACATCTCCTTTGTTGTTGATGTTGTTTTTGGGAAGATAAAGGTTGTTGAGGAGGGAGAATGGCACCAATTCTTTGTTGTTTTTGTTGTAATTGTTGTTCTTTCTTTTTTCTATCATAATTATTTGCTAATTCAGCTAAATGAGGTGCTGCTGGATGTTGCTGAGTATGATGGCTATTTGATGTTCTACTGCGATTATATTGAGAGGATTGTTGAGGTTGATAGTCTGAAAGTTAAGAAGAGTAAAAATAACATCAAGAATAATTATTTCCCGTACAAGTTTCTAGTCTAAAATCACTTTTTCTACCTTACATCAGAAAGGATGTAATATTTTAGAAAAAAATTTAAGGATTTAAATGTTGCCCTCAATATCCAGGAGTTTTAAAAATTTGTTCTTAGAAAAATCTATCAAAATTTTACGTGAAGAACGATGCGGGTGGCTGGCAAGTTTAGGTTGTTGTTGTTTATTATTAGGGTGGAGACCACTATTAACAGCCCCAAAACTCTGAGGAGGCCTCATTCTAACAACACCAGCATTATTTCCATTGTTGTCCTTAAAAGACTGTTCTGGTGTTGTATTAGATTGCGGTGGTTGGGCAATTCTTTTAAGATGTAAAAGTGGTTTGTCGTCTTCAAATGCGGACCTATTATTCTCTTGAATTCTTTGAAATTCTTTTCTCAAATCACATCCACCAACTCCTTTAATTGTTGGAGGTTCTTCTACGGCTTTTGTGCCATTGGAAGGATTTGGTCTGGGTGAATCTAAAAATTTTTTAAAGGACTTTTATTTTAGTATGTAATCAAGATTTTGTTTATCAGTTGTTTGAAGTAATACTAAAGGAAATGCCAATTTAATTATAAATTTATGCCGAACAATCCAAAGGAAATATTATTTTCTAAAACTAATTAGGTTTCTTACTTATACTGTCAGGGGCCGTATTTTAGGAGTACATAATAGAATAAATTTATCAGGTCTTCTTAATCAAGAATAGGACACCGTATTGGTGATTAACTCTCAACACAAAAAATCGCCAGAGCTCGATGATTATCCGCAACTGGAGATAAACTAACTCAAAACTTTTTTAGTCTTTATATCAGAGAGTGCCGTCTCAATTCGCGAAAATTTGGAATGGGGTTTTTTTAAAAAAAGCTATACATATAAAAAATTAATTTAATTAACAACCAACGTTTTGTTCTATTATTATTGTTATTATTATTATTTAATATAGCTTCAAGATTATTGTTTATGCGAATTTCATCATCATCACTTCCACTATATTCGTATTCTGTTTCTTCTAAAATTAAAATAAAATTCAAAAAAATATTTTTTAGAAACCTTTTCTTAAAACTTTTCTATGTCTATCAATATGATCTTTAATTGCACTTCGAACAACTCTTTCGGGAATTTGTTCTCGAATAAAGGCATGCCTATTAAATAAAATAATATTCTAATTGTTCCTTTAAGTTATTAACTTAATAAGATTATCAGTAAAAGGCCTCCTCGTGTAGTCTTTCTCCAATATACACTTTAAATATAATTTATTAAAAATAAATTTTAAAAATTATTTTACTTCAATAAACGAGTCAAACTTTTTTGACCATTTTTTGGAAGATTTTTTATTTAATCTTGGAGGAGGGTTGCGAGGAATTAAAAATAGAGCACGCTTAAAATAAAAATAATATTTATTTTTAATTTTTATTAACCATTGGATGCATATCACAAAGCGGTGGGTGCCCTGAAAGTTTCAAAAAATTTTCAAAACTAAATTTTTTGTACAAAACCTTCAGCCATTTCTAAGGCTGTAATGCCGAGAGACCACTAAAAATTATTTTTTTTTGTTTTAATTTTGAAAAAATATTACGAGATCACTGCGAGAGTCATATGTAGAATCGGGATTTTCATCACAAGCAATTACTTCTGGAGCCTAAACTTTTTATTATCAAATATTTAAACTATTTTTTAAATTACCATCCAATAAGGTGTTCCAATAAAAGTATTTCTCTTTCCAACAGTTCTATCTAATTGTGCACTAACCCCAAAATCAACTAATTTAACTTCACCATTATCCGTTAAAAGGACATTTTGGCCTTTAATATCCCTATGGATGACCTAAAAAATTTAAAAAATTATTTAATTAAAATATAATGACTAACATTGCTTTTGTGAAGATGGCTTAAACCCTAAAAATTATTAAAAAAATATTTTTAATTTATTATGATATTTAGACTATTTCTAAGTAGAGACGGCCTGTGAGGGTTATACGAAAATAGAGATTAATATCTTGCAAGATATCGCTTCTTGATGACTAAGATTTTTGTTTCGGATCTCTTCTTGGTCCGGTCTCTAATTATAAGATGTTTTCCCAGGCAGTCTATCATTCAGAATTTTTTATTTAAAAAATAACCCCAAGAATCTCTTTGCAAATATAAGCAATCCACTCTTCTCTAAGAAAACCACTTTTTGAAGATTTAATTAAATCTGTAACACTTCCACTACCACAAAACTCCATTACAAGCCAAAGTTGATCATGTTTGCCTGTTGAAGAAGGCAATTTTTTGATAAAGGCCCCATAATAAGTGGCAATATTTGGGTGATGAGAATACTTTAATATATGTATAAAATAAAAATTTTTTAGAATTAAGATAAGATTTTTAAATTTTTTTTTGAAATTTAATACTCCTTTTAATTCTCATAAACTTTGAATCTGTACTTTTATTTATTTAGATAAATGCAGATCCAATAATTCAAAAAAAGTTTTTTATTGCTAGCTCAATATATGAATCAGGGTTATTTTAAAAAGATTCTAAATTCTAAACCCGTCAAGTGTCAAAAATATTACTTAATATTTTTAACAATATTTAGTTTTATCAACTACCAACATTTCACTTTTTAGGCACAAAAATTTAAGCTAAAAATTTATTTTCTTCCAACCTTTTTGAGCATATTAATCTCAGCTTTAATCTCCTCTTCTTCATCCTCATTTATATTCATTATTTTTATTGCAGCCAAAGACCCAGTTTTTACGTGTTTCCCCTATAGAATTAATCACTAATAATTTCCAAAAATTAATTTATTAACCTTGTAAACCTGCCCATATGTTCCAGTTCCAACAACTTCAATTAAATCGAAAATACCCGATGGATCCTTTAAATTTTGAAAAAAAACTTCCAAAAGGAGAAATGATTTTCTTATTTTAAAGAGTTTTTTTTATTATTAAAAATCTCTATTTGTGTGTGGGACTGTCATTTGGGGGGGTTGTTTAAAATTGCTAAAAAGATCTTCCAAGTTTTGGGATGTTCCCAAATAACTATTCCCGAAACAATTAATTTTGGAATTTATAGAATTAACAATACTATTATATGTATTCCAAAAGTTGATTGGCCATTATTTTTGTTTCAAGGATTTATTTTATTATTAGGTCCAACTGTATTTTGAATATCTACACAAATTTAATAAATTTGTGTTTATTTTAAGTTGGATTAGCCAAGATTTTATCAACATTTTCTAAAAAAATTTCTTTATCAACAAAACCTTTAATGACTGCAAATCCACCTCTTCAAACATTTTTTTACTTTTTTTTTATAAAATTATTGTGTAGTCATTTTTTTCTGTTTCGAAAAACTTTTAAAGGCAACCAACAAAAATGATGATTATTTTATTTTAAATTAATTAAAACAGGCGTTAAATACTAAACAAAAATGCACAAAAATATTTTATTTAGAAGAGTGAATTTATATGAAGGACAAGTGAAAAGTCGTTTAGTTATTTAATTGTTTGTAGTTAGTTAATCGCCGGCTGGTGACCGATTGACTGGTTTAATTTGAAAGTGATTTAATAGTGAAAATAAATATTTTTTTATTTATTTATTCACCATTCTATCTAACTATTAATATTTATCTATCAATATATTGTGATAATTTATTTAATATAAATTGTTTATAAAATTACATAATTCTTCCAGAATTATTCACTCTAAAAATAAATCAATTGGAAAAAAGTAAAAAATAAAACATTCGAAATTTAATTTCAAAAGTTTTCCCAAAATTAAAAAGACTAATTTTGTCTCAAAAATAAACAAAACAATGGGCAATATTAGCAATAAAATAATGAAAATCCTTTTGTTACTCAGATACCTAAGTAAAATATTATAATTATCTCAATTAAGCAACTACTGAAAATCTTTAATTCTTAACCTAAAATATAAAAATAATCTAGCACTTAATAAACCTAAAAAATTTACTATTCAAAGACCATAAGCCAGTTATTGTTAAAATCTTTAATCTGGCAATAGTTAAAGTCTCAATTAATAAAATTTAAAGAAAACACCAAATATCCAAATAAAATATTTAAAAAATTCCATTTAGTTAAATTAAAAAATTTTTATTTTAACTTCGCCGCAATTTTTGGGTAAAGGATGGCACTCTGACCACCCCAACGTTAACCCAACTAAAATAAATATCTAGTTGGATGAAAAGTGCAAAAATGACAGAAGCGGCTGCAGTAGCTCAACCAAATTTAAAATTTTTCTGCACCCAACAAAAGCCCATTACAGCATTTTCCTCTACTTTTTCCATTCTTTTTCTCTCCCATTTTTTCATTCATCGAAGAAATAAACAAAATCAATACTGGGTAAAAAAATATAAAAAAATACATTTTACTCGAGGTTAAAATTAAACAAAAAAATATTCTAGTTTAAATCATTAGAATTAGAATGTTTTTTTTCCTTGATCAAAAGAAAATTTAAAATAAAGGATATAGTGCGTCGAACTAAGTGACGGTACCACTCTATGGTACCACCACTCTATGTCCCTAAAAAGTGAAAAGAATTTTAGCTCTGGTAATTGTTTACTACTCGCTGAAGGGGTAGTTAATAGAGACAGGATTTTATTGAAATAAATTTTTTTTTGCAAACAAGCAAGAGGAGCCCAAATATGCTATTAGTTTTTCGATATTATTATTCTGAACAAAGTTACATTTCAATCTATTTCAATATTTTATGGCCATATTTTGCGAACCTACATATGTCAATTAAAATCAGTTCTCTAGTAATTAATAAGGAGGGTGTCTGAGGAAAGGAAGTTTAATATACAGTATATTAAACTCAAACTCAACTTTGCTAAAATTTATTCATTTTGCCTTTATTTTTAATTTAGAAATCGAATTTTTTATAGAATTTAATTTATCTCAACATTTTAATTTATTTTAGTGACTAAAATTTAAAAAATTCTAAATTTTTTGACCAACAAACTCAATGCCGATAAATTTTTAAAACTAAATTAAAAGAAATATTCATCTTAGATTTGTCATTCTTTATATGTATCATAAAATCCTCTCAATTGGTTGGTGGTGGAGGTGGCGGTGGTGGCAAATTTTCTTTGCCAAGTTGTTGCGGAGTCTGATTAAAAAAATAAAAATGAGATATGTCATGTCATGTTACAACCATCACATGTCACAACCCTTCTCATATGTCTATTAAATTGTGTCTCGAGGTGTGATATATTAGAGATTTTTAACTGTATTTACTATCTTAAAAACTTCTTAAATTGAATACTAATCCAGAATCATAACATCAAATGAGATAATTATCGGAATAAAATGTTTTTGTTTACTTCATAATTGAATTAATATTCGAATTTAAATTAGGAGCGCTCGAGGCGGAATTTTTAAGCCTTAAAATTTTTCTCCACTTCGAGAAACCTCAAAAAATCGTTCGGGGTCGGCAGCCCTAATTTAAATATAGCAATCCAAAAAATAAACCTGATTATTTTGATTAGTTCGATCATCTTGTCGTTGATTACGACGTATTAGAAGTTCAAAAAGGAGAGCTAGTTGTTGCTCAGTCTATATTTTAATTAGGAAAAATTTTATTTAAGTATATTTTTGTTTATTTTCTAGTATTTATAACGCTCTTCTTTTTATTCAATGTCACTTGCTCTATTCGGCTCTTGTCCTGATTACGCGTTGAAAGGCAGCTTTACGCGGCCAATGAAAAGTTTACGCGTCCGAAGAGCCCTCTATTCCCTATGGCATTCTCAAATAAAAGACATTGATAAAAAGGTAAAATTTGTTTTAATTATAGAAGAATAAGGTGACATTAAAGAAGAAAGATTTGAAATTATAAACCAATTGAGGAAAGAAATAAGGAGAAAATTTATAAATTAACCAAAAAAGTAATTTAAAAAAAAAAAGAAAAAACCGACTTTTTAAAATTTAAATTTGTGGCTAAAATTTAGCTTTTAAGCTTTATATTTAAAAAATTCACTAATTAATTTAAACAAAATTAATGAAAAATTTATTTTAATTTACCGGAGCTTGTTGATTGGGTAAATTGATGGGATACTCAATTCCAAACTCCTCATTCGCTTCATGTTCTTGCCTTTCATTCCGTCTTCCCCGTCTTCGATTTCCTTCATTTCTACCATTCCCTTCCATTCCCACAACATAATTTACAATAACAAAAATAATTAAACAAATTAACAAAAAATTATTTTTAAATAAAGGCATTTTATTTAGAAATAAAATATATTTAATTATTTAAATTCTGAATTTTATAATAAAAAATTTTTAAGTTACTTTTTAAAAAGAATTTTTATGGAAGTTAAAATCAAAAAAAGTCTTTTTTACTTAATTAGCTTTTAAGTTTTTTTAAATAAATTTAATTTTGGAAAGGTTTAAAAGACAAAAGATAAAAGCTGCCCTTTAATTTTTTTATTTTGCCATATACCTATGTAGGGATGTAAAAATATTTTAAATGCCTAGCTAGACGTATTCTCTCATTAAAGGGCGTTTTAATTATTTTGAAAGTAAATTTGTATTTAAAAATTAATTGTAAATCGATTTTTATTTGCTAAAATAAATTTAAAAAATGTATAAAATTTAAATAAATTTAATAAAATTAAAATTAATTAAAAAATTTTATTTTTTAAATACATATATGTATTTGTTTATATAAAGACGGACCATTTGATAAAGCATATTTTTCTTAGTATGTACCAAAAAACCGCTTAAAAATATCTTCTTCCGGTCCAGAGATATGATTTTTTGAAAATGGCATTTTTCCCTTAAAAATTGAATTTTTTGCAAAAATAGGCTAAAAATGCCATTTTCAAAAAATCATATCTCTGGACCGGAAAAGGATATTTTTAAGCGGTTTTGTGGTACATACTCACAAAAATATGCTTTATCAAATGGGTTTGTTAGATTTTTTCCGAAAAATTTTTCCGAGGATATGGGATTTGGTATAGCCGGTAGATCCGGATTATCTCGGCCAATTTTCAATTTCATGAAAAATGCAGAATCATGTCAACTGAGATACAATAAAGCTTTCGATTGATATATTGAACGTATTTTTTGACTGAGAAATAGTTAATTTTCATTTAAATTATTTACTACTCTTGTCCCTATTTTTATGTCGACTACTGTATAAATTAAAATTGTGATTTCCTATTTTGTTTTTGCTTAAAAAGAAAAGGAATCTTAAAAGAAGATTCCTTCTCATTAAAAAGAAGGAAGAATAAAAAGAATTTTGAACTGTTGTCATAATTTTACCCTTTTTAAAAACAATTGTGTTAATCAAATTAATTTTGGACAGAGTCTAATACCTATTTTTGGATTATTTTTTTTAATTTAAAGAACAAAAATATACAAATTTATTTCTAAATTAAATTGTTTATTTATTGCTTTTCTTCAAGATTTTTTTCTATTTTCTAGTAATTATTAATTTTTTCCAGTAACATATCTATCATAAGCATCATCACGTTCATCTCTTGTATTACCATTATTTGTTGCCAAACCATCTAAAGCTCCATAGCTTTGACTAGCAACCGGTGTTTGGTTAAATGCTTCAGTTATTTTATTATCACCTAATCGATGCATTGGTAACCCTTGAGGGGCTAAAAATAGTTAGAAATAATTTTTAAAAATCTTTAAAAATCTTCTACCTAAATTCCCCCCACCCCCAACTTCATCATCAAAAGCATCAAAACCTCCATATTTAACTGCTGCATTTTTTAATTTTAAATTAACGGCATAAAAAGCTCCCAAAATGCAAAGAGTAATAAATGCTAGGAGAGCAAACCAAGCACGTGTTCCATATGAACGAATAAAAAATCCACCAATTATAGGACCTACACCACGACCTAGACCGTGATAACTTTAAATAAATAATTTTAAATAATTATTAAGGAAAATATCTTTACAATATTGTTAAAATATGTTGACTATTTCCTTTTAAATGTGGAGGAGAAACAACTGAAATATTTTTTAAATCTATTTTAAAAAATATTAGTAATAAAATCTATACTTGAAACATAAGATGTAGCCATAGCCCAACTAATAGAATGTACAATTCCTTGAAGTATTTGAAGAGGAAGAACTAGCCTAAAGAAAAAAATAAAGAAGAAAATTAAATATTTTAAAAATTATTTTAATTAATTCTATGTTCAATCATACCTCGATTTTATATACACCAATAAGGTAATCTTTAATTAAGATAAATTTTTAAAACCTCAATAATGGATACACCTAGGTTTACCTACAATTTTTAACCTCGAGGGTGTATATAAAAAGAGAATTATTGCTGAATTACTTTGAATAAATTTTTAATTTGTTTATTTGTGTTTCTTTTTTCCTTACAATGAGAAAAAAATAAATTTTAATTATTCTTAAAAATGTGTTAATTTGTAGTTATTACAAATTAATTTTTCAATTAAATTACTTACCAAGGATTAGAAATCCAAGAAAGAATTAAAAACCTAGCAACATTAGTCCCTAAACAAATATACAAAGTCTGGAATAAAAAATATAAAATTTCAAATAATTTTCTTTAAAAATTTTTACTTTAATATATCCATGTTTATTAATAACTTTAAAAGCATAGAAAAAAGAACAAATTTCAGCTGCATGATTTGCAACAGAAGCCATTCCAAAAAGTGAAGGAGAACCCCCCAAATCTTGTAAATGCCAAAAAAGGAAAGCAAAAGCATTTCCAGCCCCAAATCCGATACAAATAATTCCAAGAAGGAAAGCAACAAAATGGATATTTAACAACATTGCCTTTAATGCATTTTTCCAATCTGTCCCCTCCTCTGTTTTTGCCTTTTTTTTAAATTAAAATATTTTAAATTAAAATATATATTTTACATTTAATTGCTTTGCTCTTGTTTTTTGTGCAACTGTTGGGTCAAGCTTTAAATTAATTAATTAATTATATACTTTCCTTTATTTAATTACTTCTTCAATTCGTGTATCCATAACTAGACCATTAACTTCATCCTAATTATTTAAAATATTTTCAAATTTTATTTTAATTTATATAAATTAACTGGTCGATGTTGTTCTGAAGATTGGGGAAAACGGAATTGTGTAATTATGGCCATTGAAGTTAAGGCAAATAAAGTACATGTTACAAAACATCTAAAAAGGTTATAATTAAAGTAGAGGTGTAATTAATAGGAGATCTCGTATTAAATGTTTAGCTACCCCAATAATACAAATAATAGAGATATAATTTTAAAATCTATGATATTCTGATCATTTCCTACCCCATTTTAATTGAATAATTTTTAAAGGCTAAATAGTTATTTAAAAATTAATTATAATAATTCCTTACAAAGTATAATTTCGTTCTGTTGTATTTTTAGTAGGGCATGGGTGATTATGAAAAGTATCAGAGAAATCCAGTCCAATGCCCATTAAAAGCATTGAAAATCCCCAACCGGCACTTCCATATAATCGAAATTTTCCAAACTAAATAATTTAGATTATTTTAATTTTAAAAATATACAGACATCTTTTGGAGTTTCAGTGACTAAACTCAACGTGTAACTATCTAAATAAATAAATTATATAAAATATTATAAAATAGAGGGTGTTGTAAAAATAAAAAATTGAAAAAAATTTTGCGGAATTCAGAAATTTTAAAATCTTTTTAAAGAAAAATTCTTCAAAGATTTAATTATTTTCTAATAAATTTAAATATATTTTTAATTAATCCAATAAAAATAAAATACCGGCTAATGGCAGTGTAGGGGAAGCTGAAAAATTAAAAAAGTTTTTAAATATTTTTGTCAAAAAACTAACAGAAAAATTCTCCTAAAGCAATAAGTAACCAAAGAAGCATAAAAGCTTGCTCTACAGCCTGTTCTCGATAAACTCTCTTAAAAATAAAACTGTGTACATATTATTTAAAATAAATTTACTGTGCTGTGGGGAGGTGATACAAGAACTCCATAAAGATTTTCATCATAATCACAAACCTAAATAATAATTGGGAGGATTAACTAAATTTAAATTTATTTTTTCCAAATAAATATTTTTTAAAATTATTTCACATTCAAATAAAATTACTTTTTCTTTTGTTATATATTCTGGTGCTTTTCCATAAACAAAATCATCATTATTATCAAAAGTTGATAAATCAATTATTGAAAGAATATCTTAAAATTAAAGAGAAATTCCCCTCTCAATTATTTTCCAACCTCTTTTTCTCCTTCTTCCAATATCAGCAACTTTTTTAATATACCCCAGAGCCCCACCTAAAATTACAAAAAAAAATAAAATAACTAAGATTAATATGTAACCTCTAATTATTTTACTTGCTGGAACCAAAAATTTACATTCCCCTCCAGTATTGTTTTTGTCAAGTACAACACAATAACTTAATTATAATAATAAAGTTAATAGAAAATGCAGATTTTGGAATATAGTTATTTTCTTATTTCTGAGAGTGTTTTTGAAATGATTAAAAGATTAAGAATTTTTTTTAGTATTCCTGATCTTTAATTTTATCAGCTTTTACTTTAACTGACAGAGTTATTTAAGAAAAATATTTTTAGAAAATTCTTATATTCAAAATAATAATTAGATTTACGGGGTTAAGGGTTGCACAAAACCAACAGCTAAAGTGAAAACAATCATTGATCCAACAGAAAATAATAAAAGTAATTTAACTTTAGAATTAAAATATTTTTTAAATTTCTTTTTCTAAAACCTTTTTTAAACCGATCAGCAAAACTTCCCCAAAAAGGACTTGCAACTAAAATTAATTTTTAAATTTATTTTAATCAATTTAAATTTAAAAACCAAATTCAACGATAGGTCTAGAACCTAAAAGAATTCCTGCCTGGGCCTTTAAATAATAAAAAAATAATCAGAAAAATAATTATTAAAATTTACAGCTGAAAGGCCGAGTTGTTTAAAATAAACAGCTAATAAAGGAAATAATGAGCCAAATGATGCAAAATAAAGTAAATAAAATAAACGAACAAAGAAAACATCTTTTGGGATAACTCGACCAAAAAAGTTAACACTTGGTTGATCCATTTAAATATTTATTTACTTATAATCTTTTTAAGAATTAAATAATAGATAATATTTAAATAAATTAATTAAGTCTCTTATTAATTCAACATTTTAGAACTTTATTATCTGTTTGAATAATTAGTAAACTGAATCAATTAGAAACTCGAAGTTGACCAATTATTTAGATATTTTGGGATAAAAATTTGAGAAAGTCAAAAATCTTAGAGATTATTTTTAAAAAAAAGTTTTTTTTGATAATAATTTGTGAGAGAATCGAAAAATAAAAATAATAAAACGTTACCTAGTAACATTTATTTTTCTTCGATTTAAAAATTTAAATAGAGAAAATAAATATTAATTTTTAGGCTTCTCATAATTTAAAAAAATATTTTAGAATTTTTTAAAAGACGTCATTTTAATAAAAACCAATGTCACAATAGAGAAGAAAAATAAAAAAAGAAATTGGCATTCTAAGCTTTTTACCTATATTTTCTGTTTGCTTTGGCAAAAAATAAAGGGAGGGAGATGCTTACATTCTTTCCTTATTTTTTTTATTTTGCTTTCTTTCAGCCGCTTATAGGAAATTTTACTCGGCACTTTTTAAATAAATATTGATTTTTATATAGCTACTAGAATGGCATTCGTTTCAAATATTTCTTTTTTTCTTTATTCACTAGCTGTCAGCAACGAACATTTTTTGGCACTTAAACAGCGGGAAATATTCTTGGCGTTAAATAAAAGAAAGTTAAATAGTGAAAAAATAAATTTGTTTTGGAAAGAAAAAACAAATTTAGCCTATTAAAACACAATATATAATACCAAGAGGGACATAAAAATGAAATTTCCGATTTTCGGGAATCGGGGATGGGGTCAGCTAGACCCCTGTACATACATATTATTAAAGTACACATTTAATTATTTTAAAAATATTTAATTATTTAAAGTTCTATTTAATCCAAGCATTTTTTAAACAATTAATTAATAATTTGAGAAATTCTGATTTATATATTTGTATAAACATTCTTTATTTTCTTCTTCTCATTTAGCCAAATCTAAATTAATTAAAAAAGATTTATTAAATTTAAAAAATATCTTTTTGAATTTGTTAATTAAATTAAAAATATTACAAAAATAATTTTAAATAATTTAAATAAAATTCCAATTTTAATTTTCTACAATTTATCTCACCTAACTTGACTAGACCAAGGAGATCTGCGAAATGCAGAGACAGCCCTCTTTCCATAACGTAATTGTGTTGACCACTTTTTTAAACGTATAGGGTCCATTGTCCACTAAATATAATTTTAAAATATAGAAATTATTTTTAAATAATTTTTCTAACTAAAATAATGCCCCTCTAAGGGGAAATATAAGGTAATTAACTAAAAAGTACCTCATTTTCTGGTGACCATCCAATAGCATAAGGAGAAACAATATTATCTAAAGTTTCCACATTCAAAGGAGAATCTACTAATTTTTTCCCGCCATCAACAGAAGAAGATCCTTCAATTTCATTTTTTCCAATCCATCTACCAGCCCCTTGTCCTTGGCATTTGGTGATTTGAAAGAGGAAAATGAAGAAAATTAAATAAAGAAAATATTTTACATTAAACATTTTAGTTGATTTTCTGATAATTTTTTAATTAAAAATATTTAAATAAAAAAATTATTTAAACCTTTAAAATGAAATAGAAAATATTTTAAAAATTAATTTGATTATTATAAGATTTTAAGATTTTCTTAATGGAGTTGCCTCAGTAAATCCAAAATATTTTTTGTGTTTAGTATCTTTAACTTTATGATTTTTTAAACGATTTTTATTCTTTTAAATTCAAGAATTAAAAATTAATGTTTTGATATTTTGATTCTCCGCCTACATTTTAGGTTTTTAAAAATAATTGTTAAAAAAAGTTTTTTAAAATATCTACGTTATTAAAAATAAATACTTTTTTTTTGCAAAAAAATTTGTTTTCATTAAAGCTTTTGTTTTTATTAAAGATAAAATTTTGGAATTTTAATGTTAACATTATGTTTAAATTTGGGTTTATTTTTATTTGTTATTAAAATAATTAAATAAATACGGTATTTATTTATTTTCATAATTAATTGAGTAAATACTAGAATAGAAGATAGTCTTTGATTATTCAAAATTATTCTGATAAGAAAATTCTACGGAAAGATTGCTTGTAGCGGGATGAGGATACCTAATCTATTTTTTGGAAATTAATGTTAAATATAAAATTGTTGGATAAATAATTTTTCAGGAGTAATGATAGAGCTCATTAAGGGTTCTCGAATACTCAAAATTACATGAAAAAATTAATTTAAAAAAAATAATTTTATTTTTATAATAAACTAAATCGAGTTGTGACTGAGCTCTTGGGCTTTATTTAAAAAGTTGAAGAAAATTTTTGTATATACATTTTTAAAAATTATAAAAAAATTTAGATTGAATAAATTTAAAAAATATTTAAATAATTTCTCTATGACCTTTTTAAATAAAAAAATAATTCTCAGAATTATAATTATTTAGAGAGTGAACCAAAACTTTTTATTTCGAAAAAGATGAAAAATCGTGACTTGAAATTCAAAAAAAAATAATAGGTTTGTGGGAAAAATTTTTATTAAATTTTTTTTAAAGTTTGCGTGACAGTTTTGTTTGTACATTTAATTGTTAATATTGAAATAAAGTACAAAATGAAATGTAAAAATTTCTGAGGTGCTGACGCTTTTTAACACCTTTAATTTTAAGAGAAAATAATTGATATTTGAAATAAAAATTTAAAAAATAATATTTAATTATAAAATATTTTTTGAGGGGAAAACGTTTCGAAATTTGAAAATATGTTTACATTTTGTAAATAATAATTTTAGAGGTATCATTTTAAAATTTTGTTTTATTGTTTTAATTATTCCTTTGGGAGACAGCTAACTTTTAATGTAAATGTACCATTAATTTATAAATCAAAGAACAAGAATATCGAAATAATTTCTATTCAAAATGTAAATATTAGAATTATAGCTAGAGTTGTAGGTTCATAGAAAATCCTCGGATATCTGATCATCGTCGATTTATATTATTATTATCTATATTATTATTATGAAAAAATTTAAACATGTTATTTATGTAAATAATAAAAAAGAAGGAAGAAGAAGAAGATAATTTAATTTTACATAAAGGCTTTCCTCTGCCTTAACTGGATCCTAAAAATGATGATCTTAATGAAAAAGCTTAATTAAATATACAGAAGGTGGTTGACTATAAATCAAGAAAAAAGCAACTAAAAATGAGGAAAAGGAAGAAAAATTTTAATGATTAGAGTTAAAATTTTATTTAAAAATTTATAAAATTGATTTTAAGTAAATATTCTGAAATCGTATAGAAAAGATTGTCGGGCTTATAAAATATTTACTTTAAATTCAGAGAGGTTTTCCGTTAGTATTATAAATATCCTATTAAAGAAAATGGCAAATAGTAGAATAAAAAATTAGGTTAAAGGACTAGGAAGAAAAAAAGATTTCCTGAAAAGAATTTTAAATATAAGAGAGTTTAAATATTTAATAGATGATATTTTACTTTTTAATGATGAAAGAAAGCAATGCGATTAAAAACGAAACCATGAGAGTGATTTTCAGGCAAAAATTTTAAAAATTAAATTTTAATTTTAGCCATGAATATTGAAATCAAACATAAAACAAGTGTATATTTTATACCTAATTAAATAATTTGGGATTAACTCTGGGTGTCAGCTCCCTAATAGTCAACTTAGTTTTGAGTAAGTAATCCTATTGGCCATCATAGAATTTACGTCTTTTTATTTTATTTTTAAAAATTCCTCCAATTTTATTTATTTATATGCTAAATTACCATTTAATTATCAGTTCTATAAATAGTCAATATTTATAGATTATAATGAGTTAATTTGCAAATCCTTGTATGTACAATCTTCTTTTAAGAAAATAAAAATGATAAAACTGTTTACTTAAATAATTTTTGAGTTGCGTTGCTTTTTTAAATAATCTTTATAATTATTTATATGTATAACAGAGAAAAATAATTAAAAGAATATTTTTCAAAATTACACTTACTGTTAGAAGAATTGGAAGTTTTTAACTAGGGTTGCTCACGAAATTTTGATAGTATTTTTTGCCAAAAATTAACTTTTACAAAACTTAAAAAACCGAAAACTTCTAAAATAAGTGATTTTATTAAAAATTCTCCCAAAATAAAACCGGTATTTGTCCAAAACTTAAAACCGAGAACGTGGATACCGGCTAATAACCGGTAGTCAACAACTCTATTCTTAAACTTCATATTCAATTAAATATTTCAAAAATGTTTATAAAATATTTGGTATTATAAAACTATAATTAGAATATTGGCAGTGTATTTAATTTCTAAAAACAGAAAGGGTGAAAATTATAAAAATAAAACCCTTTACATAAATATTTTTCCATTAAATGGTAAAAATAAACTTTAAAAAATATCTCCCTTAGGCATTAATTTTAAAAATATTAAATAAAGCACTTCCATTTGCTAGTTTTTTTTTATTATTTTTATAAAGTTTTGCTGATAGAGCTATAATTATCTATTCGAAAATAAAGATATTTTTATAAATTTAAATAAATTTTAAAATTAAAAATATTTAAATTTTGAAATAAGTGTTAAAATTTTTCAAAATTTTGTTTCAAAAAATTAAAAAAAATTGAAATCAACAGCTGTTTTTATATTTTTTCAATAGACAAATGAACAAAAAATTATATGTAGTTATAATCCTCTTGTCATCAAAAAAGTCTATTTTAGTATTAAAGAAATGGAAGATGAGGAACAGAAGTCTATGTAGTTAAAAATAGAAATAATTTTTAAATGATATCGAATAAATAAATTAATTTAATGGATTTTCTTATTTTAAATTTTTCTTAGTTTAAAGATTGCAACATAAAAATTAATTTTATTCTCACATTTAATTTAAATTTTTTTGTATTTTTTAAGCTAAATTTGGATTTAGTCATCCCATTCAATTATTCGCCATTTTCTGTTTAGTTAATGGATAATTTTTAAATTATATCGAATAAATAAATTAAAAATTATTTTTAATTTTCCAAGTAAAAAATGGAAACATTTATAAATATCCACCAACTAATTGAGATCTTTAGTCTATTTATTCCAACATTAAAATAATAAATTTGTTTACATATTTTTATCTTTTAATGACTTTAAAAAATATTTCCTTTGGGAATCTTGTTTATAATTTTTAAAATTAATTTTTGTTCTCAAATAAATAGCTACTAAAATTATATATTTTTTGTTTGTATTTGTAATTTATTTTTTTTAATTTTACATCTAAAAATAATTACAAATTTCTTTTTTTTTAATATTATTTTTTATTTGTTTAGAAACTGTTGCCAAAAATTTAAAATTGCTGAACCAAATAAACAAATAAATATGTTTATTTTACTTTCAAAAAAAGTTTTAAACCAAATTCCCCAAACACTTTCGAAAAAGATTTTTATTAAAAATTTATTTTTGGGGAAAGGTAATCTTCCCCCACTTTTTTTATTAAAAAATAAATTTTTGAGTATTTTTAGGAGATAACATTAATGTACTGAACCTGAAGGAATGATACCCCCTTCTCTCTTCCCATTCTCGTTTAATTTCATCCAAAACCAGTCATTTTTTAAATTAAATATTTTTATATCAAAAATATTAGAAAAAATTTTTTAATAAATTATTAAAAAAAGTTCTTACGAGAATCAACAAGTCACCTTTCCTTTCACTTTTCTTTTTTTTATTAGCATAAATATTAATTATATAAATTAATTTATTAAATTCATAGACTAATAAATAATACACCAATTATTAAATTTTTAAATTTTTTTTTCTAAAAATCCCATTCATTTATTTAAATAAAAATATATACTAGACAATTACATCATTCTTATTTTTATAAAAAATAAAAACAATAAATTGATTATTTTATAATAAAAATAAAATATTTTATTTATTTTCTCCGACCAAAAAATCCTTTATAATTCAACAGGCTTCCACCCCCCTATTATTTTAACTAAGAAATACTTAAACTAGAGTTAGTGTTTAGTGTATATACACGAAAGGGAAAAGCAAAAAAAAATTTTTTTAGAGAGTGTAATGGGTGTGAGAAGGAATTGATTGTCCCGATGCATATTTGTATATAATTTTGCTTTATATTTTTTTTCTAACATTTTTTTGGCCAAAAAATTTCTTTCGATTGTTTAAATATTTCTTTGTTAATTAATGAAATAAATAAAAAAATTTTTCAGTGAGGGAATTGTAAGTAAATGGAAGAGGAAGCTCGAAAACCAATTGCTTACAGGCCTAGGGCATTGGATGGAGGCTATGGATGGGTGGTAGTTTTAGGTTTGTTTACTGTTAATAAATTTGGAATTAAATATATTTTAATTGAAAAAAATATTTAAACTGGAAAAAAAAATAAAATAAGAATTTTGAAATAGTAAATTTATTGAAAGACTTAACAAATATTTTTTATTAAAATCCTAGTAAGATTTTCCCCTCTTGGAAGAATTTTTCCCATTTAAAAAATAATTTAAACAATTTTTTTATTTTCCCAACTAACAAATGAAACATTTTAATTTTGAATAAAAATTAATAAATCAACTAGTTTCTTTAATTTTCAAGGTTCCTTTTTAATTCATGTTTTTACTGACGGATTTGTTTATTCTTTTGGAGTGATTGCTGAATCGCTTATTCAAGTATTTTAAATTCTGAAAATAAAAAAATAAAAAATATTTGTTTAGGAATTTAATTCTTCCAATACAGTTGTATCAACTATTCTTTCCCTTCTTACGGGGTTAATGCTGGCTACTGGGCCGGTTAGTTGTGCTTGTTACTTTTAAGTTTTTAATATTTTTAAATATTTCTGAAAAATTATAATTTTGTTAAGAATATTTTAGTAAAACTAGAAAAATCAAAATTTTAAATTAATAATTTAAGTAAATCACAAAAATAAACACAAAATTAAATGAAAATAATGATAAATTTGAAAATAAAAATAATGTTTGATCTTAAAAAAATAGAACTTTAAATTACAATTAGACACTTTAAATTTTTAAAAACATTTCCCCTATTTTGATTTTATATTTCAGTTAGCCTCGGCAATTTGTAATCGAATTGGTTGTAGAATTACAACAATTATTGGAGCTATTATTGCTTCTTTTGGGTTAATTTAAAATTAATTTAATAATATAATTAACTACAAATAGTTGTGCTATTTCTTATTTTGCCACTTCCATGGCTTTTCTTATTTTCTCTGTTGGTATTGTGATGGGGACTGGATTTGGATTAATGTATTGTCCGGCTATTGTAATTGTTACAATATATTTTGAGAAATATCGATCACTTGCTACAGGTTTTTGATAAAAATTGGAAAATAATGGAAAATTTAAACAAGCGATAAGCTACGAAAATATTTTTTATTTGGGTGATTTTGGATTGGAAAATTGAGATTAGAAAATTAGTGGATAAATATTTAGAAGAAAATTGTTAAAATTTTTGATTTGTAAAAGTCCAAAAATTAATTTTTAAAGGAGTAACAGTTTGTGGAGCAGGAGTTGGTTAGTCTTTAAATAAATGATAGGGTTGTTCACTACCGGTTATTAACCGGTGCCACCGGTTTTTGTCTTTAATTTTTGATCAAATACCGGTTTTATTTTGGGGGAATTTTTCAAAAAAATCAGTCATTTTCATAAATTTCCTGTTTTCGGTTTTCAAAATTTCATAAAAACGGTTAATTTTTGGCAAAAAATCTTAAAAATTCCAGTTACAAACCTGTCATGAACAACCCTAATAACTAATTAAAATAACAAAAAATATATATTTTTAGGTACTTTCATTTTCTCAAAAATCATTAGTATTTTAATTGTTCAATTTGACTGGCGGACTGTTTTTATAATTTATGCCGGTCCTTTCAAATATTTTTAAAATAAAATATATTAATTTAATTCAAGTCCTGGTACTTCTTTGTGTGCCTTGTGGTATTCTTTACAGACCTGTTAAATTTGTGCCAATTTATGAGGAAGAGTTGGATGAAGAAAAGGGAATTGTTGAAATTGAAGAAGAATCGGGAATTGGGGTAGATGAAGAAGGAATTAAGCCTGAAAGTGAAGGAAAAAATTTAAAAAAAATTTTAAAAAATTTTTATTCTAAAGGTTATCAAAATGGAAATGCCTTTCAAAATAATATTCTAAGGCCAGCACAATCACAACAATTAATAAATAAATTCTCAACAAAAACTAATGGAGTATTAAATGGAAATATTTTGGGGGGAAAAGTAAATGGAGGGGAAGGATTTTTACAAAGATTTCTTTCAATTGGTGATAGATTGGATGATCGAGATTGTGGAAAGGGTAGAGGGTCGATTAGTGTTTCTACAGGATTTTTGAATGTGAGGGATATTTTCTACACAGGAAGTATTGCCGGTTAGTAGGGAAATTGAATAAATTTAAATAAAAAATATTTTTTTAGAATTGCCGGAATACAAGGAAAATAAATTTAGATTTAGATCTGTCAGTTCTTTACATTCACATTCCTCATTTAATCGGTCAAATGTTCCAAATATTTTACAGGTTTTTAAAGAAAAATTGAAATTTAATCTCCCCTCTTTTTTCTAGTCCCACCAAACAGAAAGGATAGAAGAGGAGAAAGACGAGGAAGTTGAGGATAGTAGTGAAGCTAATGAAAAACAAAAGCAAAAACAAATTAATGGAATTAATTCTTGCCATTTAATGGCATCAAAAAGTATTTCAAGTGAAGATGATAGAAGCTCCTCAAGTCGGGCTATTGAAATTTGGAGGTGTTTTTTGAAATACTTTTTTTCAAATTTAAAATATATTTTTTGTTATCTAATAGTTAAAGCATTTAAAATTAAGTGTTTATTTTTTGTAGAACGGTTAAACGAATGCTTGATCTTTCACTTTTAACTAATCCTGTTTATGTACTCTTTGGAATATCAAATTTTTTGACAAGGTTTTGAAAATATATTAAATTTATTGAAAAAAATATTTTTTCTTTAAAGTATTGGATTTAATGCTCCTCCAATGTTTAGTAAGTTTATTTAAAAAATTAAAAAAATATTGGAATGGACAAAGCAGAATTTTTGTAAAAATTTAAATCATTGACATTGGGGAACGATTAAAAAAATTAATTTTAGTTCTCTCAACTATTTCTCGACTATTTTTATTTTATTTTAGTGCCAATGAATGCAGAATTAGTTCTTGGTTGGGATAAAATCCAAGCATCAACAACAATTTCTGCTTACGGATTAGCTAATATTTTTGGAAGAATTTCTTTTGGGCTTTTATGTGACAGACAATTACCTACAAAATGGGGGAAAGACAAACCTAGAAATCGGCTTTGGATTTACAATTTAACTTTAATGTTTTGCGGGTTTATTACTTGTTTTGTGTTTGCTATCAATTCTTTTTATGCCTTTATTGCTTATTGTTTCTTTTATGGATTTACAATTAGTGAGGGGGAAATTTTTGAATTAGAAAAATCGTTCCTTTAAAGGTTCTTATGTTTGCCTTACATCTGTGGTGCTTGTTGATTTGGTTGGTGTTGACCGTTTAACTAATGCCTTTGGCCTTCTTTTATTTATTCAAGGAATTGCTACGTTTGTAGGACCTCCTATTGCTGGCTAGTTTAATAAAGAATATTTTTAATAATAAATTTTTGGGGGTTTTGGAACTGAGACATATTAGAGGTTTCATAAATCTGGAATTAATTTTTTCGAATATCGGAAAGTCTAAAGACAAGATAGGAAGAGAGTTCTAAATTATATCAGACCTGCCTACGGATACGGATAAAATACAGATAATATCAAAATGCCTGCGGATATCCACCTGTATCCGTTTGTATCCGCCGTAAATATGCGGATACGGATACCAAGATCAATATCCGTGACCAGGTATGAATTATATTATTCTTATCAAAACTACAAAGATAGTGGACCAATTTTCATTTAAAATTAAAATAAAAAAAATTTTTATCTAAAACATTCCCTCTTTTTATTTATCTAAATATAATTTATAAAAAATATTTTTAAAGGAAAACTATTTGATTTAACAAATCGTTATGATTGGACATTTGCATTGTGTGGAATTTGTTTATTTTTGTCTGGTGCAATGCTTTTTGTTATTCCTCGATTCCGAAAAAATGAAAAATATTTAAATGATAAATGTTCGGTTTTGAGGATTGAAATGAATGGAGGAGGGGATAAATTAATTTGTAATAAAGGTGAGGAGGAAAAATAGGCAAAAAAGAGAGAGGGCATAATTCTGAGTCAGTTTAAGTCGCAAAATAAATGGAAAGTTTTAAGAAAATTATTTTTTCTAATTTTTATTTATTTAATTAAGTAATTTTTTGGTAAAAAAATATGAAAAATAATTGTTTTTTAAATTTTTTTTTGCCAAAAAATTCCAATTCTTTTATTTTTCTTCCCTTTTTTAGTAATTATTTTAGAAGTTCAAAAAACCCTTTAAATATATATTTATATACTTTCACAACTTATCTACCTTTGCATTTAATTAATTAATTATTTTTTAATAAAAATAAATAAATATTGCAATTAATTAATAATTAATTTTATTTATTTTTTTTCAACGAAAAGTATTTTATATATCTTTTTTTGCCATTAATTCATTCACAAAACATTCATTCCTTTTCTATATTATTTAAATACTCATTTTCAATTTTTTATTTTTCAAATTTTCAATTTACAGAAATATTTTCTTTTAAAATTTTTAAAAATTAATTTTTATTTCCAAACTTCAAAATATGTATTTCTGTATTTTAAATTTTTATTTGAGACAAAAATAATCTTTTTTAAATTCTCTTTTCTTTAGCTAAAATTTACGGTGATTTGTTTTTGACAAATTCTAATTTTTGCACTTACTTTTTTTTATTTTTAAAATAAATTTTATCACAATATTTGAATAAAAATATTTAATTAATATATACAAATTATGAGCGAAACAAAATTTTGCGTATCACAGAAGAAAAGAAAAATTTTTTAAAAATTAGAGGTGTTTAATTTTTAAAAAATATTTTCCTCACATTTTAGAAGGGTTTTTCTTTTCGAAAGGGAGGGCCTGTTTCAGTTAACCAAAGTTTCTCTGTGAAAAATCTGTGTAAAATCTGCTTCAATTATCTTGGAAACTTTCCACAGTGGATAAAATTATACTGAAACATTCCACAGATCAGTGGTTAATTAAAATTTAAATTAAAAGAGACTACAAAAATATATATTAACAAAAAATAAGGAATATATTTAATTTTTGTTTAAAAAAATATTATGTATTTATTTATTATTGTTTAAAATACCCAAATAATATTCTTAATTAATGAAAATGGCAAGGCAATTATTTTTATTTATGTCCAAATAATCAGAATTATGTAGACATTTAAAATTAAGGAGCAAAAAGTTTCTCATACCAAGGAGCTGATTCTTTTTCACTTTTCTTGTTAAAATGTTCCTATTTAAATTTTAAATTATTCTCATAATTAAAAAAGAAAATATACTCGTTCAATAAATTGGCAAAGACATAAATTTCTTTGGCAATGTTTTGGTCTATATTCTGAAACACCTAAAAAATAACATTTTAAAATGTTTAAAAGAATATTTATTTTGTTGATTATTTTTTTACCTTCCGTTGGTCTAGCTGGAAGAATAAAACGTCTCTAAAAATTAATTTTAAATAAAAATAATTTTTAGTAGAAATACTTTCATGTAAGCCTTTGCATATTCTTGAGAATAATGGCAAAGTAAATTTTCTGCTTCTGAAAGAAGTTCATCTTCAGTAAAAGGTTTTTGTGTTGCTGTTGGGGAGAATCTTCCATAATAAATGCGTAATTGTTTTATTATTTCTTCTTTACAACCAGTTGGATCGAGAAAAATAAACATTAACTAATAAATATATTTTGTAAATATTTTGTGATTTTAGTAGAATGTCTACATAATTGCATGGTTTGATATGGGGGTATGCTTCTAATTATTACTTTTCTAGGGCATTGAAAATTAGATTAAAGTACAGGGTGCGGCAAATTAGCGGCCGCTTTTGTTTTGGCTATTTATTTGTAATTTAAAAATATTTTTAAATAAATTACCGCAACTTTATGGCAAGATAATTGTCCTCTATCTTGAACACCTATTAATATTTTATATTGTAAAAAGCTTATTTTATTAACATCTTTCATTAAATTTCTTAGTGAGAGGACAATCTTTAAAAAATAAAAATAAATATTTTTTAAAATTAATTTAAAAATAATTTTAATTTTAAAATAATTTTAAAATTAATTTACATATTTTCGAATAAACACGCAAAGTAATAAACCTAACAATAACATTAAAAGCCAAACAATTGTAAAAATAAGTATTGGCAATCCTCCACCTACAACTAAAAAAAATAATGCTTAAAAAATAATTAATTAATTAATTACCGGCTGGAGAGGATGCCAAAACTGCTAACAAAATAATTATAGAAAAGATTAACCAAATGGGCGTTAAACGAGAATAAATAACTGCATAACTAAATAATTAACAGATAAATATATTTTATATTTAAATTAATAATTAACCTAAAAAATCGTAAATCATTGGATATTGTTCTAATTATGTCTTCAAAAGTTATTTGTGGAAACTTTAAATAAAAAAATAAAATTAAATATTAAAATTTAATTTTTACTTCAATTTGTTTATTATTTGCTAATTTTGAAGGCATTTTGTAATCATATTTAGGTGGAACAAGCCAAGCACAATGAGCATTACTTGGATAAACAATTACCAATAATTTGCCATTTTCTATTAATTTAAAAAAATTTAATTATTTTAATTGATGGAGATCAATCCCGAGAAATCTGTTTTGCCTGATCTGTTCTTACCTTGGCAAAATTCGGCCCTATGGGTGACAGTATTTCGAGATTTCCTTGTATTTTCTTATAATAACTAAAATAATTTACTCAATTCTTCACTATTTTTATCTCCTTCTCCATCATCATAATTATTATTAGATCCCCCCTCTGTATTTCCTCCATTACTACTATTAGAAGTTCCAGCACCAATCTCCAAAATAATTTCTTTTTTTCTTTCTTTTTGTGGTTTTGTTGTTGGACGAGGTGGAGGAATTGGTGGAGGGGGTAAAGGTGGGGGTATTCCAATATTATTATTTTGTTTTGGACTTTGTTGTGTTGAATCTAAGTCATTTAAAGGAATATCATTAAGTTCAATCGGTTCAAGAAGAGCTTAAATTAATTTAAAATTAAAAATATTTGTTAAAAGAATAAATTTATTTGTGAGGATTAAGAGAATGGTGATCTCCCCATTTCTAAAACTGCGTTGATATTGTTGATTAAATTCAATCGACTGAATTAATTGAAGTAAATGTAATTGTGCACAATACTAGATGATTTGGGATTTAATTATTCTAAAATTTTTAAAAGGTAAGGAAGATATTGCACTAAATATACCCAATAATTGCCTATAAATTCTATCAAAAATTACCTAGTCCAACAATCCTTTCGAATTTAATTTTTTTGCAAAAAATATCTATTTTATTTTTTACTAACCAGTAGGTTGCCGATCAGATGAAGAAGAGTTTGCAGCCATTTTGACTGGACTTAATAAAATACTACCCCCATCCTCGCCTTTTTCTTTATTAAAAGAAACCCAATTTTTTGATTGCCCATTAGTTATTAAATTATTTTTATTAATATTTTGTTCGTTTTCATTTTCTTCAATTACTGTCTTCATTGTTAAATTTAATATTTTTTTTCAAAAAATAAATTAATAAAATATTCTCTTTTTAATTTTTAGTAATTAATAGTAGTAATAAATTAAATTCAAAAAATTTTTTGGAGAAAACTAAAATAAATTATTTAAAATAATTAATAATTTTAATGAAAAAAAGAAAAAAGAACAATATTTTTATTCTATCACTCGAGATGAAATATGTAGACAGAAGAGCCTATGTATCCAAAAGGTGAGCGGATCCAAAAATTAAAAATTATATCCAAAAGTTAGAAAAATTTTTCCGTCCAAATTTTGTCCGTGACTGTATTTAAATTAATGCATTCTCATTCATAACTTTAAAATTAGGCTCATTTTTAGAATTTTATTTTTTTAAAATAACTTTTTCCTTCAATAAATCATCAAAAAGAAAAAAAAGACCATTTATAAATTTAAAATAAAAATATTTAATATGATAGATTTACACCTTTAATATAACCAAAATAATAAAAACGGGAATAAAAAATAATAAAAACAAGTATTTAAGTACATCAATATAAAATTAAATTTAAATAAAATTATTAGTGTTCATATTTAAAAGGGATTAAATTTTAAAATAAAAAAATAATTATTTGGGAAGGATCTCGTTTAGAATTTAAATAAGGATTTATAATTAATTGGAGATAGAGGATTATTTAAAAATTCAAAAGTGATTAATGTTAAGTAAGTAATAAGAAATGGAAATTAAAAAATTTGGGAGGGGATTTAAACAAAAATTTTCTTGAATAAGGTTTTGTTTTATTCTCTCATTTATAATATGAGAACAAGATAACAAAAAATATTCTTTAATTTCTGGCTCATTTTTTAAATTTTTAACGAGATAAGTAAACCCTCCATAATCAAAAATTTCTGATTAATAAATTCTTTTAAAAATAAAAATTTTAATTAAAAAATATTAAATAATAACTTGAAGGTTGTTGAATGTTTATATAAATTTATGAGCGAGAAGAGCAAAAAAGACGAAGAAAAATTCGAGAAGGGAGAGAAAACAAAATGATGAAGGAGATGAAAAGACATAAAAATGAAGAAAAATAATTTTTTCTTTAATGCTAAAATGCCCCAATTTTTTTTTCAGCCGATGAACAACGAAGGAGAGGAAGAAGAAAATAATTTGGACGGCCGGACAGTTGTAGAAGGACCGCCAACACAAAAATTTTCTTTCCTCTTAATAAAACGTGTGATGACACGCAGTAGAAGCAGCAAACAAGGAATGATGAAGAATATATTTTAATAGTAGATCAATCGATGTTTTTGAAGGAATAAAAATTCTGCGCAAGTCTTTTGTGTGTGTATGTATGAGAGCATTTACAGTCGTGGAAAAAAGTATGGAAGCGCTAGAAAATTTTTTCTTAATTTTTAATTTTTCATTCAAAAAATACGTTCTATATACCAATCGAAAGCTCTATTCGTATCTCAGTACACATGTTTCTGCATTTTTCATGAAAATGAAAATTGGCCGAGATAATCCGGATCTACCGGATATACCAAATCCCACTTTTTCGGAAAAATTTTTCGGAACAAATTTAACAAACCCAGATGATAAAGTATATTTTTCTGAGTATTTTCCACAAAACCGCTTAGAAATATCTTTTTCCGGAGCAGAGATATGATTTTTTGAAAATTGTATTTTTCGTCTATTTTTGCAAAAAATTCAATTTTTAAGGGAAAAATGCCATTTTCAAAAAATCATATCTCTGGACCGGAAAAAGATATTTCAAAGCGGTTTTGTGGAAAATACTCAGAAAAATATGCTTTATCATTTGGGTTTGTTAAATTTGTTCCGAAAAATTTTTCCGAAAAAGTGGGATTTGGTATATCCGGTAGATCCGGATTATCTCGGCCAATTTTCATTTTCATGAAAAATGCAGAAACATGTCAACTGAGATACGAATAGAGCTTTCGATTGGTATATAGAACGTATTTTTTGAATGAAAAATTAAAAATTAAGAAAAAATTTTCTAGCGCTTCCATACTTTTTTCCACGACTGTATTTTATTTAATATATTCGTTCAATCATTTCTTCTTCTACTTAATATTTTGTTGCATGCATTTATAGCGGAGGAAAAGGGAGAGAAATATGAGTGGTAATTTTTAGAGACTTGCGATACCGAAAATTTTTCAAGAAAATGGTAAAAACTTAAGACTACAAATTTATCCCGACTAAAAAAGAAAAAAACTTTTACGATAAAAAATTTAAAAAAAAATTTTTCTTAGAAAATCGAATATGTTACGCTAATAGAGCGTTTGTTTTTTTTTGTTTGTTTTACCCCTCATCTTTCCTTCCAATCAGTTGTGAACTTCAGCATTAAATTGAGTAATGTTGCTGTGTTGCTTACCTGACTCGTCTATCTCAGATTTAATGAATGTAGCACCAACTTTTAAAAAAATATATAAATTTATATTGAAAGAAAATAAAATTTAAAGTACATTCAACACTCACAACATAATTTTTAACTCAAAAATTATTTAATTAATTAACAACATACACTTCATTGTAGCATTGAAATGTTGCATTCCTTCAATTAAAGAATATCTATCATTCCAAAGATTACCAAAATTTTCGACACTCAAATCATGCTCCTTTTCTAAACTTCCCAATTCATCTACTTCACTCGTCGTGATTTCCTGAGTAGCATTCTTTGAATCAGTTTGTGGCTGTAAACGAATCCCTCGAGGTTTCGATACTTCTTTCTCAACATCTTTATCTAAAATATTTTATATATTTATTATTGAAAGTGTTAATTTTTTATAAAATAAAATATTTAAAATCCACTTAGTATTTCAAATATATCTATATTAACCTTTTTTCTCATTTTTGGGTGGGCAATTAAAACCAATCAGAAGACATGTTATACGTTGCCAAAATCCAACTTCTTTAAAATAAAAAAATAAATAGACAGCTTTGTAAATATATACTAAATAACGCAACTTTTCTCTCATCTTTGCCCATTTATGTAGGCATGGCATAAATGAAGCCCTCTTCCTTACTTACAATTAATTACAGCCACAATTTGGAAGTCAGTTAAAAATAAATTTATTTAAAATATTCCCTTAAACCACAAAAAGTTATAATTTTCTTAAATTATGATTCGAGCAGAATTTATTAAAAACCTTTTTTGTTTGATTTATGTTCTTCTCCAATTGCCGTGTTGTTTGCAATAATCGTTTGATTATTAACAATTGGAAGATTCTCTTCAATCTTAACTTCCTCTTCTTTCTTCTTTTCCTCTTCATTTCCTTTTTCCTCATTTTTATCTTCCTCCCCAATTATTTTATCCTCATCCACTTTCTTTCCCTCATCTTCATTTACTTTTGTTTTAACAATATCATCCTTGTCTTCCTCCTCTTCCTTCTTTTCTTCTTTATCATCTTCCTTACTTTCCATTATTACAAAATCATTAAAATGGTCTTTGATTTCATCTTCTTCATTGTACTGTTTTTCGATGTTTTCTTTACCATCATTGGTTTTCTCTTCCTTCGATTTTTCTTCATTTTCCTCTTCCTTATTTTCTTCTTTTTTAACATCCCCATTTCCTTCATTTTTATCATTTTCTTCATGTTTTTCGTCCTTTTCAAGAGTATCTTTTTCTTCTTCAGAAGTTGGATATTTTGGTTTGGGAATTTCATTTGATTCAAACATTTGTTGATCATTAGGTACTTCATTGTTTTCCTCCTCATCTTCGTGATTAGTATCAGGGACCTCCTAAATAATATTTAAATAAAAAGTAGCCATGTATTTTTAACTTTTCTAACTAAAAATCCAATTTTGATTCAAAAATTTATTTAAAATTTTAAAATTAATATCTGGGATTTTCTAGATTATTCTAATTCTAAAGCATCTTACATGATCAGCCTCAGACTCTTCTTTTTGTATGGAGAATTTATCAGTTACTTCGAGGTGAACACCATCCTCTTCTTGTCCTTTAGACAATTCTGTTGATTGTCCCAGAGAATCATTTTCTTTTTCCATTTCTCCAGTTGAATGCTCTTCTGTGGACATTTTCGGTTCATCAGTTTGAGTCGATTCATCGAGTGTAAAATTTTCAATGGTTTTTGTGGTACCCAGAGCTGTTGGATATAATTAGTAAATGTTTTTAGAAAGTTTAATGTTATATAAAATTCATACTCTTTCCTTCAACAATTCCATCACCATTGGGAAAAGTTAATGATATAAGTATCATTAACAAACCCAACAAGGGGTATTTTTTCCGAAAATTAATAAACAAATTTTCTTTCATTCGAAAATACTCGCAATAAAGGTAAAGATTTTATTTAGTTTTTCTTTAAAAAATTTTAATTTATGAATGACTGGATTTAATGTTTGCCAGCCTTGTTTAATGCCCTGATTAAAGAGGCGTTTCCTTGATTAAGAAAGGCAGGGCATTTAAGTGTGATTGGACAAGATGTAGTGAAAAAAGCGAGGGATAGAGGGATATAGATAGAGACTGATGATGTGGAAATTTTGCCTAGTTAAGGCATGATAGGCATGCCTTTGCCAATATGTAAGAGCATGATTAAGCGCATGATTTAAATTGATTTAAAGGGCAAATAAATATATTAAATAATAAATAGATTTTTAATTTTATTTAAATTTAAAAAAAATAATTTTAATTTATGTTTAGAAGTTTTAATAATTAATTTAATTAATATTTTAAATTCTTACAAAATTATTCTCATAAAATTCAGATACAAACATAATTATATCTAATAGTTTTGCAACACAACCAAAAAATTAATTTAAACATAAAAAATATTTGTCATAGGCAAATTTTAATTTTAGGTAAATTTTAAATTTGCCGGCAAATTTTTAATTTACCTAAAATTAAAATTTGCCTGTGACATATTCACATATCAAAACAGTCTCTAATGTTTCATTGCAGTTCAGGGCGCGGCATTGAAAAGGGAAGATTATCCCATATTTTTACCTTATCCACTTTCAGAAATATATTTATATAATTTCAAAACTAATTTAAATACTTCATTCAATCAATTTATTCAACAATTTTATTAAAATTAATACAATAACATTTATTGCATATATTAAATAAAAATAGAAATAAAAAAGGGTAATTTAAGAATTTGTAATATTTATTATGAAACTGAAAGATAGAGGTTGAAAGATGTTTGTAGTGCAATTGAGCATTAAAAGTTTTTAAAGCTAATTTAAATTTAAGAAGAAATTTTTTTAATTAAAATTTTCTATCTTCTTTCACATTTTCTACATAAATACAAAAAAAAATAATTAAATTTAAGCAGTTAAATGTCCACTTTGTTGTTGTTGTTTTTGTTGGTGTTGTAAAAATCCGTGTAGCCGTTGATCTCTTTCTTCATTTAATAATGCTGTTGTCAATGAAGATTCTAATTCATCATCTTCATCTAGAACTAAATCACTGAAATTTAAAAAAGGTTTTTTTTAATTATTAACTAATAATAATTTACATATTTTCATCCTCAACTCCATCCTCTTCTTCCTCTTCATTACTTATTTGTTCACTTTCACTCATCAAAAGTTCATATTCTGTTAAACAAAATACCTTTAAAAATTATAAAAGTTTCAAAAAATCTTTCCAAAAAAGGACCTCCCAATCGCTAATTTCTTTATCTCCAGTAGTTTTGACAGAAGCTCTTTCCCCGTCTGAAGATTCTTGATCAACATATTTAATCCAATTTACAAATGTATTAAAAAATCTGTGTGCCAAACCGCTCCTAATTTTTTACATTACAATTTAAAAACTTGTGATTTAAATTACCTTTTTAAATCACTTCTAGTTATTGAATACCCATTAGATGAAGATATTGAGTCTAATAACTAAAAGAATAAATGTTTTCCTATTAATAAATTAATTTTTGTATTTAGCACAACCCTTGATTTGCTAGAAATTTTTAAAAAATAAAAAGGGAAAATTAAAGTGGAGGGGGTGACAAAATTAATTAATCTAAAATTAGTAAAAAAATTAATTAAATTTCCCCTAAAAAGTCCAAAATATGGACCCTTTCGTTAAGGTATAATGCAGGAAATATCTATTGGAATTTTAGGTCTCTTGTTATTTATTTTAATTAAAAATATTATTTAAAGTACATTGCAAATAACATCTCGAAGTGCAAGTGTTTCCATATTTTTTGAATTTAATTTTTGTTCTATTGCCTTAATAAATAATTATTTATTTTGTTTTTACTTTTATTTAATTTACTTCATAAAAATATTCCATTTCATATAAACTAATTTGTCCATCCCCATCCAAATCTATACATCTAAACCAATATTCAACACTTGTAGGATGCCTTTTATCTTCTTCAGCAAGTAAAAAACAAACAAAATCTTTAAAAATAAATTTTTAAAAATTTTTAATTAATTAAATTGAAAGAGATAAGTGTAGGAAATGTTTATTGGAATAAGATTACTAAATCTGTTAAACAATTTCCAAAAAAATTCTAAATATAACATAGACCTTAAAATAATCACAAACATTATGGAAAATCTAGTCAGTTTCAAATTGAGTCAGTTTCAAATTGAGTCAGTTTCAAATAAAAATTTATCCCAAAAAAGACTCGAGTCCGTCACGAGCCAATAAAAGTAGATACAAAATGACTCGAACGTCAGTTTGAACCGAAAACGGCAATCCCAATTATAGAGAACATTTAAACTTGGATTAATAACTAAAGGTTAACCCAAAATATTTAGATATCATAGAAAGTAAAATTATTTTTCCAAAAATCCTTACCTTCAAAGCCAATTGTTTCAATTGGTTGCTGCTTTACAGGGCCTTGTCCGGAAATTGTTTTTTGTTCTGAGGGAGTTCTTAGAACAGCTGCTGAGAATATTCGGTCAATAATTCGATCAGTAAGGGCTCTAAATTGGCAAAATTAAAAGAATATCTTCTGATATATTTCAATTTACCCATTGCAATGACGTTTCATGTCATCTCTGGAAATAACCTAAAAAAAGTTGTTTTTAAAGGAGGAAATGGAGAGAGTTTAAGTTAATTATTTTAATTAAAGATTATCAAGAATTAATTAAAATCTTGTAAAAAATGTTCTTTGATAAATTTTTAATTAATCATTCTACAAATAATTACCAACCATATCATGATCAGTGTCCAATTCCCAAAATTTACAGTAAGTAACATAAAAATGTTCATAAGAGAAGTAATCAGTTATTCGATTAATATCTGTAATATCATCCAACATTCGAAAAGTTTGTAGAAAATTTGAACGTCTTAGTTCACTTGCTGTTATTCTACCACTCCAAGAACGGTTAACATTCCAAAATATACGGACAATTACCTGGGCAGATAAGAAATTTTTTAATTTTTAAAATAAAAAACACACCACTTCACAATATTTACTGTAAAATTGAGGGGCTTCTTTCAAAAAATGAAGGCCTGGATGTGTCTGGAAAAATAATAATACATAATTTTTATTTAAAAATTTCTTCAAAGGATTCACCAAAATGAGATCCATAAGTATTGGAAGAAAATCTTCCTTCCTCAGACAATGACTGTTAAATGGCCTTGTAGCAGCATTTAAAGTAAAAATAAATTTAGTAGCTTCATCGTGAGCTTCGGCACACATTCTTTAATTTAAATAAACTTCCAATTTAAGTATTTTAGTACCTATTCCAATAAATAATAAATTGATTAAAATCAATCTTGTGTGAATCTTTCAAGTTTTGCTCATTTTCTGTTTGTGTAACAGATAAAGGTGGAATTGAAGTTAAGTTGTTCATTCGACAACAAGCATCGTACACTGCTCTCTAAATTAATTAACAGAGTTTTTAAAGGAATAAAATTATTTCTTTAACAATATTTTTCATGATTATCTTTGCTTATTTTATAGCTTTTTTGTTTAAATGAAAATAAAAAATAAAATTTTGCCTTTGTATAAATAGCCATATCCATTCGTCTACAAAGTTCATCAAAATCAGCAAAAGATATTTTGCCGTCCGGGAAGGATTGAAAAAGCTCTTTGATTCTGTTAAGTTTAGCATCACTTTCCACCTTTCCAATTGGCCTACCCATGGGAAAATGAAATCTTAAAATGTTAGAAATTTCGTTATTTTATAACTAACAATAATATTATTCTGGAGGGTTACTGAACGTTTTACTTTTGGTGTTTATTTTAAATAATATTTTAGAGGATTCTTGAAATTATCAAAAAATCACAAAAACAATTAAAATATTACAATCAAAATGTCAACTTAATTTAAAAAAACACCTAGGTATTCCCGCTAAACGTCCAGCTATTGGAGATAACCTCAATGAATTGGCTGCTTGTTGATAACAAGGAGGCGGTGATAGAGAAGAGGAAAACTATTTAAATTATATATTAATTTAAAAGAAGATATTTAATTTTTACTTGTTTTTCAAATTCATAATTATTATTTGTTTTTTGTTGTTGTAATTCTGAATTATTAGGAATAATACAATTTTGAGATATTATATTGTTTTTCTGGTTATTTTGTAAGGAAGATGTTGGTGTTGTTGTAGAATTATTTTTGATTTGTTGCTGCTTAATTTAAAAATAAAAATTATTTTTAAAAATTATTTTTGAGGTATTTTGTTTCTGATTAGAAATATTTAAAATTAATGTTTAATTAAACTGTAAATGCTCTCGAATTTATTTAAAATTATTTTTAAATTTAATTATTTACAGCTTGTAATGCAGATGTTTGTATAACAGTTTGTGGCAAAAATGTTGAAGAAATAACTTCATTATCATTATTTAAAGCAAATCCATTTAAATATTTATTATTATCTTCTATATTTATTTTTCTTTTTTCTGTTTGAATTAAAGGAAGAGAAGAGGAGGTATTTGTTGTTGGGGTTGGGGGTTCTATTATTGGAAGGGTGGAATTTTGCTTTAAAAATGAATAATAATTAAAAATATATTTATTAAAATCTACTTCAGTTTTGCCAATATGTTGTAGCGATTCATTAACAGGGGAAGAGAGTGGTGTATTTTCTAGTGAAGTTGAAAGCCTAAAATTAATTCAAGAAAATTTAAAATTTTAATAAATTATTATTAATTTAAAAAAATAAAAAACTGCTTTTCTGTATACAAATAATTATAAATTTTTAGTTTTTTTTTGTTGTTAATAAGCTATAATATGTATACATGGATATTTAATTAAAACCTCTGTTTTTGATCAACTGATGGCAAAATTTGTTGTTTTTGTGGTTGTTGGTCTTTTCTAAATGCAGGCAAGGCTTCATTGAGAGAATCTGCACGCCATCTGGGACTTTGCTTGGTATCAGCATTTTCTGTATTCTCTTTACTGTTACGTGGTGAGGATGTGGACGGGGTGGACTGGAAATTATTTATTAATTTAGATTATTTGCCCCTAAAAAATTATATCCAAATCTGAGTAATTGGATATAACTTTTGATTTTAAAAAGCAGAAATAATAGTTAAAAAGCCAACAAAATTTTGTCAATAACCTACATACAACATTATTCAAAAAATATTTCTTAATTTTTCTGAAAATTTTTCACAACCGTAAAAAGACGAAAAGTGAAGTGAACTTCATCTACAACTAATTTATCAACGGGTGATGAGTGCCTCCATTCCTCTCTACTATTGTGATGATATGAGGAAGCTGAAGGAGGCAATTCAGCACCGGTTGGAACAGGCAAATTCATTATAAACGTAGCTGTTGAAGTACTACATTGACTTAAAGGAGTACTTCTATCAGAACGACGACTGCTCCAGGGTGAGAGATATGCTTCATCTTCTGCTTCATCATCTACCTCTTCATCCCAATCTTCATCCTCTATTTCATTCTCTTTTTGTTCATTGTCTTCTTTTTCACCGTCCTTTCTTAGGCTATAATCATAATTTTCATAATTTTCTTCTTCAATCCTTAGCTCACATTCCTCCTTACCAACAAAATCTTTACAAATCTCCTCTTTTTCCCTTTCTAGCTTAAGCTCAAACACAGATGAGGATTTGAGCGTATCTATGCGAAAACAGCCATTCTCTACTAGGCTTTTATCATCTTTACTTTCAATTCCATTTACTACTAAGCCTCTACAAGGAAGAAATTTTTCAAGAGGAACATTTCCTTCCGAAGACCTCCATTCTTTCATTTTCTGATTAATATCACCCTTCTCTCCCTCATGCCATTCATTCTCTTCCTCATCCAAATCTTCCTCTTCACACTCTTCATATTCCTCTTCTTCATCATCCTCATAATCTGATATGTATTCGTATTCTTCTTCATCCGTTACTTCCTCTTCCCCGTCATCCACACTTTTAATTTCTTCTTCATTCCCTTCTTTCTTCTTTTCTCTCCGTATTAAATCTTTATAACTTTGAATAAAAGCTTTATTTTTTATATCAATTGCTTCTTTTATTGTTTTTTGTAAAAATTTCGATGATTTTGTTAAAGATAGTCTTTTTTTGGAAATATTTTCGGGAAAAGAAGGAAAATTTTGTTGCCTTCTTTGATTATTTTTAAAAGAATATTTTTTTGCAACATTCATTGTCCCATTTGAACTATTACTAATAGATGGAACTTGTGAACAAGAAGCAAATTTTGAAATTGGAAATGGGGAAGGAATTAACTGTTGTTGAGATAAATTATTGAAAGACATTCTTTTTAATAAATAATTACTTTTCTTTGTAATTCCATTAAATATTTGTGGGTTAGAATCAGTGGAGGGGAATAAATAGGGATTTGAGTTATTCATATTAATATATTCTGAGTTTGAAAATATTTTGATAATAAAAATAAATTAAATCAGAAAAGAAATTAACAAAAAAATAAAAACTTGTTGTGAATTTAAACAAATATCCAAATCTGGCTTAAAAATATATTTTTTAAATTATCTATTTCTGAACAAATTCTCGTAAACTTAGAGTGAGTGAGAAAATTTGTTAAAAATAAAATGAACAGAAAATGTCATGTATGAACATATAAATATCACCTAAAAAACTACCTACATATATCTAAATAAATCAACATTTAAAGGTGTAACTGATCCTTTCTTCAAAAAAAATTAAATATTGGACACAAACAGCCTTAGGTGAAAATTTGTTGTCTAAAATAGATAAATAGTTAAGAATAAATGAAAAAAAAACTTTTTTTAAAAAAAAGCAAAAAATAAATAAATATACAAGAAATTCAAAAGAGAAAATGCTGGAAATATTTTAAAACACACAAGGTAAAAAAGGGGGGCTATTTTTCTTTTGAAAATTGATTGAAGAAAAAGATGGGGGAGATTTGTTTGGATCAAACAAAAAAGAGATTGGAGAGGGAATGGGATAAAAAAATTTTGGTATATTAAAAACCACAGCTGTTAGTTTATTTTATTTTATTTTTCTTTTGATACTTTTGCTCGAGTAAAATAAAAAGATGTAATGAAAAGAATTAAATTAGAAAAATATTTTTAAGCTTAATTTCATGAATGTGGAAGAGATTTGTATAATTAAGTTTACATATATTAGATTAGGAATAAAGAATGCCAAACTAGGAAATAAATTAGAAATTAATTTTTAATTTTAAAATAGAGGAACGGTGGAAGATAAAAATAATTTTTAAAATTATAATTATATTATTTATTTTGTTTTAAAAAATATCCATTTAAGTTAAAAACATCCTATAGTAAACCCCCTCTAAATTAAACCGCTCTATACCTTTCACACTTTTCCAAACTAAAAAAGGATAACAGATGTTATCCAATTATTTCCCCCTTTCCTATAACCCAATATTTAATTAAAATTTATTTTAACCTGAATATTAATTAAATTATTATTCTCTCCTTTTTTCTTTTTCTTTTTAATTTTATTTGTTTTTGTTGTTGTTCTTTTTGGAGGTGATGCTATTAGAAGAAATTTAACAATATTGCCAAGTAAATAATTTAAAGTTTGTCTACGTCTACTTAATAATACAACAGCTTCTTTTACTTTATTTTTGTTGTCCTCAAAAAGGGGTGGGGGAGGTAATGAATTTAATAATAATAAATTATTTTTGTCTCCTTCAATACTTCCACCTGAAGAACATGGAGACGAAGAAATGCCTGAATCTAGATTTTTGGAAGATTTTGAAGATGAAGAAGATTCGATTTTCTGATAAATATCCTCTTCTTCTTCCTTTTTTAAATTATTATTTTTTATTTGTCGGCGTCTAAAAGCTGCAAAAGCTAAAGAAGTACAGTCACAATTTGTTGAAGAATCGTTAATTAATTCTTTCTTTTTTTGATTAAATAAAATAGTATTTTCTCTTTCAGAAGGTACAATAACAGAATTAAAATGAGAAGAAGAAGAAGATGATGTTTTTGAAATTTTTGGATTTTTATTTGAAGAAATAGGGGAAGAAGAATAAGTCTTTGATTTTTTTAAATTATTTTTGTTGGGAGGATTTTGATTTAAATTAAAAGAATTCCAAGAAGAATTTTGTAAAAGAGAATTATTATTTGGCAAAATATTAGCCATTTTCTTTGGGTTTTCTTTAATTTTTACTATTTTTTCTAAATTTTGTGTTTCATCTACTAAATTTGTTGTTGTAGGGGTTGTCCATTTACATTCAGAAACATTTGTAATTAAACGACAAAGATTATTAGAAGGTGTAGTAGTTCCGTTAAGGTTTTTAATATTTTTATTATTGTTGTTATTGCGTGATATAAGCATTAATAAATCTTCATCTATAAGGGGAAATTTATTTGATGTTTTTATTGTTGTTTCTAAAAATGCTGGAGGTCGATGATTGAGAATATAATTATTGTTATTTATATTTCTCTGACGTCTTTGAACGAATGGAGGAATTGGCCTAAAACAAATTTTTGCGTGTAACCTTGGTGAAAAGGCTTAATCATTGGAAAGTTTTATCCAGAAGATCAATTCAATAACCAATAGACATGTGTTTATTCATAAAACTGAATCATTTCAATATGGGCAAAAAAGGTTGGCGTCTAATTGAGGCGGCGCCGAAATGTTCAAATAAAGCCTAAACCTTTAGAAGCTTTGGATTAAAAAGACAATTTGACGTTAACACAATTTGGCGCCAAAATTATTTCTTCACCTATAACTTTTAAAACTGACGAATTCTATTAACTATCTTATATCATTCGAAGGCTAAAGAAATAAGAACTATTTCTTAATGGATAAACCTTAAGAAAGAAAAAAAATTTATGAGACAAAAATTTTGGCGTCAAATAATCTGCGCCGAATTGTCTTCGACCGTTTCCCCTACAAAACCTATACCTTTTGACTTCAAGTTTTAAGTAAAAACTTGAAAAAACTTGAAACAAGTTTTAAGTAAAAACTTGAAGCCAAAAGGTATAGGTTTTATAAGGGGAAACGTTTTGGACAATTCGGCGCAGATTTTTTTGGCGCAGATTATATTTAATAAAAAGGAATTGAAACAAAACTAGAATGTTCTTATTCCTTCTCGTAATTATTTTATTAACGTTAGTCAGAAAAGTCGAAATTCGGGGTTGAGTTAGTCGGTGCCGGGGGATCAATCTTTAAGGAAAAGATAGGATTAAAATCCATTCAGTAATCTCCATTATTCCATAAAATAAACCCCAGATTTTAGTTTATTGATTTTGAAGGAATTAATCTTCTGGATTAACTTATTTCTACCAACCCTATTTTTTCTGCGTTTTCACAAATTTTTTTATTCTTTTGTTGCTTTTGCTGTTCATTGATTTTATTAGCATTCACAGGAGAAGTATTAGAATTAAATCTCCTAGCAGCACTTTGTCTTGCTGCTGGCATTAAAAGTAACTGAAAATCTCGTAATTCTTCAAATCCATCTTCATCATAATTAATAATATTATTCTCATTATTTTGTTCATCTCCTTCTTCTTCTTCAAATTCTCCCTCCATTTTATTTTTTTCTTCTTTCCAATCATTTGCTAATAAATGTTGATTTTCGAACATTACTATTCCCGTTTTTGTTAATGCTTTTTCTTTGCTAATATTTTCTCTTTATGTTGATGATAATCGCTTTTATTCTGTTCCAAACTTTTGTAGTAAAGGAGATAAACAGATATTATTTGTAGTGGAATGCATATATTGCTAGAGGCTATTTTAATTATTTTCTCATTAAAAAGTGAAGAAATAAATATTTTATAGAAAATCTGATTTTAATTAATTAAAAAACTAAAATTTTAATATTATTCTATAAAAATGAGAGAGAAATAATAAATAATTAAATGAGTAAATAATCACAATCGTTTATACTTATATTTTTGATTTGGTATAGTAAAGTAGTTGGCCCCGTAATCCCAGTGCCTAATCAGAATGATCCCGGCCTTATAATATGTATTTGAAAACGAGTGGAGTTTGTTATAGAATTGCACTTATTATAATTAGATAGATAGATTAGTAGGATTTTGGAATTAAATATAGTTTTTAATTTCATAACAAATACTAAAAGAATAAAACTTATTTTTTACAAGCTAAAGTATTTAGATGTGATTAAAATTGTAAATTTAATTGCCAAATAGGTACTCTTGTGTTATCTTCCCCCATTTTGTTTTTTTTCTCCTTTTTTTACTTTCTACACAAAAAGTATTGGACCCAATTCCAACGATGGTGAGTATCAGTACTTATATTTACTGATACAAAACGTTCACCGTTAACCAGAATATTTTATGGGAATAAAGAGCAAAAATACCGAACCATTGGTTCTAAAAAAAGATCTGGGTACTTTTATTGCCATAGATCGGCATGATTAATTAACTGTATGTTATTTTGATCAGGTGTATTTTTGAGGAGAAAGGAAAAGAAATGAGAAGAAAATTAAGGGGAGATAACAGTACTCTTTTGCAAAAGAGTACCTGAAATATTTTGCTACTTAATATTTAAGTAAAAATTTCGGAAGTAACAAAAAGGTTTTAATTTCTAAATTTAATTTTGGGATTTCGGGTTAAATATAAAATGTTCATGTAAAATAAGGATATTTATTAGCAAATATATGTTTAGGTTTACTGGGCATTTAATGAATATTATTTATTATTAGTGTGGCCATCATCCTTCCCTTTTTCTATGTGAAAAGTGATATACATACTAATAAAAGCGTATTTTCTAATCGCCATTTTCTCTCAAGAAAGCGCCGCTGGCTTTAAGTGGACACCAAACAAGCCAGTCGATGTAAATATAATCTCATATTACATTTTTCTACTAAAGTATTTATAAAGGTAAAAAGTAATAAAGGGAAGGAAAGGAGGAAAAAGCAAAACAAAATTCCTTAAAATATTTAAAAGTAAAGGATATATTTATTTATTATTAGCAACAAAACAACACAAGTTAAGTGGACATAAGAAAAAAAAAGAGAATTTGGCCCTTTTGTTTAACTGATAGGTAACTAAGAACAACAACAAATATATCCTCCCTACCTTTAAAATCGGGAAAGAAGAGAAGAAAGTAGCCACGTCCCACGGATTTATAGAATTTATATTTTAGTAGATTTTACTGGATATGAGAGGATATTATAATACAAAAAAAAGAAATATATATTGATTGGTCAGCCGGTCAGTCAAAAATTATTTTATTTATTTGTCCAAAACCTTAGCTTAACCTATTGACTAAAAGCTAAATTAATAAAGGATAAAAACCTAAATTGTTTGGTCAGCCGGTGTACTAATAATAATAAATCAGAAAATCTGTTATGGAATTTAGATTTAAAAATTAGTTTTATTTTTAATCCAAAGCCGAGACTAAATTACAAATTCTTGCCCTAAATTTTTCTGTTCGGTCTCGTATACACGAAGAATTTTGGAACCAATAGCCCTAATTCGTTGACTTTGACCACTTGTAAAATTCTTGGAGAACGAAAAGAAAAAGCAAATGAAAGGGAGATAAGGGAAAGATAAGTATTGTCTAAATTGTCTAATTTAATATTTCTAAAGAATAAACTCGAAATAAAATTTAAAAATGAATGAGAATGTTTTTAATTTTTTAAGATAGAATCAATATTGTAAAAAATTTTTTTATTTTGAAAAAAAAACTTCTGAGTGAATAATTCAAAATATACACATATGTGTGAATCAATCAACTAAAAATGAGGAAAGAATTAGACTGAAAAATTAGGGGAAGAGAAAAGTTTTGAAGTGGTGGTGGCCGAAATGATGTGTGTGATATATATTAAATATTAAATCTACTTAGTACATAAATATTTTAAAATAAATAAATGGGGGAATGCGCATCAAAAAAAGTGTGAATGTGTGTAAATATTTAAAAAAAACTAAGCACTTAAAAGTTTTTGCGTGAAATAAAAAAGGAAAAGAGAAGAGAAGGATGAAAAATAAAATTGAAGAATAAGGAGGATTTAGATTTAAATATTGTGTTAACTAAATAAAGCTATAGAGTATTTTAATATAAATAAATTTTAATTTTTTAGTGTTTGATCAATAATATCCCTCCCCCCCCCCTTCACATACAAAATCACTCCCTTGGATTGAATATAATTAAATGAAAGTCCATATGTAATAATGAAGAATAAAGCTTTTACTTTTTTTGTCATAAAAGACTACATATTTAAATAATCTTTCGTTTCAATCTACAAATTTATTTATTTCCAGTCTATACTTTTCATGTCTACCAACTAGGGTTGGTCCCCGACCCCGACTAACCCCGACCCCGACCCCGAACCCCGACATTTTTTGACCTAAAACCCCGACCCCGACCCCGACATTCCCAACCCCGAAAACCCCGACCCCCGAAAGTTCGACCCCGACGACCCCGAACCCCGAAAAATTTTTATGCCCCCGACTCAAACTGCATTAATTAACTAGAGATCGGAACGGGATCGGGACTTTGATGCTAAATATATGAAGGAAAAGGGAAAGGAATATTTATATTTTCTCCTGTTTCCTTTTGTTGGTCGATGGTTGAGTGGTTAGGTTAACTGACTTCAGCCATCTAGCTATTTTGATAGGAATGTTGTTCGAATCCAGGGATGGAAATAAGGCTGAGAAAATTTTTCTTCTCAAAAATACATATTTTTAAACTATGATCTTGATTTTAAATTTGCAAATTTATTTTTTTTTATATTTTAAACATGAAACAATATTAGAATTTTAAACTAGTCATGAATTTTCCAAAATTTTCGCCTGCGGCGCAGAAAATTGAAGAAATCTGTCTCTTGGCCTTCCAAAATTCTAAAAATTTTTGCCTGCGGCGCCGAAAATGGAAGAAATCTGGCTCTTGACCTTCCAAAATTCTCAAAATTTTTGCCTGCGGCGCTAGACTCAATGAAGGGATACAGAGGCTTTAGGAGAAATTGATGGATAGATGGATTTCTCCCGTTATCCTTGCAACTCCCCGATATCCCGTCAAATCCTTCTAAATCCCATTATATCCATCTTAATCCTCTGATATGCCTTCATATCCCCTCAATCCCTTTACATAAGAGGTGGAGTAAGAGTTACCTTGTGGGTTTGGGGATTATGAAGGATAACTTGGATAAAGTACTTCTTGCGCCTTCAACTTATCACGAATTAGATACAGAAAGTGAAGATAATGAAGATTAAGTTGATTTTTTAATAAAAATGTTGATTTTGTACAGTAATTTTGGATAAAAATGCTGGATTTTGTAAATTTTCACTTCAACCCCGACCCCCGACCCCGACCCCGAACCCCGACATTATTTTCAGCCCCGACCCCGACCCCGAACAATTTGAGCAACCCCGACCCCGACCCCGACTTTGTCAACCCCGAAAACCCCGACCCCCGACTTTTCCAACCCCGAAGGCTCGGGGACCAACCCTACTACCAACCATCCCCCTTCCCCCATGTTTCAATAATTTTTTCCCAGTCTTGATTATATTTTAAATTTTAATAAAAAAATATAAGGAATTATTAATAAAAGCTCTTAATTTAAATAAAAATTAAAGAAAAAGCTAATATAATATTAATGTGAAAATATTTTTATTTAAAAATAATTTTCCTTTTTTTTCATTTTTAGAAACACTTAAAGAAAAGATTTTTTTAAATTTTAGTAAAAGATTAGTGTAAATAAAAAGCAAAAATATATTTTTGTTTAAAATTTTTAAAAATCAAAACACACAAACATTTACTTACCTTTAAAATATTAAATTGAAAATGTTTTGGCATAACATTTTGTTTAACCAAAGCAGTTACACTTTTTGATTTTTCTTTTATTTCTGAGGAGGTTTTGGAAATATTTTGATGTTTTTCATCAAAATTATTTAATTTTAATTTTTGTTTCTCTTTATCTTCTTCTTCTTCAAAATATTTAATTAATTTTTGTTTTAATTTTTCCTCTTCTTTATTTTGTTTTATTTCCTCTTCCTTTATTTTAACCTCATTAATTTCTTCTTGACCAAGGTCAACAACAATAACTGGCTTTGTACGAAATAAACTACTTCGTGGAGAAAGTCTATCATTTCTAGTAACAGAATTATTTGCAGATTTTATCTTTGAAGAAGAATTTTGTGTCGAATTTGCTTGAAGTAATTGAGAAGAATTGATATTTTGTTGTTGTTGTACAGCAATGCCGAAAGGTTTAGCGACTGTATTATTCTTTAAAATATTAATAATATTTATTTATTAAAAATTTGTCTGGATTTAAAAGTTTAAACAAGGACTGGCTTTGTAACTGGCTTTATGCGAAATAAACTACTTCGAGGAGTTGATCGTACTTTTTACTCAAAATTAGGTAAAAAGTACGATCAAAATTAGTCAGTTCTTTCGCATACTTAGAATTCCAAAAAATTTAGCATGTAGAGTTAAAAAATCTAAATTTCAATAATTCACTAAATAGAAAATTTAATGAACTTGTTTAATTTTAAAATTGAAAAAGATGGAGGAATTTTAAATTTAAATATTTCAGGTTATAATACTTTTTTATTCAAAATAATTTCAAACTTTTTTATTTTTCTGTTGCCTTTCCTCTAATTCATTAACTCTTGAAATAACAGTATTTGTTTGTGGAAAATTAGGAGATGAAGAATGTAAGAGTTGTTTAGCTGTTGGGAGTATTTTTCTTTGTTTTTGTTGTTTTTGATTTCCAAAAAAGAAAGGATTATTAGAAATTCCCCCAAAAAAACTATTTCCGGCAAAAACATTTTTTTGTTTAATTTTAAGTAATTGTTCCCTTAAATGGTGTTTAGGGGCTGGTTGAGGTAATTCTGCGATAGATGAGGATAAGGAAAATGTTGGTGAAGATTGTTTTTGTAATAATGAGGAAGAGGAGGATTTGTCTGCTTCTTCATTAATATTTACTTGGAGAGGATGAAATTGGTGTTTTTCAGAAGGAATTGTTGGGAAACGACCACAATTTTTAGTATTATTATCAAGACTTTCACTTTCAGAGTCCAATAATAATTGAGAAGTTGAAGATGTAGTTGCAGGGAGTTGTTGGTCGATTAGAAGGCTGTTTAAATAAGAATATAATGTTTCCTGAATTTTTTTCGGTTTCTAGGTTCACAATTTGAATAACTTTGAAAATTAAATACCTGGGGAAAGGTGTAATTCTTCCACAAGTATTATTATAGCTAAATGGAGAATTATTATTAGTTTTTGTAGATTGCTGTTTTTTGCCTTCCTGTGTTTTCCTCATTTCTAATAAAAAATTAGCTGTACGTACAGCTACAGATTCAACAGTTCCCAAATTATTTTCCAAATTATTTTTTACATTATTTATTTGTTGATCTTCAGAATTTAAATTATTTATTGCTGAAGAAGAAGGAGAGGAAAGGGATGATAGAGATTGTGAAGAAGGGGATTGTTGCTGTAATTGTTGTAGTTTTTCGGTAGCATTGTGACCGAGTAATAGCCTTTGGGAGGATAATGCTTCAGATGAAGAACGTGACTTGAGTGTCTAATGGAGAAAAGTATTAAAAAACTTTAGCAAACTGGTTTTTGGTTAATCCAATTTCGGTCTAAAACCGAAAATTTTGATATTTTTTGCCTTAAATTTTCATGAAAATTTAAAAGCCAAAACCACTTAAAAACCACCAAAGACAGAAATATTTTACTGAAACTCAAGACCGAAACCGGGTTTTACATAAAATCGGGATCAACTACATATCCTAGTTTGGATAAACGTACAGAAATCCAAAAATTGCTGATGTAGGGACTCTTTTGTTGTGCAGTTAATGGACGACGTGTTTGTTTAGCTGGATTGCTCCCTGATTCTTTAAAAGAAAATTTTGTATTATTTTGACAATTATTTGAGTAATTGTTGTTTTCACTGTTTATATTATTTTCATTAAATCCATTTATTAATTTAGAGTTATTTTGAAGAGAAGTTTTTTGTGGTATTTCTTTACTATTGTTAATTGGTTCACGCATTTTTGTGAAGGAAATTTGTTCAGATTTAAATATCAGTTTAAATAATCGTATCTTTATTTTAAAATTAAGAGTAATTAATTTAGAAAAAAAAATCTAAAAATATCAAATAAAGATATTAACCGGGAAGCACAAATTTATTTTTATTTTACCCAAAATCTAAAACACACGAAAGTTAAAATAAATTTTAAAAACTAGCTTGACATAAATCTTCAAAAATAGATCATGAAATTTGCAACCAATATTTCAAAGTTTTTATTGATTAGAGCTTAAAATCTCTTTTATTTTTAACGGTGATTTTGCTAGAAAGGTATTAGAAGAGGTAGTTGTTTGTGTGCCGATTCATTGGTGTTAATAAATATATCCTTCCTTCCTTTCTCTTTATTTTTTTGTTTGAATTAACTCACATGCGACGACTGCTGACGGTTGAAGATTTAAAAACTTGTGGCATTGATTGATACTTGGGGGGATCTTGAAGAAAGCGGCTGCTGCTGGGTGGTTAGTTGGTGTCTCTATTAAGGTTTTAAATCTTCTCTAAATTAAAGCAAGTGAAAAAGTGTTAATTTAGTAGATAATTTTTGTTTAAAGATGGGTAGGTAAATTGTGTGTTTATTAAATGATGGAAAATATTGAGATGGTATAAACAATGATTTTTTGATTAAAAGAAGAGCTTTTCTGTTAAGCTGGGGAAAGAATAAACAAAATTTCAGTTGTTTTTTATAGTTGATTAAAAAACTACAATAATCAAAATACAGGTAAATGATATTACATACACCTTCTTTTTCTTGCTTTTCCCCCTTTTCTTCATTGATCTACTAGAAAAACAAGAATATTATTTACTTTAAACATTTCCTGTATTTATTTACATCATTTTCTTCCTCAAAATGTTGATATATACTTCCCCCTCTAACAATTATTTTTTAACTAGGATGAAAATAAAAATAAGCAGTTGTCCCTAATAATAATGATGATTTTGTTTTGGTCATTGAATAAATACAAAATATTAAAAAAACAATTTTTATCTTGAATATTTTATGTTTTTTGCACATAAAAATATACAAAAATTTAATTAAGTGGATAACATTTCCCATTATTTAAATTAAAATATCTCCATATTTTATTTCAACGACTGGCTGGTTTAACTACTTTTTACAAATTTTATTTTTAAAATTTTAAATTATTCTTTGTAATATAACAATGCTCTATTTTTTAGTGTTCTTGATATATATTACGTTTTTAGGAGAAATGTGTAAACTCATTTTCAACAACAATTTCTTAAAAGATCAAAACTCCATGAATACCTAACCAAAAATTCTCAAATTTTGGTATCTATTAGAAAACACTCTAAAAATATATAGGTATCCAAACTTTATAGCTTTTGTACACTTTTAAAAAATTCTACAACTTTTTTTGCAAAGCGAATTTTTTTTTGAACTGACTTAGTAAAAAAAATTGAAGAAAAAGAACAACTTAAAATGTCTTTAATTAAAATACTTCAACTTACTAAATTTAAAATTGAACGTCTACATTTTTCAGCAATTTCGTGTAAAAGCAACCCAGCTTCAATTATTTTTTCTTTTGGTTTTTTATTTAAATCATTTCTCTGTTGTTTATTCCTTGGGGATTTTGGGGGTAAATAATTATCTAAATTTTGTTTTGGAGAATTTTTTAATTTTTCTTCTTTTTCGATTAAATTATTTTTTAATTTTGGAGAAGAATTATTTTGTTGTAAATTATTAAAATTAAGTAATAACACTAAAGATTCTTCTAAAAATCGTTGGGCGTCCACATCTCGAATCTTTTAAAATTTAAAATATTTTTATTAAATTTAATTAAAAATTAAATATTACATTAAATAAGCTATTATTATCGTTTTCTTGCTCCATTTGTTGTAATGATTCCATTTCAAGTCTTGGAATTATTGATGAAGAATTTTCCATTTTTTATTAATTAAAATATGAAGAATAAATTATAGTAATTTATTATATATTTTAAAACTTTAATTTTTAAAAAGAATAATAAAAGCTTTAAAAAAGATCGAAAAAGCTAAAAAAAAATTTTTTATCAAAAACAGTTCAACTATTTTAGTGGAGATTTGATACTTAGGTATTTAATATTTTTGAGTAATATGTAATTAAGATAATATATCATTTTATAATAGCCTCAGTAAAGTTAAGCATTAAAATCATGCTTAAACTCGAAAAATCGGGGTGGAGTTATAGTTATGAAACAGAGCCTACATATTTTAATTATTATTTTAATAATGATTGAGATATCTTAAATAAACTTTTAAGAATATTAATGGAAATCATGGAAATATTGGAAATAATTAATGGAAATACATATATTTTAAGGGTTAATTTTAAAAATTTTATATTTTTGCTAAATATTTTATTTAAAAAAGACCAAAAATCAAAAATTATTTTTCTTTATATTTAAAAATAATTAAATGCCTTTAAATAATTATTTATTTTTAATTGTTATATTAAAATAAAAAAATAATTTTTAAAAGAAAAGTTGCTGGCTATTTTGTATCTTTTTTTAGTAAATAATTTTTAAAAATTAAAAATAAAAAGCTTTATTTTTAGTAAATGTTGGGGGGTTTTAAATAAATGGTTGCCAAATTGAATAGGTCTACCCCTCTACTAAAATAGGTAGAAGCAATATATTTATTTTCTCTTTTTTTATTCAAATACTACATTCAATTCTGAATTATTTTCAATTCATTGGGCACATGCTGTGAAATATTAAAATAAATAAAAAGAAAAAAGGGGAGTCTTTCAATAAATATAGGCAATTCCAAAAAAAACTTAAAAATAATATTTATGAATGACTTCATTTTGGCACAAAAGTTTTGAAAATTTAAAGCTGCAAGAATGGAGGAGGGAATGTCTTTTTGCCTAGATACATAATTTAGGTTGAAAATATTTCTAAAAACCCAAAAAAAACTTGAAAATTTTTCAAAATCTTCTGTTCACTTTATTTTCTAATTAAAAATTATTTGAAAAAAATTAAAATTATAAAGAAATTTTAAAAATATTTAGGTAAGCATTTTAAAAGGCAAAAAGATGTACACCATAAATTTTAATAAATATATAATTTTCTTTTAAAAATTATTCACGAAAAAAGATGTTTCCATGGTTTCTATTTCTTTGAAAATAGGAGGACGAAGATTAAAAATATTTAAATTAAAAAATGTTTGTACTTTTATTGGCTATAAAATGGAGTAAAAATTATTTTGAAGCGTGAAAGAACACAAAATTATTAAAACCTTTTAAGAGATAACTTTTAATTTGTATTTGTCTGCTTATGTCTACCTTTTCATATAAGTAGATATTAAAAAAATATTATTCATTAAATATTTATAAATGGCAAAAAATTTTATTTATTTTTTTGTGGTTAACACGTCATAATTGAATTTAACGGCAAACCCTAATTTGCCTTTTTTTAATCTTTAATATGTATTTATTCATAGCTTCAAAGGATATAAAGACAGTAAGAACTAACTTACAAGAACAGGTGCTCGCCCTGATTGGGAGGGCAGGTCTAGCTTAAAACTTGAGGCAGAAGGCAAATATGATTGCATAAACCTATTCGACTTAACAAAAACTGTGCTTCTTAATTTTAAAAATTTGCCTAAACAAAAATTAAGCTTAAAGAAACAACGCAAAACTTCACTTTTTGGATAATTTTATAAAATATTAAAATTTGAGCGGGTTATTTTTAAATATACTCGTACAAAAATAATTAAAATTAAAAATTAAATAATTAAAATTAAATTCTTCTCATTTCTATTATTCATCATCTATATTTATTAATTTTCCTTCAGGTACGTAAATGTTGTTATGATTTGTTGAGATTTCTTCCTCATCCTCTTCTTCGTCCCATATTGTTTTTGGAGTTATTTGTTTTATTGACCTACTCCTTTCTCTAAAAAACACTTTATTTTCATGTCAAATTTTTAAAAATATTTTTTAATAAATTAATTTATATTCATATTAAATATCGACATGAGCGTAAAATAAAGATACCCCTCCCCTCCTCCCAGTTATACCAATTGAAAAATAATTTTTAAAATTTTTTTTCACTAGATTTAGAGGGCAACAATCTAACTGAAAAATAATTACTAATTTTAATTAGCGCACCGGCTAGAATCTTGATTTACTGAGTTATTTTTGGTGAAAGAAATATCAACAATAGGTTGTTCATTTTTGCTCTTTTCTGTTGTTATTTGATTTGTGTTGCTTTTAGGTAGAATAAATTCTTTTGGCCTTGCTTATTTTAAAGATAAAATGTAAGTTTTGTGGTAATAGTGTCGTTTCCCAGCCCCATTTTTTCCTCCCAATTTTCTACCCTATGTTTGTACGGAATGGTCAAATTTTCCCCTTTCTTTCATCAAATTTGCCTTTCCATATTTTGCCTAAAAACAATCAAAAAGATTAATTTTTTATTCAATTCTTTCACAAGGATAAAAAAGTGAGACATGATGCCAAAAATTATAAAAAACATTTTCAATATTGCCAAATCGTTTTCGCCACAGAAATTCCGGGAGATAACTTTTATAAGTTTCAGTTCTCTTTCCATGAAGAAGTCCAAGCTTCTCAAGCCATGCATCGAAATCATTATTACTCAAACGTAATTTTTCATATAAATCAATAGGTTTGAAATTCTTTAGTTCTTCCATTTTTATTAATTGGGAAAATGATTCTTCTCATGGTTCCGTGACTTTTGCGCCGAGAACATTTGCGCCGCGACTCTTGCGCCGCGACTTTTGCGCCGCGACTTATGCGCCGAGTGACTTTTGCGCCGGGGAACCTTTGCGCCGCGACTTTTGCGCCGGGGGCATTTTTTTTTTGCGCCGGGGGCATTTTTTTTCCGGCATTTTTCGGATCCGGATTTTTTAAACAATGGCGGCGCAAATGTCGCGGCGCATAAGTCGCCCGGCGCAAAAGTCGCGGCGCAAGAGTCGCGGCGCAAAAGTCGCGGCGCATAAGTCGCGGCGCAAATGTTCTCGGCGCAAAAGTCGTGATACCCTTCTCATTACTCTAATACTTTTTTAAATATCACAAATTAATCTTTTTTATTGTTTTTAGGCAAAATATGGAAAGGCAGATTTGATGAAAGAAAGGGGAAAATTTGACCATTCCGTACAAACATAGGGTAGAAAATTGGGAGGAAAAAATGGGGCTGGGAAACGACACTATTACCAGTTTTGTTTGTTTAAAAAATAAGATTTTTGCGATTTAGAATGTCCAGCAGGTAATTTGATAATTTTTACTTTGCTTAAAATCAGAACCCCTCTTTTATTGGGAGTTTAATTATTTATTTGTTTATCTCACAAGGGAACCACTCGAACTGTGATCAAAAATTTTCAATAAAGATTATACCATCGTCTTTAATAATAAAAACGAGGGTGACTCAATCGCTCCAAAGGTACTTTATGGATATGTCACCCCCCCCCTCCTATTTTGAGTCTCAGAGTTTTCCTTAAACGTAGAAAATGGTCAGAGATTATTTTCTTCTCCATGTCAATCATTTTTTTCTTCTTCAAGTATTTTACTTGTTTATTTTGCCTTTTCACATATTTTGTACTTACATTTCACTCATTTCGTTTATACATTTACCACATTTGCTTGAAGAAAGAAAAATGATTGACATGGAGAAGAAAATAATCTCTGACCATTTTCTACGTTTAAGGAAAACTCTGAGACTCAAAATAGGAGGGGGGTGGCATATCCATAAAGTACCGCTCCAAAATACTGAAAATTTGATCAGCTATAACTTTTCGATTTGGAGGTCGGAGCAAAAAAGCCAAAAATTGGCAATAGGTTATCGGCCATGCTCTACACGATGGTATAATTTTTATTTGAAAATTTTTGGTCATCGTTCGAGTGGTTCCCTTGTCAGGATTATTAAAAGCTGAACACCTTCCCAATAATAAGTTCCAACTCCGGAAAAAACAATTTAAATTAAATCTATCACAGTAAAAATTCTTTTAATCTCTACCTTTTTTTAAAGTATTAATTTCAACATTTTCTTGTTTATATTTCTCTTCTTTTACATCGTTTTTCTCCTCTCCTTTTCCAGAATCAGATCCCCTAAAATCTTGATATTCTTCTTCTTCCTCCTCTTCCCTTCCATTATTTTCTTCTACAAAATCTTCATCAAAATAGTCATCCAACCCTTGTGGTTCCCCCAATCCTTGAGGATTTCTTTGATGTGAATTTTTGTTTAAATAATTTCCAAATTTATTGCCGTGACGTGGATGCACATATCTTCCTCTGGTATCGAAAAAAATCCTCAATAATTTAAAATAAAATTTTAAATTTAAAAGGAAATAAAAATTACTAAATAGAAAATATTTTAAAATGAATTATGTAGAAAATGTTAGCTTATATTATTTGTAAAATTAATTAAATTTATTTTTAGTTTTCACAGACCGATTTAAAGGTTGAGGGGGAGCATTATTATTCGAAGCAGCCATAACATGAGCATATTTTCTTAACATTCTTGCTTGCCTAAAAAATATTCAAAATTTTTAAAATTATCTTTGTTGAATTATAGAACAAATAAAATTCCGAAACAATTAAATTTGCCACAAATTATGAAATTCTTTCCTTGATTCCCTTTAATTCGACTCCAAATTTTCACTAATCTTATTTTGACTAGTAAAATACTTTTCAAAAAAACAAACTCGTTTTCCTTGTGTCTATTCCATTGTTTTTGTTGTTCATAAATTAATTTATATTTATCATCTGGTCTAGCCTTATATATTTTTGCATTGTCTAAACTATCTTTGTCTTGTTGTATAACTACAAAATTTTCAAAGGCATCAGATTCAATTAATTCTTTAAATGTAGAATATCCTAGTTGATTTGCTTTGTCATCAGCATTTATGTTAAAATCATCGCTTAAAAATAAAAATTTTATTTTTATTAAATTTTGTTTTTGTTCTGACAGTCAAATATTCTTAACGAGATAGTGGACAGGTAAAATATAAAATCAAAGACAATATTCAAAAGTAAGCAAAATCAGAAAAAAAAATCAGACTCAAGTTACACCTTTCGAATATTATTTGTCAAATCCCCCGAAAATTACAAAAAAAAGTTCAGAAAAAATCGAACAATACCAAAAAAGTCTATAGAAAGACAATATATCAAAATTAAAAAAACAAACTGAATGTCAAATTTTAGATCAGCTAATCGATATCCTTCATATTTAGATCCAAGTGTTTGATGCACTCTTTTAGCAAAATCGTGTAATTCTTGCGATGTGCCGGACATTCTCTTAAAAATTATTTTCTTAAATTCCAAAAAATTAAAAAATTAAATTGAATTTTTAAAAATCATTCAAAGAAAAACAAAAAAAATTTAAATTATTTTATTTCTTTAATTTAAAAAATTAAATACATTTTAGAATAAAAATACAATTTTTAAATCACTTTTAGAGTTGAAGGAAAATAGAAGATAGGAATTGGGCAAAGTGAAAAATAGAAGGTAAAAAACAAAGGAATGGAAAGAATAAAATATATACAAAATGGAAATTAGGAGAAAAAAGTATAAATTTTCTATAAATGAAAGCAGAAGCAGTGAAAATAAATATATTTTTCTGTTAAGGAATTAAAATTAACAAAAATTCTTTAAAATATTTAAATTGAAAATAAATTCAATTATATTTTTAATTTTAAAAGAAATTTTGTCGTTTTAGGGGAAAATGAAAGAAAATTTGAAAATCGATCGCTAAAAACTTTTAAAAAAATAAAACTATCAAAAAAATTTCTAAAATTTTCAATAAAAATTTTTAAAACTTATACAATCCATTAATTAATAAAATCTAACAAGTCCCTCTAAATCATGAAATAAGCACAATTAAATTACTGAATAAAATTATGGCAAAAAATTACAAAAAAAAATTGATTAAAAATTATTTTTAGGGATCAAAAAATTTTTTTATGAAATTTCGAATTTAATATTTCAGAATTTTCAAAAATAATTTAACAAAGAATTTCCCAAATAATTTATCTAAATTATTTAATCAATTTTTAAACAGAAAAAGGAAGGGAAAAGTTGGAAAGAAAAATAGATATATACCCTTTTGTGTTAATATAAGCCATTTATTGACGTTGAAGCAGGGGCCTTTGTTCAGATTGACTATTGCCAGTTATAGTGGTATTGGATGAAGTAGAGGATGGAAATTGCCACAAAGAAGATCTATAATCTTTATAACGATGAGCAAGTACAGGAAATGAGCCAGTAGAAACAACAACCTTAAAAAGAAAATTTAAAAAAAAAGAATCGATGAAATGAATGAAAAAATTGTAAAAAAAGATGTTAAACAAACCTCGTTTTCACAAGAAAAACAATGCATTCGCCGTCTTCTGATGCAACAGAAGAGTCCACATGGAAAGCAAAGTATTCCCCATAATAATCCTCTAAATGTAAATTGTCCTCTAAGACTACGTCGACACTGTGGACATATTCTAGCCATTTAAAAATTAATTTTGTGATTTAGTCATTGGAGAACAGGAAAATATAAGTAAAAATGTGCACAGAGTTAAACTATCTGAAATTTAGAATTGATAAAGTAAATGTCAAGTATAATAGAGCTATTTCAGAATAACATCATTATCTTGAAAAATAACATTGAGAATATCTCCCTATCAGAAATATTCAGAAGAAAATCAGAAACTAAAAATTTACCAACATAATGACAAAAAATACCTAACATTATTAAATGTTTATGAAATGAAGCAATTTAGACATTGCAGAACAACATAACAAATACGAATAAGTCTAACGAAATACCAACACGAAATAAAATATCAAAATGCCAAAAGTAGAAAAAATTACAAAATATCAGCAAAGGAAATGAAACTAATTTGTAAGGGGGAGGATATTGTTGGTAAAGTTCGATTTTGCTCTACTTCGTACTGTATTTTTGGTCACTTATTTTTCGCATCTAAGTTGTCTGGTTATTAGTACTCACTGTTTGGCTCCGGTACAAAATATGTAATCGTTAAAATATGGAATGGTTAAAATCGCGAATAGGCTAAAAAGGGGTTAAAATACCGAATCGTTAAAATATAGAATCGTTAAAATATCGAATCGGGTAAAAAAGGGTTAAAATATGGAATCGTTAAAATATGGAATGGTTAAAATGTCGACACGGCCAAAATGGGTCAAAATGTCGAATTCTTTTAAAAAAGGGTCAGATGAGTGCCATACATTGATTATTGATAATTTTATCAACTTATCAACTTATTGATGATAAGTTGATTGATAAGTCTCTTATGTCGTAGTCCGGCGCAATCTTTTCTGCCCGAGTTCAGTGTATTTTACGGAGTAAAACCGGACCGGATAAATTAAGCATAATCGACACCGGATCCGGTCCGGCATGATCGTACGGATCCGGAAAACATAACGCGATCCTGATATGGAAAAATTATAGTGGTGTGCATTAGTTTTTAGTTAAGACCTAAAGTTTGACCTTACCGTATACGGTATGGAATACCGAAAAACACCGATCAGCTTTTAAATTTTATCGGAAGGCATTCCGTACCGTACAACCGACACGGAATACCGAAAAATACCATCGGTATTACGGTACCGTCCGGATTCTAGTTTTGGCGCCATTTTTAAAAAATTCGACATTTTGACCAATTTTGGCCGTGTCGACATTTTTACCATTCCATATTTTAACGATTCCATATTTTAACACTTTTTTAGCCTATTCGATATTTTAACCATTCCATATTTTAACGATTCCATATTTTAACCCCTTTTTAGCCTATTCGCGATTTTAACCCATTTTTACCCGATTCGAGATTTTAACCCTTTTTTAGCCTATTCCATATTTTAACGATTCGATATTTTGTCCGGACACGCACTGTTTCTCTAGTTTATGGATCACTAAACATTTTCTATCCTACTACTCTTGATCTTAAAAAAGTTAGCTTATTTGAAAGAGTGCATCTAGCCTAGCCGGGTGGGACTAAAATAAGCGTTATTTTAGAGATTGGCCAAAGTTGTAAACGAAATATTAAACAAGTTATATTAGACTAAGTTATCCGTGAAAAAGTTTACGGGGGAAGCCGGGTTATCGTTCGAGTGGAACGATGGCCTCGATGAGCAAAGTAATCACGGCTGCAGAAGCACGAAAACAGTTTTCCATCGAAATTTTTCCAGCGACTTTCTTCAGAATCATCTAGTTTAGCTGATTTTAGTGCAATCGACTCACATCAGCTCTATGAACTCATTCAGATGAATTATCATTTATATGAGTTATTACAGACTTAGTAAATTTTGTTAGTAAATTTACTGTAGACTTGGTAACATTTTTTCACTCTAATTTTAACAGTTCACCTGCTTAAACAAATAATAAACAATAAAAAAACGATCAACACCTCATCCCATAAAAGGATAAATCTATTTTAAGCGTTCATGAAAATAAAAATATAAACAACTCCATTTAGTATTTTATCCTCCAATCATTTTTAAATCCAATAAATCAGAGACTTTGTGATACCTTCCATACTAATTCTTATCTCCTACGTAGGCTTGCTTACTTGTAACTAAGATTCGCAACCATTTAATTTCTTGTCCCTTTCTGTTCACTACAAAGAACTGTCTTACAATATCCCTATAAATTGCAAAAATATCCGTTTGTTATACTTCTATCCCATTCTTTTTTCTTTTTAAATATTTCTACTTTTGTATATAAATTTATTGTTTGGTGGAAATAAAAAGAAATTTTTTTTGTTTCCAGTCTTTTCGCGAAAATTTACACAAAAATAATAGGGATTGCGCGATAACAAAGAATATAGAAAAACTCTAAATATCTCTCCCTCTCCTCCCTCTCTCCCATTCATCTTTCAATAAATACAAAAGCTTTGACGGAAAATTTATTTTTAATTGTGGTTATTATTTACTATTTTGTGTCAACTTCTGTCAGTCTTTCTCCCTTTTTCAAAACAAAAAAATCATCCGAATCTCTCAATAACTATGCCATTTACTGAAAATTTATATTTATTTGCTCTAAATATTAATTAGAGAAATAAAAAAAATTTTTCTTTATTATCTGCAATTATTGAAAATAATAACTAGAAACAGTTTAAATTTAATGAATTTTGTTTAAATCTGTCACTTCCATTTCTATCACAACATTAAATAAATAATTAATTTAAAAGAAAGCTTTAATCAAAATTTTATGATCGTTGCCCTTTTTTCTTTAAATATAAAATAATTAATTTTTATTTTCGACCTTCAAAAATTCTTTTTCTCGCTCATTTTAAATTTTTAAAATTTAATTGCTGGGATATTTTCGAGATAAAAATTGTTTTTATATATTTTATATTTAATCCCTTTTTCTAAAATTTGACAAGAAAATTAGTTTTTTGTGATAAAAATATTAAAATATTTAATTTCTTTCTCTTAAAAATTTAATTTTTTATTAACAGAATAATATTTTTAAAATTAAAATGATAATCGGTATTCGTACCTCAACGACTTTCTTTGCCTTCATGTAAGTAAAGGAAATATTAAATAAAAAAAATAAAATTATTAGAAATAAAATAATTTTTTTTTAATTTAAAAAAATTTAATTTATTTAAAAGTCTCCTCTTCATTGCAATTCCCCTCACTTTTGCTGAAAAGCAAAATCGTGCAAAACGCTTTGCTGCATTTGGTTCTTTGGCTACAATTGGGGGAAAAGTTGGATGTGTTGTTTCGGTTATTTCTAAGTTAAAAAAAATTTAAAAAAATATTTTCTTTAAGCAAAACAAATTATTTATTAATGGACATTTTGTAAAAGATTTGGATGTTGATGAACAGAGTGAATTAAAGGATTATCAAGTATAAATAAATATTAAAAATATTAAATAATAATTAAATTAAGGCATCTCTTGATGAATTTAAAACAAAGGTTTAAAAAATTAAATTAATTTAAATAAATTTTTATTATTTTTTATACTAAACAATTTTTGGAGCAACGTCAAAAGCAAGTTAGTGGGGCAACTCAGCAAACTAAAAAGCCTGAACCACCCAAAAAGGTGATATTTAACATATTAATTTTTATAAAATAAATAATTTATTTTAGCCAAGTTTCTGTTCAGACAAAGCAACAACCCAATATATTTTCGATGGATGCTCAGTACAAGGAGACAATATTTATATTGGTGATACTTTTGTACGTAAATTAACTGCAGATGAGCAACGCGAATTGGAACAATTTGATGCCAAATTTAGTACCTACCAAAAGGCTGCCACAGCTGATTTCCGTAAAGTAAGGGGAAGGAAATAAAAGAAAAAAAGATTGTTTAAATAATTTAGAAAGTCCAATCAGCATTTGGTGAACATTTTGGATCATTATTTGGTGGATTTATAGGAGGAGGTGGAAGTGAGGATGAAAAAGAAAATGACAATTCTGGTGGAAGTTCTCTTGCTAATTTGGAGGCTCCAAAAGCTCCAAACCTTTGCACTTTAATTATTTAAAGAAATAAAGACTTGAAAAAAATTAAAGAATTAATCTATTAATAATTATTATTTTTTGTTTCTTTTAAATTAAATTAATAATAATAAAATAGGCAATTAAATGAAAGTCTTTTATTAAAATTATATTTTTATAAAATTTAAAATAAAAGTTTTTAAAAATTATAGAAGTGATTTTAATATACCGAATTTATTTTAATTGAATCACTGTCTCTAATATAAACACCCCAAATAGAGGGGTTAAAAAACCACAGGTGGTTCTTTAGAATAAATCCAGCAACTCTAAAATAAAAAATAATCTAATAAACATTTTTTACATTATTAATATCCCCGTTTTATAATAATTTTGTTTAACATTCCGCCGTTCTCTATTTCCTTCACATCTACAACAATACATTTTTGTATTTATGAGAGAAGGTTGGCATTCATAATTCTTTAATTATTTATGAAAATTTTAAAATTTATCTACATGCCTGAGGGCATTCATCCTTTGTTGTCCCATCACATTCTATAGACCTTCCATCTACCTCATCAATTGCCACTAAAGACCCTTCTCCACAAATTTTTAAAATCTCTATTTTATCATTCTGTTCATTACTGTCAGAATAAGATCTTGAAGTAGAACGTCTATGAACTACTGGAAAAGGATGACAACAGACATTTAACCCCACTCTGTTGGAAGGTGAACAAACATAACTTGGTGGACATTCAGAAACTTGTCCAAGATTAGAACAATAACGAATATATTGGCCAAGATAAGCTTTAGTAAATAATTTAAATTTGTTTTTTAGAAAATATTTAACACCTGGTATTTGTCCGTTTGAACAAAGCAATTCGGTAGAAGAAGAACTTGTAGATTTACTAATGCCAACATCTGTTGACATTGAAGGTAATGTATTTATACCACAACAAACATACACAGCCGGCTATTATGGAGATAAAAATTTTTTTAATTTTTTAAATCATGAATAGCCCCCCTCCCCCCATAAAATTTTTGAAATTTCTTTCACAAATATTTCTTTCTTTATAATTTATTAATTACTAACAACTGAAGATTGCATGCAAGTATAGCCATTTGGACAATGATTGTTGTTTTGCCCTGTTGATAATGAAGTTGAAGATATTGTCTGTTGTTGGCGCAATAATCCACCAAATCTATCCGAAGCAGGTTGTGGAGAAGCACTGCTGCTAATTTGTCTAGCCGCGATAGAGCAAAGTCTTGGACTGTTATTCACCATTAGAGTAGAATAAGCTTGGGGGCATTGAATAGGAGAGGCTAGACGACAACACATAAAAATACCCTCGACAGATGATTGGGCGCATGAAAACCCTTTAATTTTTAAGGAATTTAGGCATATTAAAATCTTAAATTCAAAATCACCATGTGGACAAGTCATGTCCAATGTGTCTTGACAGAAATGATGAGCTCCCTGAAATATTATAAATTTTTAAACTTTTTGATTTATTCAAAGCAAAACTCAGTCATTCTATTTAGTCTTTTAATATAATTAAATAACCCTATGGTCTTCATAGGCAGACCAGCCAAGCGGGCATCCTAAATCTTCAATTGGAGGACGAAATGTGGCAGAAGATGATGATGGTGGTACAAATGGAGGTGGAGGAATATCGGTTTGAGCTTGCGGTAATGGCGCGCCACCCGGCAAAGGAGCATCCATACGACGGCAACAAACATGCATGGCAGGCACATTTGAAAGTGCACATTCGAAACCACTTGGGCATTGACTGTAAAGACTCATAGGATTACATTGGACGGTTTTGCCTGATTAAAAAAAATTTCAAATAAATTCCAAAAAGTTGTACCAAATTCTTGGTGATAAGTTTCTCTTCCATCAGCACAAACAATTGCAGAATTAGGAGGGCCACAACAAACATACAAATTATTTAAAGTATATGAAAGTTGACAAGTATAAGACGACTGAAAAAGTTTTGATATGTACTAGAATGAACAAGGTAATTCATTTACTTTACTACAAGGTGCACCAGGTCCAGAGCACTGTTCAGGTTGTCCATTTATTTGAAGAAGAGCATGCTGCCCTGGTTGAGGGCAAATCCTTCTATAATAAATTTTTTAATTAATTAGTACCAAAATTTTTTCTAAAGACAAAAAAATCACCCAGGTTCTCGACTTTCACAGCATAGATATGTGTTTGCACGATTTTCGGCAAGTAAACAATCAGCATCTGCAGGACACATAGATAGATCAGATGGAGAGCAATATATCTACAAAAACTCAATCCATTCAATAATAGTTTATTTAATTACCGGATTTCCACTTCGTAAATCCAAAGAAGAATCAAAACCGGAAGGACAAATAGGTTGTGCAGGCATTGAACAGCAAACAAAAATGCCTGGCTGCCCTATAGCTTCCTCACATGAATAGCTTTTTGGACAGTTTGATTGAATTGCTGACGGTGAACAAAACCTTGGACCAGACCCATCACGAAAAAGAACTTGCTTTAATTTAAATTTAAAAATAAAGGGAGAATTTAGAGAGTTTACTTGATTTGGACAAATATATTGTGCATTAACAGCTGGCCGAGCATTTTTTGGTCGTGAACAACAAATACTCTGTTCTGGATCGTTTTTGGACTGTACACATTGATAACCAGGTTTGCACTGGTCTGGAAGTAGAAGTTCGCATAATACATAACCAATTGGTGAACGTTCTGGACTCATTCCCTCTGGACAACGTGGAGAACTTTGTCTAGCTTTTCTACAACAAATCATCATTGCAAAAGCATTCATGGCAGACTGACTTTAAATTTTATTTTTTTACATATGTATTTTAAAAATATTTAAATCACAAAAAGTAATTTTTAAAATGTTTGCATAATTTTTTTTATAAAATTATAAAAACACCATGAACTTCCAGGCGGACAGTTCTGGCCGGGTAATTCACAAAATAAATTTTGTCCTTGTCTAATAACGGGAATTTGTGACGAACTTGGACATCTAAAGAATGCTTTAGAGTCTTGATTACGATGTTGATGATCAATTTGTGAAAATTTTCTATTAGTAGATGATGCCGAGAAAGCAATGTGTGGAGTCCGCCTTTCAGAGCAGCAAACACCAAAAGTTGAATATTTGTGGGATGAAGTCTCTCGCAAAGGTTGACATATAAAACTAAGAAAACGGATATCAGAATATCCTGTTAATCATAAATATAATAATTATTATACCCCAATCTGCACGGAATTCGCCTATCCAGTGTACAACGCCTAAAATAAATTTTTAAATTTATCCAAATTATGAAAAAAAGTAAAGAGAAAAAGGAATTTGTATTTAACAAAAGTACATATATCTTTAATTTACTTTTGAGAAATTTTTGAAGAATTTTTACACATTATTTTCAATTATATTTTAATTAATTTTTTTATTATTTCTATTTTATTTTACTTACACTAGTGAGTCAAAATTATCAAAATTATTTTTGAAATATTTTACAACTAAACAGTATAATTATTTTATTTATTTTATAATTTGTATAAGAAAATTATTTAATGACATTTTATTAATTACCTAGGATTGCCATCTTCATTTAAATCCATAACATCGTCAATATCAAAACAAGCAATTAAAGGGATATTATTTCTATTATTACTCCTCTTATTTTGTTTCCCTGTTGCGATTTCACCTTTATTTTCTTCCTCCAATCCATTTTCCTTTTTATCATAATAATCTACATAATCATTGTCATTTAATTTATCCTCCTCCCCTTCCTCATTAACAACTGGATTACAACAAATAAATTGCTTTGTAATTGGTGAAAGGATACAAGAAGCATGTCCAGGACAATGATTACCGGTGGTCATGGATGGATGACAAAACTATTTTTAAATTTAATTAATAAACAACACCAGATAAATTTAAACTAATATATGTACTTATATACTTACAATATTTAAATGCTCATAAGGTTGCCAACCTTGTGGACATAAATTTAAATGTCGTTGTCTCTTCCTATAATTTTGATTGACAGATTTACTGGTTCCACTGCAGCATATAGAAATTCCAGAAATGTTACTAAATGTTGAATTTTATCAAATAATAAAAATGTAAGTATAACCTGGCTTGACAAAGCATGTCAAGTGGACAGGTGATAGGATTTTGGAGCTATAAAAATATTTTAAACTCATCCAGTTTAAAAATTAAAAATTTACGTCACACCGGAGGGGATTCTGTTCATTTGGGAATGGCAAACCGGAGGCAACACATTCAAAACTTTGTGCCATACAACAAATTTTCTGTCCTGTCAACAAACCGCTAAGAGGATCAACTGATTCACGGCATTTTGAATCCGCCGGACATTTTCTTTTAGAAATTGTTTTCATAGAAGATGGCGAACAAAGTTGGACACGATCTTAGAGATATATTAACTTTAATGTTAAGATACTATTTTTAAATTAACATTCGCTATCCGAACATCAGAATTCAAGTCTAAAAGAACATGGAGGATTTGTATAAGTACCGTATTTTCTCGAATAATTTTCCACCCTTAAATATTCAACCATTTTAAGGAGGAGATGAATAATTCACCAACAGTGAATTATTATTATTTACATTTTCCATGTTTGACCAGGTTCGTTCATCGAATAATTTCTCACCTTGTTCATCAAACACAAGATGTTCACCCGCCACTGGGCACTCTCCTGGTGGACCACAACATAAATGAGTATGTAAGTTACAACGTCCCATAGGCGGGCAATCGACATCTGATGAGCAATAATCTTCTCTATCGCTTAGTTTGTAGCTAATCTCGCCTAGAGGGCATTCTTGTTGCAGATTTTTACTTTCACCTGTTGCTTCTTTTATATGCTTTTGAACAGATTGATGGTGTCCTTGATGAAGAATTTTTACATCTTTTAGGCAATAAGTTTTTACCTAATTGATTATTCTGTCTACAGCATTGGTAAGAAGCAGTCCAAAAATTAAATCGACAAATAGCCTCATCGGGGCACAATAACGGAGTTATGGGCGAGCAAGAGATAACATTTCCCTTCGAATCAAACGCAGGTATTTCTTCGTGTAAACAGCCTAGATGTGTAAAATAGATACAAGATATACAGAATATATCTACCATTATCTGCTTCACAACATTGGAAACGATCAATGTCGAAACTCCATTCACATATTCCATTCCCAGGACATTCAGCTGTACCAGGTAGACAAAGCAATGTGCTACCATTTAAATGTTTAAGAGCCCTTTGTCCCGTTCCACATCCATCACTTGGGTCTTTACCACAACAGCGAAACTGTTCAGTATTTATTGAATCTTGATAGCATAGCGCACCACCTGGACAACTTCCTGGTTTTAACGGCGAACAATTTATCAAATCGCCATTTTTATTGCGTAATTGTCGAGTTCCTCTTTTAAAATATTCAAAATAATTTATCGGCATAGTTTCCTACTTTGGACATCCGATTGGAGGCACTTCCTGATTCAATGGAAAAATACAACAACTTTTAATTTTAGTTAAGCATTTAGCTGGTGGAAGACAATCTAAATCATGTAAACAAATCCGCGGCTGACCATTAACTGTTAATATTAAAGTTAAATTGACTCCCTTTTAAATGTTATCATCGGTTAGCTTAATTCGAAAAGGAATTTCAATGATTTTTTCCAACTATTATAGAAAGTTAAAGGTTGAAAAAGTTAAAAAAACGAAAGTTAAAATTAACTCATTTGGAAACGTCCTTCTGGTTCACAACTTTCTGTAAGGTTCAATAGAAAACAAGTCAAGAAGGATTTAATAATCAAAGTAGAAATAATATAAAATAAAAAGTAAAAGTGATTATTATAAGAATTATAAATTCGCAATAGCATTGCTTAATTCCATCGAATTATCCCTGCTAAATTTTCATCAGCAGCCATTCTTTTTGTTAGCAACCATTCAAATAAAATATTTTATTTAATCTATTTTTTATTTGAAAAAAAATTATTAAAGACTTTGTTTAGAAATAGAAGGACTGCGCAAGAATAGCAAGATCTTTAAAATTTAGCTAGCAGTGATGTGAGGGGATAAACAAGGATAAACAAACGGAGACTGGCCCTAAACTGGCCCCCTCTTGAGTGCCCCCAACTCAAATTTGTGTTGGTAGTTTTCTTTGCTAATTCCCTCTTAAATTAACGAAAAAAGTGGACGGCAACTGACCATCCATCTAATACTTGTATTTGTTCTGTTAATAATTTTTGAATAGCAATTTTTCCATGTTATAAAATAAAAAGGGAAAACAAAGTGCATAATCAGTATAAAGAAGCAAATAATAGCAGAAGTTTCACTAATTTAAAGATAATTTTTGTTGGAAATATTTTAGTAATAAATACATATCAGGTATAGAACTGATTTGAGAGAGAGTGCATCAATAAATTTAAGAGAGTCGTTTTCATTAAGATTTTTTGTAGGGCGGTATAACTCTAATTTTTCCTAAATTATAACCCTAAAAAATTCGAAAAAACAAAAAAATAGCTCATTCGAGAGAGCTCGTCGAGCTGAGTCGAATGACACCAATGTCAAAATCCGACTTGAGGAATTACATAGTTTTTGTACGTTTTTCTTTACTGAACCGTATAAAACAAAAATTAGGAAAATAAAATAGGACAAATTTTACCATAGGACAAATTTTAAAAATTCGTAACTTCGTCAAAAAGTCCATATTGGCTTCTCAAAATTTTAAAATTTGTAAACTATTTTGGGCCTACAAAAATACAAAATTTGAAAGAAATCGGGTGGAAGGGCTGAAAGATATAAGAACTTAACTAATCAAAGATGGTTCCTTTCGTTGACACTCAAACTCTGCGATGAAGTTGGCACTCAAACGGCTATTAATTATTGGCACTGAAACTACCGAAAATAAAGTACAAAAGTTGAATGTATAACGTCTCTCTTCACTTAAGCACACTATTTTTCAATCGCTTAATTTTCGGTAGGGGACCATTGAGTCCCGCCGTTTGAGTCCCGCCGATTGAGTCCCGCCGGTTGAGTCCCGCCGGTTGAGTCCCTGGCCTGTTGAGTCCCGGCCGATTGAGTCCCGCCGGTTGAGTCCCCACCCAAAAGGGTACGTTTGAGTCCCCGTATTTCTTTCTAGGATCTTGATGGATTAAGTGGGATATATGGAGTTTTGTATTGATATAAGAGTATTTGGGGAGATTTTGGGTGATAATGATAAATATGGAGGGATTTCAAGCGATTTGGAATGATTAAAGTGGATATATAGACGGATTTTCAAGACGGAATTATTGCGGGTATGGTACCACTTTGGGGTACATTATATATGAATATAATGATGGATTATAGGTACCTACCAAACTACCTGGTACTACCCCCAAATTGGTAACATACCTGTAATACTTCCATCCTGGGAATCATACGTAAACTTGGTGCCTTTATTTAACAAGTCCTAATTGGGGGATATAATCTATAATCCCTCATATTCCTGTACAATGTACCCCAAAGTGGTAACATATCCGCAATAGACCCGTACTGGGAATCATACATACTTGTGTAAATCCTAGAAAGAAATACGGGGACTCAAACGTCCCCTTTTGGGTGGGGACTCAACCGGCGGGACTCAATCGGCCGGGACTCAACCGGCCAGGGACTCAACCGGCGGGACTCAACCGGCGGGACTCAATCGGCGGGACTCAAACGGCGGGACTCAATGGTCGCGTTCCGCTTAATTTTGGGTAGGGGACGTTTGAGAATAGCCGTTTGAGAATGGCCGTTTGGGTATGGCCGTTTGGGAATTGGCCGTTTGAGTATAGCAGTTTTTTGGCCATAACTTTTGTTTTAAATAATCTTTCAAAAAAATTTATATATGTTTCGATAGGTCTCGAGGTGCTTCATCTTTTTTATAAGACATCTGATTTGATCACTCTACAAAAAGTTATCACTGATAAACTATGTCGCAAGCATAAAAAAACGGTTTTTCGTCTGTCTTTTTTTGTGATGATCAGATCAGTCCAATTATAAAAAGGAAGCCGCATTACGAGACCTTTCGAACGATATGATAATTATCAAAATCGGACGAATATAAAGAGAGTTATGGCCATAGACCGAAACGGCCAATTCTCAAACGGCCATACCCAAACGGCTATTCTCAAACGGCTATACCCAAACGGGCTTTACCGCTTAATTTTCCATTTAATCCGCCGCGATTAAATAAATTACATTTATTAAATAATTTTATTAGATACCTAAATTACATTTTTATCATATACAAATTAACAACCTTTAGGAATTTTAATAATGGCAACCTTGACTGCATCGCAGGCTACTTATTTTTCTGACGGATCTTCTACAAATCCAGATGTTGGCGCAGTTCGACCTAAAAAGCGCTCACGTATAAATGGGTATGAGTTTTCTTTTTCTTATCAAAAAATGACATTAATTTAGACTTAGTGAACGCCCGCTTAAACGAATAACTAGATCTCAACTGACGAAACAACACACTACTGCCGAAAAAGTGCCTTCTAACAAATCCACTGCGTTTGTCCAGTCACAACAAGGCGGTACTCATCAGACCGGCCCTAAACGTGGAGCGCCTCGGGGTAAACCTAAACCTACTTCATCTAGATGTAAGCCAAAAGCTAAAACTACAACAGGTTTTCTTTTAATTTTTTCTAAATTTACTTTGAGAAAAAGCACTCGTGTTGGTATTTACCTTTCTCGGTCTTGTGTTATTCTGAAGATATTGGCATGTCTTTTTATTTTTCCTATTTGCCTATTTTGAGATTTCTTGCCTCGATATTTTAGGCGCCTGTTTGGCATTTTCCACTTTTCTATAAATCAGCAGTCTATTCAAAACAAAACTATTAAAACAACTCTCTGTCATCCTTAAACATTTTAGGTTCAAAGAAGCCCAATATTTTGAAAAACAACAATAAATCAAGCTACCATAGATGCCTTGAATGTTCTTGTGTGGTTAAATCATTCAAAGTTCATTTTGGTTTGACAAAACGGTAAATTTTTCTTTTTAGTAATTCACTATTCTAATTAATATTATTGGTTATTCTACAAAGTTTTTAAATCTAGTAATCCTTATACACAAACTAAGCTTTTATCTCTTCACCATTTTTCACAGAAAAAGTTTTTGGATTAATCTTTATTTTGATTAATAAGGATTTAGACCATGCCCGTAACCAGGAGGGGGAATTTCAGCACAGAAACCCCCCTCCCCGAAAAAAATTTTGATTACGGCCCTGAATTAGACTAATATTTCTTTACAATTTTTATTTGAAGGCGTCCTTGGTTTACTTGTAATCAATGTAAATTCAAGACAAAATGTAAATGGTTATCTGATCGACACAATTTACTTTCTTCTTGCAATGCCACAAATGTTGTTAGACGTCCATTTGGAAGACTTCAAAAACCTTCATCTTCAACTAAATTACTTCATTGCTCTTCTTGTAAAGTATTCAGCTCAATCTCTTTTCAAGAATTATATGAACATTTACCAATGTGCAAAGGATCTCAAATGTTTACGACTAAATCAGAAACTGAAATTACTAAAGAAGAATTGGATGAAGTAGAACTTTTTTGTTCAATCAACTTATCTGGAGAAAATATTAAATTGAAAAATGATTGTGAGACTGTTGAAGGGCATAAAGAAGGTATATAAATTATTTATGGAGAAATAATGGCATTTTCAAGAGATTTTATATAAATAGAGCCTGGCCAGGCGGATGGTCGATTTACGATTTTTCAAAAAATTTATCTCGAGGAAAAGCTTCCATTGTCTGTCCATATTTCCTTCTCCTTTCATTATCCTGATACTGATTCTGAGGGATATCGAGGATACAGGGGGATTACAAAGGACATCAGGGATCTGGTGTGATTAATGGAATATAAGTGGATTTATAGGGAATAGGCGGGTCTGGGTACCAGATCCGGAGCCAAAGTTATTCTGAGCCGTTCCATGATGGTATTTTTAAAAATAATTTTCTTTTTTAGGAGATATGGATACAAAGGATGAAATTAAAGAATATTTTTCTCAATTTCTTCCTTTATCTCGTCTCAATAACATCAATCCATTAATGGTCAAACATCTTTATGAAAATGAAAATAAAAATAATGAGGGGAATGGTGACGATAAATTGAAGAAAATTAAGTAAGAAAATAATTTTTATTTCTTCTTTAAAATTATTTTTTAAAGGTTGGCTTTAATTGGCGAAGAAAAAATGAAAAAGCTTTATTGATATAAAAAATATACATTTAAATTATATAAATATACAAATACCGATTTTACTTTAAACAATTTTTTTGCTTTTACTTATCAAACAAAAACGGGATAAATAAATATTTTTTGTTTTTTTTTCTATTATTTTTATTTTAAAACTTGAAAATTTTGAAAAATTATTCAAGTTAAATATAAACAGAAAATGGAATTGTTTTTTTAGAGACTTACCCCCTAACATTTTAAATTTAATTTTAAGCCAGGCACGACTAATTATAAAACTCATTTTTAAGTTTCTTGTCTTCAAAACTTCAATTTTTTGTGTGAATGTTTTAAATAAGACCCCTTAATACTGTTTTTATGTTTGTATTTTTATTTCATTTCAAACAGGCTTTTTATTCTCACATAAAAATCTTTTCATTTTCCTTGATCATTTTATTATTCTACCTCCATTGAAAATTCCCTGCTTATATCCTCAATCCCTTTATTTATTCAAGCTATTGCCTACGAGCGAAGAATTGACCGTCAATATATTCCTAAATTTCTTTTCGTTTGATTTATTTGTCGATATGCATAGAATTACATTATTCTTTTTAATTTTTTATTAAATTTTGGAAATTTTTAATTATACGTAACTTTTCAAAATCCAAATTATTCGAAGATTAAGCTTTGGATATTATAATTCCTACTGACTTTGTCATTGGTCCTGTTTCTGTCTTTAATATAGATACCTGATTGTCCAAAGTTTTTGTATACCTTTTTTAACTTTTATTTTTAGCTCTTAAGAATATAAGGCTAAATATGTAAAAGTAACCGGTTGTTGAGGATGATATATTTATAATTAAAATGTTTGCATGCTGAGATTTCTAAAGAAAATTTTTATTCACGATTAAAATCTATTTATTCTAAACATGGTCAACGATTAAAATTTTCGCAACAAGGAACGTGTTGGCCGTATTGCCTATTGTTTTGGCTTTGTGTGGTTTGATTTATGTGACTACTGGTTTAGCTTTGTCGCACTTTTGCGCAACATCGCGTAATATCCATCTGCATTATAACTGTCCTATAGATTTTTGATTTATTTATTTTGTTTATATTTCTTGACATTAGTGTTGATAATTAAGTTATTTTTATCATAGGAGCAACTTAATATAAAGTTCAGAAGTACTGAACTAACTCCAAGAATAATTTAAGAAGCTTCTTGCTTATTACATGACTTTTAATTTTTCTCTACATTGTCTTATTTTGATTGGGAAGTTTTATCTCTTTCCTTATTTAATCGAGAGAATAAGCATTACTTGAGTATAAATTGACAGATTTTTGGATGCAAAATGAAGAAGGACCTATTGAATATCTTGGATTTTTAAGGACTTTTCGTTTTAAGTACGTAAATACATATATTTATTATTTACTTCAACCGCAATAAATCTAGTAAATTATAACGAAAAACTTTCACTTATTGGCCTTGGATTCGCTTATTTTCCCTTTTTTTCTTCTTTGATTACTCTAATTTGGACATTTGTATATCGGTTGACTAACTACTTAAAAGCATTAATTTTTAAACATTTTCTAGGTTGAGTTAGTTAAGGACCGGTTCCTTCACATAGCATGCCCCCAAGGTATTTTGAGTGGCTCCAGTAAAAGGCTAAAAGAGAGCGAAAGTATTTTTTATATTCTATTGCTTATTTGGCCTATCTACCTTTCATTGATGCGCGCGGGTTGATGATTGGGGGATGTATGTACATATTTGATTGTTTCATCAATTACTGATTTGAACTGAAAACAATGTTTTTCTTTTTTTATCATTTTTATCTCTAGCTCTATAACTTTTTACATTAAATGTTCCATTTTTTGATTCCAATTTTTCAATACAATTAACTCTACAACAATAACACAAAGTAAAATATTATTTTAACCTTCCTCTCGTATATATGTCAAAATTCTTTATAGAATGATAGGACCAGAACCGAAGGTTTATCAGATCCATTCCTCTAACTTACATAACCCTCTTTAAATTCCTCTAAAATTTTATTCATTGTGCAAATGTGATAGAAGTAGTGGCCTTAGTTAGAGAGGAAAGAGTACATACCTTTCTTTCTGTACAATCATTTATTTAATCAAACAAAAAAAATTTTAAATATCAGATAATAATTCCTTTAATTTTTATTTTCATTAATAATTTAGCCGTTCCATCAGTTATTATTTTCGCTGTTCCAGTAAAATTGTTTAACAATTTTTTTCTAAACAATAATTTTTTTTCTTCTACAAAAAGTAAATAATATATTGTTAATTAATAAATATAATTAACACAACAAATAAAAACAACAAAAAAATGAAAAATCATTCAAGTTTTTGAATTACTTCTTTCTTCCAATTTATTTTTAAAAAATAAATATGAATAATATTCCATCTACTATTCCTCAAGTTGGAAATGTTGAGGGAAAATTTAAAAATAAAATATTGAGAAATAAAGATTGTAGCGATGAAACTTTATTTGTTGGAATATTAAATGCTGTTTTTAGGAAATTTGGCCAAGTGAGTACTTGATTGAGTTAGATATAGCTTTTTGTATAACGGAAATAGTTTTTTTTAAAATTATAATTTAAATATTTTAAAGATAATTTCAATTCATCCTTGGCTTTTTATTGGAGCAAGTCTTTTGCTGACAATTTTTTGTTCTTTAAAAATTCCTTTTACGAAAATGACGTAAATTTAAATTAAACAGTAAATTATTCTAATTAATTTTTCTAGGAATGATGTTGCTGATTTTACTCCTTATGGGGCTAGGGCAAGAAAAGAAAGTGGGGTAGGGCTTAAACAAAATTTTTTAATTTTAGTTATATTAAAATTTAAAAGGTTTATGAAGCATTTTTCTCAAATAAAGGAGATCCGGTTGTTCTTTTTGTTTTAATTACTGCTAAAAGGAAGGGAGGTAATATGTTGGGTGTTCATGAATTAGAAGATACTGTTCAGGTAAATAAATTCTAGTAAAATTAATTTTGGGATTACATATGTTAGTATGAATTTTAAATTCGTTATAACGACGACTCCCTTCTAAATTACGAATCGGGGCATTTTTCAATTTGAGTAATCATTTTTCTCCGCCGTAAATTTTAATTCCCATATAAATTTAAGTTGTATAGGTAATATTAATTTAATAAAAAATACTTTTTCAAAAATTATATTCTTAGAATTTTAAATTAAAAATTCTTTTAAATTATTTAGTTATTAAATATTGTTAATGATCAATACAAAGTTGAGGATATTCAAAAAAATAATAATCTCTCATTTTCCGATTTTTGTGATAATTTCTGTACAATAAATGAACCTGTTAGACATTTTCATGTTTGTCTAAATATAAATATTATTTTTTAAAATTAATTTTAGAGCGGTTTACTTTTGGAAAGAAATTTTGGCAATTCTTCATTAGATCATATTGATTTAGGTTATCCAATAACAACAGTTTTAGGCAGACAATTACATATGGACCCGCATTTTTTTGGCGTTAAAATTGCTGTTCCTTTTAACAAAACAAATAAAAATAATTCTGAAATAAATAATCAAATAATTTCTGTTAATGAATTAAAAAGTAAAATTTCAAAAAAATATTTTTCTATAATATTATTAATTCTAGATAATTCTTTTAAAGATGTGTTAAAATCTTCTTCATTTCATTATTTATTATCAACTTCAAATGTAGGTTTTATTCTTAAATTAGTTTATTTTGGGGATTGGTAAAAGTAATAAGCTGTAGTAAAATTTCCTACTGAGCAGCCCTAGGAATTAAATAGCTATATGCTTTACGGAAAAAATTAGGCAATAACGAATACGAAAAACCTTTCAACTTACGAGAAAATTCTAAATTTTTAAATATTGGTAATAGAGTAAAGAGAAACTTAAATTTTTAAAATTTTGAATATTTTCTTTTGAACTTTTTTCTTTGAAAATCATAAAAATTAATTTAAACCTAACATAAATATCCCAACAAAAAATTTAAATATTAAATTAATTTATCTCAAATTCAATAAATATCAATGTACTACATATTTATTATATAATTATTTTTCTAAATTTTTAAAGTTTTCACAAATTCCTAACAATATCAGAGAAATTAAATTAATTTGTTTATATTTTCGTGCTGTTAGACCTAAAAGTGTTTCTAAAGAAGCAATGCAAAACTGGCAGGTTTTGAAAGAAAAAATAAAAAAAATAATAATTTAATTTAAAAATTTTAGAGACAAATTTCGAATTTTGTTCGGAAGTTAGACTTAAATTTAAAATTATTTTTTAAAATTTATTTTTAGTGAATTTAAAAGTGATTTTGTTGATGCCCATATTTTAAGTGAAACAATATTAACAGATGAAGTAGTTCGGGCTGGACTAACACTTTTACCTTTTTTAATTATTGGATTTGTAATTATGGTTATGTTAGTTTTTTATCAAATTTAAATTGAAAAATAATTTAAAAAAGATTTTCTTCAATTACAATGAGTGCAGCTGCTTATTATATGGGACAATTGGGGGCACACAAAGTGAAAATATTAAAAGAAATTTTAATTTTAAAAATATAATTTTTCTAAAAGATTTTATTGGCAATTGTTGCCTGTTGTTGTCCTTTTATGGCTTGTGGAACAGCTTTAGGGGGAATGTTTTGGTTTGGTTTTCGTTTTGGTTCTCTTTTATGTGTTACTCCTTTTTTGGTTTTGGCATTAGGAGTTGATGGTAAGTAAATAAAGAATTTTGTTTAATTTTTGAAGAAAAAATTTCGAGTTTTTAAATTGTGTTGGGATATAATGTAATTAATTAAAATACATATTAAGAAAGCTTTGAGTGATGATTTAATTATTATAATTAAATTATTATCTTTTACCTCAATATTCAGCCCCTAATTATTCTAATAATTTCCAAATATATAAATTCTTCATTTTTTGAACGACATTTATTTTTAAATAAAAAAACTATTTTTAAAATTTATTTTTGTATAGATGCCTATTTATTGCTTAATTCTTGGCAACGTTTAAGAAAGAAGTTTTTAATATTTTTTAAATAATTTATTTTTATTTAATTTAAAAGAATGGAGAAAAATATTAAAAAACAATTGGAAATAAATTTATTAGAAGAAGAAAAAGAAGAAAATAATTTTGAGAAAGAAAAGGAGGAGGAACAAAAATTAATTCAAAAATTAATGGGGGATGTTATGGTTGATACGGGTAAATTTAAATATTTTTTTATTTAAAAATATTTATTTTTAGGGGCTTCAATTACAATAACTGTAAAGTTTAATTAACCTAAGTAATTAATTTTTTAAAAATTAGACATTAACAAATGTACTTGCTTTTGCCATTGGAGCTTTTACTCCCACACCTGAGGTGTTTTTTTTTTGATAATGATTACTATAAGTTGGGGGGTTTGGGGTCTGTTTCAATTATCAATTAAATTCTGGGTACAAAGATTCTTTGGTGTTGCAGAAATCTACTGCAGGCTGAAATTTTAGGCTTTCAGAGCTCGATTGATTGTTTCGATTTTTAAATTTTGTAGTTCGATTATTTTCTATTAAAAATCGAATCAAACCAAACTTTACTAAAAATAAATAAATATAAATTTATAAAAAATCTTTAAAGATTCGTCTTTTCTCAATTGGAAATGCTATAGCCATAACAATAGTTTATATTTATCAAGTTTTTACTTTAAATTTAATTTTTTACTCAAAAAAATAATTTTTTAGTGGACAGTTTTTGGTCCAACAATAGCTTTATTTGGATATAAAGAATTAAATAAAATATTAAAAGAAATTAAAAAGAAAATTAAAAAACAAAAAATAATTAATAATAATTTAAATTCTTTATCTATTTCTTCTTCTTTTTCTTCGTTTTCATCAGAAACAGATAGCGGAATTAATGTTAAAGAAGAAGAATATTTTGATGAAGATATTAAAATATCTGAGAATAATAATAGAAAAACAATTAAGAAAAGAAAAGAAGGAATGGCTAAAATTTTAAGAAGATTAATTCAAAAGTATTGTAAAAGGTACGGAAGGTGGAGGAATGGGGGTTATTTAATTCAAATAATATTTTACATAGTTTCTTTGAATTATTTCTAACAGATCTCTACTTATATACAATATTCTAAGTGTTAAGATCATCCGTTTATATAAGATCAACTTTCATAGAGTTCAGCGGTATCGGGATCTAACAAAAAATTGAGATCGGGATTTTAAAAAATCTCGGGATAATCCCGCCTGATCCCTACCGGGATCCCGATCTCGCTGAACTCTACTCTGTGAATATTCATCGAATATCTTTGAAATCTTTGCTTAAATTATGTGTATCAAAAAGGAACATTAAATTCTAATGTCAAATTAAAAAATCCAAAAGTATTCATTTACTTTTAAATCTAATAAATAGGGACAGCCAAAACATGCAAATGCATGTTTTGTATGCGGATATGCCTTGAAGTGGGAAGCCCAAAAATGGTGTTTTTACATAGGTACGAGCACTTTAGGACCCGGTTCTTAATGCATATATTTGCATATTTCGACCATTTCGTGCATATTTGCATATTTGTGCATATTTTGGCAAAATTTGCATATTTTGGTCCATATTTAGGCATTTTTTGTAAAATTTTGCCAAAAATTGACCAAAATTTTGAAATTTTTTGGTCAAAAAAATTTTTTTATGAAAATTTTTTGAAAAAATATTTTCGAAAATTTTTTGGGGAAAATTTTTTTCCCGAAAATTTTTGCAGAAATTTTAAATATATTAAATCCTTTAGAAGTGTTCATAAAATGTAAAATTAAAGGCTAAATTAGTGTTTTTAAATTAAAATATTGATTTTTAAAGCATATTTTAACTATTTTTTGGTGCATATTTCACTGCATATTTTGGCAAATTTTGCATATTTTGATGCATATTTTGGGCTTTTTCGGTGCATATATATGCGCATATTTGGCAATTTTCCGTGCATATTTTGGCTGTCCCTACTAATAAAACAGTAATATTGTAAAGCATATAGCTATTAATTTCCTAAGGCTGAGCAGTAGGCGGCGTGGTGTAATGGCTAACACATCAGTCCGGTCTACTGAAGATGCTGGTTCGCTCTAGGGTTGTACCCCGAACGCTCGGGGGCGGGTATGTCGGGGTACGGGGTTTTCCAATTGTTTCGGGGCGGGGTTCGGGTCGGGGGAGCAAAATATGGCCGGGGTTCGGGTCGGGGTACGGGGGTTTAGTGGAAAAATTTTTAGAGAAAAGAATGCTCAAAAATAATTAGAAATCGATATATTTTCGTTGATTTATTCAAAAATTAAGTAGGATTTGAAGAAATTAGAGGGGATTTGAAGAGATTAAAGTGTATAACTTGGGATATAAGTGGATCTGGAGGGATTAAGTGGGATTTTTAAGGATTAAATCCTCCGATTACCATTCAGCTCCCATTAACAGCGCCGCAGGCAAAATTTTGAATATTTGGAAGATCCTTAAGGCAAAAATCTTCCATTTTATGCACCGCATGCGAAAATTTTGAGAATTATAGAAGGCTAGAAGCCAGATTTCTTCCGTTTTTTACGCCGCAGGCGAAAATTTTGAAAATATTGGAAAAATCTTCGTCGGAAATTTGCCTTAAAAATTCATGGAAATCGGAAATTTTTCCAAAATTTCGGAAATAGGCAAGAAAAAAACGTCGGAAATCGGAATTTCGACCCTCCTCTGATACAGGGGTTGAAGGATTAAGGGTGGTTCAAGGGATATCAGTTAAAAATAATATTAATATTTTCAAATTAAAATTTAACTCGTTAATAATTTGTTTTTGTAAAGAAATATAAAAACAATAGAGTTCTCCTTATATGGATCCAAACCCACTCCTATATTAACAAAATATCGGCTAAAACCACCGACTAAGCCACTCAACCACAAGTCTTTTAATAAAAAAGGAAAGAAAATTATGATATTTCATTCATTTTTCTTTCACAAATAATAAAAGTAAAGTAAAATGGGTGGAAATTTTTTAAATTTTCTCCATTAATTTCTCCAAAAAATGACATTTTTTAGGGGTATAAAACCCCGATAACCCCGAAATTTTTTTGGCCGGGGAACGGGGTTTTCACTTTTTTTCGGGGCGGGGTTCGGGTCGGGGAGAATCGTGAAAAAATCGTTCGGGAACGGGGTCGGGGTTCGGGGTACGGGGTCGGGGTACAACTCTAGTTCGCTCCCAGCCGCCGAATAACCTTTTGCACTAGCTAAAGGAGAGAAATAGCTATAGCCCAGCTGCTTTACTGGTAGCACCGGATGGTTCAGCGAACGCTGAACGAATGACGATCCATCCCATAGGCCCTGGGTTAGAGAAAGGAAATTCCGCCAGAGAAGGCGATGATTTAGTTTACCCCGCAGGTGAGAGAAAAAGCGGGAAGAGGGCAGATAAGAAGACTAGGGACAGTCTTCCCTGGGGATGGAGGTGTAAAGCATATAGCTATTAATTTCCTAAGGCTGAGCAGTAGGCGGCGTGGTGTAATGGCTAACACATCAGTCCGGTCTACTGAAGATGCTGGTTCGCTCCCAGCCGCCGAATAACCTTTTGCACTAGCTAAAGGAGAGAAATAGCTATAGCCCAGCTGCTTTACTATATTTAATAAAAAATATTTTAATTTAATTTACAGATTTCTTCGTTTTTACTGTCATTCATTAAATAATAATTGTGTGGCTTTTGGAGTTTTTTTACTTTTATTTTTATATGTTTGTATTTCTCTTTATGGATTATTTGGAATTCGCGCAGAGCTAAAACCCGAACAATTATTTTTACGTTCTTCTGATATTCAGGAAATTTTACGAATTAGAGATTTGTATATAATGCCTTTTTATGCTGTGAGTGAAAAAAAAATAAATTTTGTTTAAATTTGTTCCCCTTCTCTCCTTTTTTGTTTGAAGACCTTTTTTTAAATTTTCCTTGTTTCCTAATTAAAACAATTAAAAAATCCTTCTTTCAAGGTTTGCCTCGTTTTTGTCAATCGTCCAGGTAATTTTTCTGAGGCAACTCAACGAATGAAATGGCATTCTTTGGTTGCTGATTTTGAAGCTTTGCCTTCTTCTGTTGGAAGCTTTTCAACAAAATTTTGGTTAAGAGATTATGAACAATTTGTGGAATCTGATAATAATGATGAGTCTGCGCCTTTGGATGATTTAGTTTCTTTTGAAGGAATTACTCCCGATGAAAGGTGTTTTTCTATATTCTTTTAGTGATTAAATTAAAATTTGGGACAAGTTAGTTAAATTATGTTAAGTATTCCCGACTGGTGCAAATTCCGTAACAGAGCGGGGGAGAGAAAAAAATATTTTAAAAATTTATTTCTACCACATAAAGAAGTTTTTTCCAAGAATTCTTTAATTTTTTTAAAAAATAAGAATTTTCTAATTTTATTTTAGACGTAAAAACGAATTAACAGAATTTTTGGAATGGCCAGAATTTCAATTTTGGAATGGATTTATTCAACTTATTCGTCCATTTAATTCTTCAGAACCACAATTAAAAAGATTTTTCTTTAGTACAGCCTCTTTTGGAGAAGAATTAAAAGAATGGTCGAAAAGAGAGGAATTACTTGAACATTGGAGAAGAGTTGCTGATTCGGTAGAGAATTTTTGAATTTTTTATTAACTGACAATTTGTCAAAATTCTCTCTCAATTCTTATTTTTTTAGTATCCAGAATTGGAAGTTAGTGTTTTTGAAGATGAAGCTAAATTTCTTGATTTAATCCCTACAATGGTGTATTTTTTAATTTCTTTTAAATAATTTTAATTAAAAAAAGATCCCTCAAACATTACAATCAACAATTTGTACATTAATTTGTATGTTTTTTGTTTGCCTTCTTTTTATGAAAAATATTCCTTCTTTGGCCATTTCTAATTTTGCCATATTTTTTACTTGTATTGGTAAATAAATGAATATATTAATTAAATAATTAATTTAAAAAAAGGTGTTTTTGGTATTCAATCATTAATGGGTACTGCACTTGATCCTATTTTTATGAGGTAAAATAAAAAGTTATTTCAAAAAGAAATTATTTTTCAATTTTCAAGTGCCGCAATAATGTCTATAGGATTTTCTGTAGATATACCTGCACATATTGTTTATCATTTTTATAAAACTGGAGTTTCTGAAGGAAATGAAAATAAATTGATAAAAAATGTTGAAGAACGTTTACTTGATTGTTTGGCTTCGATTGCCTTTCCAATTCTTGAGGCGGGACTTTCTACTTTGATTTGTGTTAGCTCTTTGTTTTTAGTTGATTTGGTAAGAATTTTTTCATTAATTTATTCCTTTAGGAGAAATAAATAAAAATATTAGGAAGAGAATGTCCTCATTAAATTTTTAAAATACTATATACTAATTTTATAGGAATGCCCGTTTAGAGGGTATTTTAAATTTTGAGTAAATCTTGACTACTAAGTATATCCTAGTTTTATTATTTCCATTAATATTCATTTTATGTTTAAAATTATTTTTTAGCATATGGCCCGTGTCTTTGCCCGTACAATGACACTTGTTGTGATTATTGGACTTTTACAAGGTCTTTTAGTTATTCCAACAATGCTTTGCCAATTTTCCCGACAAAAATCTTTACAAAACAATGAAAATATTAATAATAATAATAATGTTGCTCCAATAGTTCTTGCTGTCAATGAATAGATTTTAGAAAAGAATTAGAAAGCAGATAGTACAACTATGTTTATGCATAGAAGAATACGGGTTAAATCAGAATTCATATTACAAAAATTTTTCTGAATTCTGATTAGTAAATTACTTTTTGTATACTGTGTTGTTAATAAAATTTTTTAAATTTGGACAATTACTTTTAATAAAATTGTTGGTAAAATATCCCCGCAAACTTTCAAAAATTTATTTTAGTCAAAAATATCGTCTTTAATTAAATTTAAAAATAAACAATAATTACTTAATAATTTACACAATACACAAATAAATATATTTCGAGGAAATACATACATAATATACAACAATAAGATGGATGAGTTTGTTTAGACTATTACATATCAACAATTATTACATATCAACGGAAAATAAATTATTTGAGGATAAACAATTGCAATAGATTGGACTGGAAGGAAAATAATCAACAGTCAGTTCTTCTTAGCAATTACAACAACCAATCATCTGAACGATCTCAGGACATTTCAGCCTCTTGATGGAGAGCTTTTGAATGCCGGTTCGAAGCGTTTGAACGAGACACCAAGATCAACAGCCACACGAACGATCGCTCCCGAATTGTCATACCTTAAAAACGAAAACTTTTTCAAAATTTTTCACAAATTTCCTTACATCCCACAGTAATGTGGCGCCGAAAAGAGCGTTATCAGTCCTGAATCTGGGGTTCCGTTGAAGAACTCGTGACCATCTAGCACAACCTAAATGTAAATAAAAAAGATTATTCAACAGAGTCCAATATTTATGACCTGATGTGCTCTAATTATCAGGTCAACCCCGAAGCGCGTTCGAATTCTGTCAATTACTTCTTGCCCAAAAATGTGTCCAACGCCACGACGATTAGCAGCAAATAGTGGAACGTTCACATCTGGGTCAGCCCACAGCAGATCGACGGCCATTTGATTGTTGGCAGGATTGATTAGTGAATCCTTGAAGGGAAATATAAGATTAAAAAAGACTATTTTTCTTACAGGTAATGGCCGTTCGATAGCGTCAATGACTCTGAGATTTTTTGCCTCAAGCATAGGAGGGCTCAGACCGCCGTGCATACAAAGGATCCTTCCAGAGATGAGAGCAGCCAAAGGCATGCAGTCGAAGACTTTGTTGAAAGCATCGTAGAGCTGATCATTTCTATAGAGATCCAAGACGTTTTTATAGAAGCCGTAGGATTTGTTGATTGAGGAAGTCTCGTGATTTCCGCGAAGCATGTAGAAATTTTTCGGGTAGCGCACCTTAAAATAAACATTGGTTAGATACCGTATTATTAAAAAGGTATTCAAAAAACAGGCCTTGCATGCAAACATGAACAAGATCAGCTCCATTGATTGTGCCCCTCGATCCACATAATCTCCTAGGAAGAGATAGCTGCGACAGTGTGGAAATCCCTCTGAATCCATAATCCGCATCAAGTCATTGAATTGCCCGTGAAGGTCCCCGCAAATGTTGACTGGCGTGCCGAGTTTAAGAAGCATAGGCTGCAAGATGAAGCATCTTCTGACCTCGTTCAGTAGACGAATGACATCCTAGAATTTTGAGAAGAATTATTTAACAAAAGGACTGAAAATATGTTAAACTTACATCTGCAGGGACGTGCTCTGCGAGTTTTCCCTCGGTAATGCCGACGAATAACTTTTCGAGGAACCTGCTGACATCGAATTTGGCTCGCACCGACATTGGACGTTGATGAGTGGAATATCAAATGTGTCAGACAGCAAGCACAGCGGGTAAACGCCGAGAGCAGTTTAGAATGGAGGATAAACTAAAATTTTGTAGATCTTTTATAGTAAAAAATTTGGAGATTATAAAGCGATGTCCTCCCCGGTAAAAATGAAAAAACGAAAATGAAATGGACAGAATGCCCCAGCTGAGTCCCGCCGAAAAAAGTGAGTATTTTTACTCTGTTGGACATTTTGAAAAGGGACGAATCCGAGGGGGACGAATCGTCGGTTTTTGTGCATTGTGACGAATCCGAGGTGTGACGAATCTGCGCGGGACGAATCCGAGGTGGGACGACCGAGGTGGGACGAATCCGCAAGGGACGAATCCGAGATGGGACGAATCTGCGAGGGACGAATCCGAGGTGGGACAAATCTGCGAGGGACGAATCCGAGATGGGATGAATCCGTAAGGGACGAATCCGAGGTGGGACAAATCTGCGAGGGACGAATCCGAGATGGGATGAATCCGTAAGGGACGAATCCGAGATGGGACGAATCTGCAAGGGACGAATCCGCAACGCACCACCCGGCAAAATGCCCCCTGAACAAAAACTCACAACATCAAAAATGTCCCTTCTCAAAATGTTCAACAGAGTAAAAATATTCAATTCGTCGAACTCTAAATTAAAAATGTGATAATCTTGATAAAAACGGTTAGACACGATTCCGTGCCACCAGATTCCGTGCGTTATGGCCGCGCGTTGTTTTGGGCGTGTCCCCTTTTGCTTTACATTATAAAATATTTTTCAGATATTTTTAATTTAATTAATTTATTTAATTAATTAATGGCGCAGCTTTTACAAAAATCTGAAGTAATTCCAAATGATTTTCAACAAATTGCTTTTAATGTAAGTTTAATTAATTTATTTATTTTTGCATGTTTTAGTTAAATTTAAATGACACAAATAATGACCAATCTTCACTTTCTTCTTCTTCATCACTTAATTCAAATGACGATCAGAATTCTTCTAAAAATAGAGGAGAGGAGGAAGATGAAGTGACCGAAATTTCATTGCATGATTTTTGTCGACATAAAGGAGAGGAAAGGTCTGGACCTGATCAATTTGAATTGTTGCGTGTTCTCGGACAGGGTTCTTTCGGGAAAGTTTTTTTGGTTAAAAAGAATTGTGGAATGGATAATGGGCAGTTATATGCAATGAAAGTTTTGAAGAAGGCTACTCTTAAAGGTATGAAATAATTTAGAAATTTAGAGGGCATTTTGATGAGATTAAGTTTTTCTCTAGGTATTATTTTTCGTTAATTTATATTGTGTAATTTTTTCACTAAATTAATTAACATTTTTTAGTTCGTGATCGTCTTCGCACAAAAATGGAACGTGACATTCTTGCCCAAATTAGCCATCCATTTATTGTTCGTCTTCACTATGCATTCCAAACTGAAGGAAAGCTTTATTTAATTTTGGACTTTCTTCAAGGCGGGGATCTTTTTTCTCGTTTGGCTAAAGAAGTTATGTTTACTGAAGAGGATGTTACTTTTTATATGGCTGAACTAATTCTGGCATTAGAACATTTACATTCAATTGGAATTGTTTATAGAGACTTAAAACCAGAAAATATTTTATTAGACTCTGCAGGTTAAAAATATGTTCTTTTAAATTTTAACGTAAATAATTATTTTTCAGGTCATATAAGCTTAACTGATTTTGGTTTAAGTAAAGAATCTTTGGATGATAGTCAGATGACTTATAGTTTTTGTGGTATTTTATTTTTAATCATTTTCTCTTTTTCCCTAGGATCCTCATTATTTTTAGTTGGGTGATTCTCTAAGATTGATCTTTTTCTCTTTATTATAGATGGATTCTTTTTATTAATCCCAAAACTTCTTTTTATCATTCGTTTACCGTTTCTAGACTAAATATCACAGTTAATATTAATTAAAAATATGACAAACAAAACCTTTATTATTCAATTGTTTTTCAGGAACTATTGAATATATGGCTCCAGAGGTTGTCAATCGTCGAGGGCATTCAGTGGCTGCTGATTGGTGGTCATTAGGCGTTCTTATGGTTCTTAATAACAAATAATTATTTTAATTTCCATCTCTTTTTAGTTTGAAATGTTGACTGGAAATTTGCCTTTTCAAGGTAAAAATCGACAAGATACAATGAATCTTATTTTAAGGTTTTTTATATAATTTAATTTCTTTAAGATTTATTTTAGAGCTAAACTTGCAATGCCTGCTTATCTTAGCCCTGGAGCTCAAAGTTTACTGCGTGCACTTTTCAAACGTAATCCTTCAAACCGTTTGGGAGGTGGACCTGATGGAATAAATGCATTAAAAGGACACAAATTTTTCATTGGAATTGATTGGAAACGGCTTCTTGCTAGGAAAATGCAACCTCCATTTCGACCACATTTTTCTTCATCGTTGGATGTAACGCATTATTTTGATCAGGAATTTACGAAGAAAACGCCTATGGTTGGTTTATAGCATTATTTCCGATACTTTGGGGTGTTGGCAACCGATGATTAACCGGTATCCCAGTTTTTGGTTTCAGTTCGGTTAACCGTCCGCCAACAACTTAATACAATATACATATATATTTATTTAAATTGTTTTTGAACTTATGTTTGATTATGGCCTTTTCTTGTTTATTTCTCTAAAAAGATTTATTGACTTCTTTTTTTACTTTTTAATATTCTAGGATTCGCCAGCAATTCCTCCGTCGGCTGCTGCTCATGAGCTTTTTAGAGGATTCAGCTTCGTTGCGCCAACAATTTTTGAGGAGGATTTAATTAACTTTCATGATGAAAATGGAATCAATTCTGCCTTTCCTAGCGAATTAGAACTTCAATTGCTCTCTGATCGACCTGCGGACAACATTTATACTGCTCGTTCAACTTTTGCTAAAAAACACGCGCCATTCAATTTTTGTGGGGGATATGGACCAATTGGTGTTAAAGGCGATGGTGAACATACCGAAGTTTGTTTTTTCATTAAAATATTTTTTAAACTATTTATTTATTTTTAGGAACATTTAACCGACAAATCTTCTTATTCTAACACGCCAACGCCAGTTCGTGTGGCTAGTCCGCTTTGTCCGGTTAATACTTCGGCTCTCGCACAACGTCGACAGCAGCATCGCAAAAGTTCTGAAATGTTCTCTTCGAATGAGTAATTAAAAATATAAATTATAAATATTATATAAGATGACGGTTTAGCATTGCAAAAACTTTAATGTGATATACATAGTAAGTGCATATCTACATATTTAGAGACTTATTTTATTATTTTTGGGTACTTTTATGATATTCAAACTAATTTTAGGTTTAAAATGGGCGGTCAATTCTTTTCATTTTCGGGGCCTTTTGTATTGTTTGGAAATTATTAAACTTTTTCTTGAAACTGGTTTTGAATAACTTTAAAGTACCCTATTTTGCATTTTATTTAATATTATAATATTCCCATTCGGCGCTATCTATGGATACTTTAGCCTTAATTTATGCTTTAATTATATATTTTTTCACATATCGACAACCTCAAAATTAATATATATATTTATCTGCCAATGGTATGATATTATAATGCCAAAAACTTGTAATGCCAAAGCTTGTAATGCCAAAAGCTTGTAATGCCAAAGCTTGTAATGCAAAAAGCTTGAAATGCCAAACCCCCAAAAGCTGTTGAAATGCCAAACCGTGGAAAATAGCTTGTAATGCCAAACTCCCAAAATATGTTTAAATGCCAAACCATGGAAAAAAGCTTGAAATGCCAAATAAATACAAAACTAAAATTTTTTTGTTACTTCTGATAGAATTTGTTGTTAAAATTTTTTGTTTGTTCCAACAACAAGGATGTTGTTGTTCCAATTGAATTTTCGCTGGAAAAACTCTAGGCCGGACATGCGGGGAGGGGCCGGCACTACGGGGAATGTTGTTCAAATTGTGGGGAAAATTGTTCCAACGGTTGGGGAGTTGTTCCGACTACAGGGAAAGTTGTTCCAATGACGGGGGATGTTGTTCAAATGACGGGGACGTTTGTTCCAGTGATGGGGGAAGTGAGATGTTGATCCCCCGTTGACGGACCAACTTCCCCTGTTGACGGATCAACTTTCCCCGTTGACGGATCAACATGCCTCGTCATCGGAACAACTTCCCCCATCATCGGAACAACATTCCCCGTTGTGTTGGAATAACATTTGGCATTTCAACATATCTTGGGGGTTTGGCATTACAAGCTTTTTTCCACGCTTTGGCATTTCAACATCTTTTGGGTGTTTGGCATTACAAGCTTTTTTCCACAGTTTGGCATTTCAACAGCTTTTGGGGGTTTGGCATTTCAAGCTTTTTTCCACGCTTTGGCATTTCAACAGCTTTTGGGGGTTTGGCATTACAAGCTTTTGGCAATATAAAACGCTCCGTCTGCCAATTAATTGCAATATATATTGAAGACATTTAAATTTCTTTCTAAAAATAATACAATTTTCGACAGATTCAGAACATTTTTAAAAAATAATTCTGATCTCGATTAATGAACTTTCAATTATATATTTATGCATTATAAAAGTGTGCTTTAATTATTCCGGTATATTAGACATTAAAAGATATCCTAATTAATTGACTTCAAATACAAAACTCGAATAAATAATTAATTGATATTTTTTTTAAAAGGATCTTGTCCATATTATTTCTTTTCATAATTTGGTAAAAAAAATAATTTTTTAAGGATGTGCAATTCAAAATTGTAGAATATGGATGCAGAATCTAAAGCTTTTATTGCAGCTAAAAACTCGATCCGTCGGGAATTGGGCCTGTCTGCAGAATTTGCTTCTACTAATTTCGCTTTGACATCTACAAGGTTAGTTCTTTATAATAAGACTCAAGGGCTCAGCCAGTGGCCCAACCCCCTAAGTCGGCCCCTGGCTACGCCTTTGATAAGACTAGGTTGAATAATTAGTCTTACTGGTCTTCACGCCAACTTTTATCGACTAACTTAAAAATATTTCAGTGAATTTGCCCATTCTGTTTGTTCTCTAATTGAGGCGATTCTCATTCACGGCTTGCGTGATGCTTTCTTCATCAGGGGCAGTCGTTACTCAAAAAGACCTATACCAAATTTTTGGCCATTTGTATCAAAATATACTCATCGAAGCATAAAACAACAAATATATGTCCTAAACCAGATTAAAACTGAAGTCGGAAAAGCTAGGGTAAATATTTTTTTTTGTTATTGTATTTTTGCTGGAATTTTTCCTCTAACCTCAAAACTTTATTGACTATGGAAACATTTTTTAATGAATTATTTAATATTATTAATTATCAGGCTTGGATTCGTATTGTTCTTAGCGAGCGTACCCTCGAGTCTTATATCAATTTATTTTCAAAAGATGCTCAAATCAAGTTTATTTTAATTTTTATTTAAAATTTATTTTGTTTTAGTCAATTTTACAAGAAAGGTGCATTTATTAGGGATGCGGCATATATTGATAGCTTAAATGTTTATTTGCAAAAGATTGACAATCTGACAATTGTTGCTCCAACAAATTCAAATTTACTAAATAATTGGACACCTAATCCATTGATTCTTGCCGGACTTATTCCAGGAAAATTTACTAATTGTAGTTTTTATATAATTTAATATTTTGAAAATATTTAACTTCCATTTTTAGGCTATAGCCGGATAGGTGAAGGCTCTGTTTCTAGTCCATATGCTAGCAGTTATGCCGTTGCTATCGACAATTTATTGGAAAATTCGGCAGATCAGAATTCTCCAGAACAAGCAACTAATGCATTAGATCTTTTATTAACTCCTCCGGATTCTATGACCACAATGGAAAGTAATTTAGATAATTATCCAATTGCCAGTATTTCTTCGAACGTTCTTCAACATTCTCAAGTCGTTGAATCCCCTCTATGTTCAACTAATAAATTTGAAAAACAAATCGGTGGATATGTTAAAGAATGTATAGTTGATGATAATGAATCAGTCATTTCACATCCCTCAATGCTTTATCAATCTGAAGACGAACCTTTATTTGAAAAACTACCAAAAACTCCAAAAACATTTGCAGATTGGAAAAGGTCTTGCTAAATTTTAAATAAATTAAAACACATTTCTAAAATTATTTGAAGATATGGCGCTGCAGCAACTTCCCGACTTCGACGTCTTTCGCCTTCGTTAATCGGTGCAGATGTTGGGTGCGGTGCAGAATTTGACACGGCGGTTGAAGGAGATGATGACGTTTTTTGTTTAGGAAAAAATGCTGGACCTTCAGAAGAACAATCCTCCGAAGTATAAAATATTATGTTAACGTTCTCTAATCACTTTTAGGTAATTGTGCATCGTAGGAAAACAGGCCGTCGTAGAGCTGTGTCTAAAAGTAGTGGGGGTGCTGGAAGTGATACAGGCGGTAGTGGTGGCGGTTATTCGCGTACTCATTCAGCTAATAATTTAATTAAGTCTCCTAATTATGTGGAAATTTCAGCGGTATGTATGGGAAAATACTAAATTTTTTAAGAATTTTGGCTATCATTTTTTACCGATAAACTTAAGAATCAGGATATTTTGTAAAGTGTTATAGGCTTATTTAAGACAAAACATCCTGGAATTATAAATTAGAAAAAAGTTTCTATTTTTTTTTTAGTTTCTATTTTTTTTTAATTTAGAGTCATTCAATCAAAAACAATTCAACGTCTTCACTTCAAACTGCTTTTGAATTTAATTCTCAAAACACTGAGAATATGTTTACTGATCTTACTGTTAAAGATTCGCAAATTAACTCATCAAATAACAAAAAACAACAAAATACAAACAATAAGACTATAACATTTTCAGCTTCACAAGGTTAAAGGATTTTTTCGATTTTTAATTTTATTTGATTTTTAAGGTACTGTAGGAATAGAAATGCCAATTCCCACAATTTTAATACAACAACGAATTTTACAGGAAATGGAGGTGAATTTATTTAATCTTAACATTTTTCGGAATAAATTTAATTTGAGTTCCTCTTTTTTCCAGAATTTCCCTCTATTTTCCGTTTAATCTTTTGATTTAAAAACGATTAAATTTTTGCATAAAAATGTCACCTGGATTCCTTTCTATCCTTATTTAAAGATTCAAATTATTATAAATATGTTAGATGTTGGTTAAATGTTAGTCTACCTCCACAAGTGTTACATTTTATATTATTATATTTTAGTTTCCACCCCTTGGATCATCATTACAAGATGAATTACTTCTTGCAGAAAGAATGGAGCAAGAAGCTTCTAAAGAAGTTGAAGAAAGGGATGAACTTCCTCCTTCTCATCAAATTAGTATAACGTCAAATACTTCAGATATTTTAAGGAAAAATTCTTCACCTCCAACATTGGAAATGTTTAATATTACAGCAATTGATTCTACCGATTCTTCGACTACAGATTTACCTGCAACTTTTGATGAAGCATTGCGTGCATTTCTTTCTCAAGGAGACAAAACAAACAATCGATTATTTCAATCAGAGTCTAAAAAGGTGTTAATTAAAAGGGTTTTGTAACAGATTTGGAAATTCCTTCAAAAGAATTTTTTGACTGAATCTTCTTCTCATTCTTTTTATTTTATAGCGCCTTTTCTCCGAATGTTCGTCAAGTACTGGTGAACTTAACAAATTATTGGGTGATAGTCTAAATAATTTGAATCAACAAATACTTTCTCCACCTGTTCGTTCATTATCTTTACAAAGTTCATCGACAAATGTTCCTTTTCCAAATGTTTTCATCAAAAGTGGTAGCAGAAAGAGTATTTCTCGGGATTTTATTGCATCATTGGCTCCAATTAAAGATATACCACATATTCCCTTTCAAAGAGATGGAAGCAATTTTGATGAAGAAGAGGAAGACGCAAATGAGGTACATACTAATTAATGATTAAATAGTATTTATTTTGTAATTAAAATTTCATATTGACGATTTTAGAATTCCATCTTTTTTATCAGAAATTCATCTTTTTATTGGAGAATGTAGGAAAATCCATTTAAGAAAACTTATTTAGCGAAGTTGTTATCTTTATAACCGGAAGGGAATTGAAATTAAAAACATAGTATTACTTCTATTATGAAGACAGTAAATCTTTCAACTAGGACGGGCCCATAGTTTTTCTGAAAATTGCTAACCAATATACCAGGTCTGGGGTTCTTATTTT